GGTTTTTTTTTCATCAAGAAAACTATGAATAATTCCCATTAGGCTGACTAATTTGGTCTTTTGCATATCCGTGGGAAAATGAAAGTTTTTTTTTGCATTATTAGGAACCAAAAACGAACGCCTCTGGGAGGAATATAGAGGGGAATATCGTGCACGTGGCTCATCTTTCTTCGTCCCTCTCGTGACCTCCCTGTTCCCGCCACACAAGAGATTCAAATTTGTTTGGGCGCCAAACAACTTTTGAGCCGTTGGCCGTCTTCTTGCGCAGGGTTTCTTTCCCGATTTGCGTTGTTATAGCTCGTTTCTTTGTCAGTTCAGTTTTTTCTTTTTCATATTCTGATCGATAAGAACATTTTTAATGAGGTCTGGGTATCATGAGAGCTAATATTTCAAAAACATCAAAACACTGAACTTTCAACTTTCGTTTTTTTCACAAATGGTTTTTTTCATTCGAACTTGATTATTCTAGAATAATTGATTCCAGAAGTGGAAAAAAATGTACTTGAATGGATCAGAGCCTCATTTAAAAAAATTCTTTTTTTAAATTTTTTTCACCTTGATGATTTAACATTAAAAAAAATTTTAAACTAGAAAGAATCTTCTAAAAAGAGAAAAAAATAAGTTTTTTTCGAAACTGGAAAATTCATTGCGAAATAAACGGCTTGACTACTGAAACGTATAATTATCCGCAAGAAAAAAAAGGTTTTTCTCACATATTTATTTGAGTTTCTTTTCCAATGCTTTTACGTTCCTACAAACTGCTAAATATTGTTTTTTTAAAAGTTACTCCAATTTTATTCCCTCAGATTTGAGGGCTATTGTTTTTGGTTTACTAGCTTTTTTTGCAATTTTTTTCGACGATTATTGAAGAAAAAAAGGTCAATATGTTAATAATTATTCTGCATTTTATCCATTGATTTTTCATAAAAAAATTTATTCAACTAAAAACTTTATCCATAAAATTACTTTCAGCAGCTTTCTTTATTATTATTTCGCAAAATATCTTTGATCAAATCGAACTTTTTCGAAAGAAATTCGAATTTCGCAACAAAGGTAGCGAAAAACTTTGTCGAAGCATTGATGCTGCAGGGTGTGTATGTCAGTAAATGCCACTCACACGGTCGTTTTCAATTCTTCATTAAAAACTCTTCCGCACTCCGGATGAATCAACCAACTTGCTTTTCCTCTTCAGTTATGTGCCTGGCTTGGTTTTTAAACTCATTTCGTTTGGACTAAAATAGTGGTTTCACAGGTTTTTTTTATTCTTATCGGAGTTATATCAAGCTTTCGAATGTCATTCGTAAGAGCTATGAAACGGGGAAGTTATCAAAAACTTTTAAATGACAGAAGGAGTCAAAAGAACTGTTTTTTTCCACAAAAATGCTCATTTCAGTAATAAAACAGGAAAATGTTTTCAAAGAGCACCAGAAATTTTCAAACTTTCCCAAACTTTGTTTTGGACTCTAGTTCAAGAAAAATTATTATTTTGAGCGAAAATTCTTCCTCGATAATAATTTCTGAAAAATAAAATCAAACAGCTTAAATTTGAAATTTCGAATTTTTCTTGGTCCCCAAACCAGTAGAATTTCAGTTTTTTTCACTGCGACTTTTTTTAAACTAAAATTAGTACCTGATAAACTCTTAAAACTACCTTTCACGAGCGATGACAAAAAAATTGTTGCGTACTATAGTCAAATCTCAAAATAGTATTTCTCTTTTTTGTTTTTCAATGTTTGTTGCCTGTAAATCTTCAAATTTCAGCCCCCGAAAAACGCGCCTAATAAGGCCTCATTGACGACTGTCGCGAGAGAGGAGAAAGAACTATTCTTGCAATTTCTCTCTTTTTTTTTTGCCTCGTACAAATTCAAAAAAAGCATCTGATGTTGCGAACCTTCAAATTTGATTCTCAACAAAGAATCTTCACGGGGAAATCGCCGCTTCACTGATTCTTTTCAATTTTTTTGTGTCATCGTAAATATTTCATTCATTTTTTCTATTCCCCTCCAACACTATTCCAATTGTTTCTTTTTTAATGCTTCAAAAATCATCGAAAAAAATTCTCGTCTGGCTCAGGTTCTAATAAAAAAGCACCTTTCTGAAGGAATTTTTTCCGGATAGCTAGTTCACTCGTCAAGAATTTCCCTAGAGAGTTCTCCCCCGTTCATGTTATGTGTATATTGCGAAGTTTAATCCCACTTCTCGGAGAGAACTTTCAAGAAAATTTCCCGTTTTATCTGTAGTTTATTCTGAAAACTTCTGGATTTTGCTGTATTTTCAAGTACTGGATAAAATATCAAGTGCAAAAGGGCGTTTTAGCTTTGAAATATCCTGCAATTTTTTGAACTTCAAATATTCCGAAACCGCGTAATGTGCGAAAAAAATGAAAAAAAAATTTTTTTCTGCGATTCACGGATTAGACCGTTTTTTTCTTTTTCAAAAAAATTTTTTTATTTTTAAAAAAATTTAGAGCAGAGTTAATATGAGTTTTTCTGCTACAGCTCTTCAAAACTGTTTTTTTCCGAAAAAGGGCGTTTTCTTCCGAAAATAAACAGAATTTCCTTAAAATCCAAACTCTTCAAGCAACAACCTCAAACTTTTTATAATCGGATCATTTTTTTCAAATAATCTATTTTTTTGTTGAAAAGGGGATGTCAACTCGTTTCGCTGAAGATTTAGAATTTCACATTTCAAGATTTGATTTGTAATGCTGTCGCTCAAAAGAAAAGCCGATTTTGTTTTCAGTAGCTCGGAAAACTTTTTTCCGCTTTTTTTGAGTTTTTCTCTTTTTCAGAAAAATCTGATTGCTCCTTTTGGATTTTTTATCTTATTCCCTAGACTTTTCATGTTTTCCAGAGACTATTTCCAGGAATTCCGCTCCTTTATATCAGTTAATGAAGCTGCCATTTCAGGGTACAACCATTGTCAAAAGGAGAGAAGCTTCTAATTAACCTGGCTCTTTAATTAGAGACATATTAAAGCTGCTCCTTGTTCTCGAAGATCATTATGAGGCATTAACAGGCCTTCTTCAGGATAATCCCTTGCAGAAAGCTTAATGATTCATGTGCCTCTAAATCTCGTTCACATGATCACGGGCTTTCATTCTACCGAATGTTCTGGTCACTATTTGCTATTTCTCTTTCCCGTTTCTCATTTTCTTTGCAATGCAAGTTATTGAATTTGAAATTCTCACACTTACTTTTCTACAAGAACTGACCCTGAAAAGCAGTCTCATGACCTTTTCCAAAATTTCTTCTGAAGACGCCGATAATCATTTTTGTCATTAAAAAAAACTTCCAGCATTGAGATCTTATAATTTCACTAAAAAAGAAGGAAAATTGCTCATTTTCAGGTTAATTTTCAATCAGGGTCTTTCAAAGTACCTCCTAGCCGAACCCCATCAAAATCTGGATTCTGGATCATTTTTTTTTTATCCTTGTCAGGAAGAACCTCTAAATTGATAGAAAATAGTAATACTATTTTTTTTCTCAATAAAAACCGTGTTTGCGTCATTTATTCTTTCTGTTGGATATACTGCCCACGTCCGTCGCCAATCTCATCAGCGTGTTGTTTTTTGTTATTGCCCAAATAAGGTTATTGGGTGCATATTTTTGCTCAAAGATGGGTTCAACGGAGAAAAAAGAAAAGCTTTTTTTTCTTTGGATTTGGCCAAGTTTTCTGGTTTTCAGATTTTTTTCAAACAAAGACGTTCTATTGTTAGGGTTTTCAATCTTTTATGCAAAGGAAGGAAAAGCAAGGTGTAGTCTGTTCAGTAGCTTTTTATGCTTGAAATTGAGAAGTAGCTTTAAAATATGATGTTTTTTGTGTTGTTTATTGTGTGCGCTCATAATTTCTCATCATTTATTGAATTTACCTTTTTCGAACGAATTTTGAAATAAAACTGTAAAACAAAGAGTTTCAGGTACCGGAAGAGTAGAATCACAGCTTGAAATTTTTGGAAAAGCCCAAAGGAAAAAAGGAAACATCACGTTCATATTTTCTCGCTAGAAAATCTCGAAAAAATTCCTTTCATGATCACTAAAAATAATATTGATATAACTTTTGAAAATACCAAATAAATCTTTTTAAATTTATGAAACTTGGTCTCTCTAGAGGACCAAAGATCGTTTTTTGAACAGAGTATAGTCGAAAAATGTGCAAATTTCGAACGGGTCACTCGCCGGATGGGTCCTGACGCGTATCAGCCGTCTACTTTTCGCGCGTAATTTCAAATTCGGAGAGGTCCACTGCGTGTTTGTCTGTCATTTATCTCTTTTCGCGCGTTCAGTGTTCTCCGAGCTTTGGTAATTGTGGAATCAAGTGTTCCCTAGAAGTGGAATCCTTCTGAAGAATTCTTTGTTTGATCCTAGATAGCTCAAATTTTTTTCTTGAACTTTTTTTTTACATTTTTGCGAAGTAGCAAATCGATATAACAACGGGTTGCAAATTTGAAAAAGATCTTCAGAAATATTTTTTGAATCCTTCTGAGCCCTTTTTATAGCAGAATTATTTTTTATTTTTTCCTCTTTGTTCCTTTCAAGCTGTGAATTATTATTTTTTTATTAAAAAAATAAAAATTTTTGGCGGTTTCAAGCGACAGAAGTTGACTGAAAGGCAAAACTATTTTTTTGGTTATTTGAAATCAGGAAATGTCAAAGGAATATTTTGATGTCAATATTTCAAATGGCTCCCAAAAAAAAGTTCCTCCATAGATCATGTCCTTTATACCCCTTGTCCAGAATTTCAGAGCTGAAAATCTTTTTTGACCCTTTTTCCATTTTTTTACTTTTTGACCAGTTCATTTCCTTTCAAACGGCTCGATATGAGATTCCTAGCTCATTTCTGACTTATTCTCATTTGACTCCTTTCACCTCGATGTAATTTGAAATGACTTGATTTGAATTTTCCAACTCATTTCTCTTTTTTTTTTCATTTGACTCGTTTTAATTTAAAATGACTTGATTTGAATCGCAATTCTACTTGATTGTTTTCAGGACCAAAACATGTTGGAAGGAGGATCACCAGTGCCTCGCCGTAAGCCGCGTCTCACCGAGGAAAGGTCAGCAATATTTTCATCGTTTTTTGCCCCGCGTAATTACGGCCTTCCTTCGCGAATTGTCAGCGCGCCGCCAGCTAAATTATACTTCCTAATGCTTCTGTTCAGAAGATCTTAATTCGAGAGAAACTTATGATATTCTGAAATTAGAGTCAAATGTATTTTTGACCCTTCATTTTTGAGGTCTTGAAGAAGTTCATATTTTCAAATTCAAATTCCTTTTAAATTCCTGATTTTTCATAACGACTTAATTATTGAAAAAGTCTTGACACAGGAAAAGTAACAAAATAAATTTTCATTCTCTCCATTTTTTTTTTACCGTTCGGGAATAATCGAAATCAATTTCCACAGCTCTAAAAATCCAATTTTTTTTAAGGCATAATTTCTCTGAAACTTTTCCGTAACTTCATAATTTATGAATATTCCTAAAATTCGAAAAAAACTCGGTTACGAACTTATATATAAAAAAATAATGGGGTTTAAACAAAAAAACGTTACGAAAAATTTGAACTTGAAATTTTTTTCAACGATTTCATAGATTACGAGATCTACAAGATAGAAAAAAATGGGATCTACCCGGAGCAATGCTCAATTTTTTTCATTGAAGAAAAAAATTCATCAATTGAGCTTTACTTCTGATTCTCCAAAAGAATAGATCTCTTGGAACAATTTGAAAATAGAAAGGGCATCCATCTCAATTCAACTACTTTTTTCGCTTTGCGTACTCGATTGTCTAGAACCCAGAAAAGAGTCAGAATGCTGGAAATCACGGCGACGACTGCATTTGGGAACAGGGATTTCCTTCTCGACGTGTTCTGTGATTGCTTCGCGTCGTGTTGTTTTGCCCGCTTGTCAATAACGTGCCGGATAATTTGCAGAAACGTTCAGTTTATAGCCTTGGTCTTTCAAAATATTAGATATTCAAGGCCATATCTTTTTTTTTGCAATTCTTATTTGAACTTTTTTTTTTTGAAATACTTCACAATGATGTGCATGGATATATATCTTTTTAAATTTACAGACCTCATAAACTAGTCTTTTTCGAAAAAGAAACTTTTCGAATAATTGACATTGCGGCTTCTAAAGGTCTTCGAAAATTCAAAAAGCAAACCTTTTCACAGTTTTAACATCGCTGACGGCCAAGAGAACAGACATTTAATTTTATGAATTCGTTTTCTCGAAATTTCAGTTTTCCGATAAGCAACCCCTTTTGACCAACTTTTTGAACAACCAGAGAAGCTGTAGCTGGTGGGAAGTATGTAAACATTCGAAGTAAATGACCTCACGGCTTCCGAAAAGCTCAAAAATCGAGGCCTTTCAAAATTGCTCCAAAGTCATAAGAGGTCAATCTAGATTGCTTTTGATGAAAATATTCGTCGGAGCAGTAAAACTTTTCATTTTTTCCTTGAATTCAAAGAACGGCTTGTTCCCAGCCAGTTCTTGTTTATATCCAATAAACGGCTCGAAATTAGCAAAAAGGCTATAAATAAACAGATATCGCCACATGTCCACTTCAAAAAGTTTTTTTGCAGTCCCTTTAGCTAATTTTGATAATTTATTGATTTCTTAGTTTTTTTAATGTTTCTTCATTTTTGAACACAAAAAAATAAAAAAAGCTGTTAGTTAACTCAGAAAATTTGTTTAAGAGGTCAAGGTATGGAAAAAAACGGAAATTCATTTTTTTAATTTTTTTAATTTTTTTGAACTTAAGAACTTCATAACTGGAGAGAACAAATTGGGGGAAAAAAAGGAAAGAATGAAACAAACTTATATTCACCGCAATATTGGATTAGCTGTATAAGTTCATTGAAATTCCCTCTTGCTATATTTCAAATTTTTTCTGTTGAATTGAGTTTGAACTTAAAATTTTGACCTCTTCAGTTTCTCTGACTGCATAATGGGAAAAAAGCCTCGCAACCTCTTCTTTAGTTCACCAAACTTGGTAATTATCTATGAGGTGATGGTATGTTTCCAAGGGATAATTTCAAGCCTATACTTCCGTTTTTGACTTTTTTCTACTTTTCAAGGAAGTTCCTTTTACTCAATGGCTGTGATTTTTCTGCAAGTTGGTTGGTATGCCCTTTAGTGTAAAGTTTATTTTAAAATTTTAACCAGCAAAGTGTTTCAGTTTTCCATGGAACAAACTTTGAGGTCAAAGAAAACTTTTGGAATAAGGGTTTCTTTTTTCAAAATTTTAGCCTTTTTTCACTTCATAAGGTTCAGCAAGTTGAAAGTTTTATGATTCCGAACAAAGAAAAATCCGAACAAAATATTATAACGTCTTTTCTTGCCAGAATGAAAAAGAACAACATGTTCATCTTCATATTCGTCCTTTTTTCTCCAGCTTTTTTTCCAGTCGATTTGTTTCCCGGATGGGTGTGCGCGAGCCGTCATTTAGTGAATACATTTGCAACTGAAAAAAGAACCCTCAGCAGCGTAATTCTATTTTGTATCTTCTTCGTAGAACGATTGGTCTGCAACTAAAAAAAATTTAGTGGAACAAATTGTTGGCAACAAACGCTTCTTCCGACATTGCACTCTGTATTATTTATTAGTTGCGCGGTAGTTTTCCCTTTTTTGGTCCCATTCTCATTCATGCTCTCCGTCAGAAGGAATTTGCCCTCAGTCAGTCTTTGTTTTCAGGAATTTTCTTCTATTTTTCTAGACGCCATAACTTTATAGATTTAAGCCAAGCGTGAAACTGTAACATAAAAAAAGTTGGAGGTGAACTTTTTTCCACAATTGATAAAGCGCCTTAGTTTTAAACAATCGGAGATGTCTGGACTCTTCAACTTTGACGCTGAAGTCGTAACTGAACTTAGAACCTAATTTCTAGGGGAAAAAAATCCTATAATTTTTCAAAGAAAAGATTTTTTCGCAAGTGAAAAATCTGAGTTATGTGGCAAATTCAGTTGAATTCCATGCTTGGGAAGTAATCACTTTGTGACTCATAAAAAAATATTGATGATAAGCATCAAGCTTCTTAATTAAAAAAATAAATATTACTCACTTTCTTGCTCATCCCAGTTCAAGGTATTCCGGCTAAAAACAAATATTAGTCAGTGTCTTACCTTTTCCAATTCAAGGTATTCCTACTAAATCAAATATTATTCATCGTCTTCCCTATTCCAATTCATGGTATTCCGACTGCCCAGACGCCTTAACCTTCCCAACTCATGTCAAGCGGAATAATGGTCGAAACAGAATTTTGATTAAAAACATGTTATGGCCATTTCTATCACATCTTAACGTACCTTTCTTTGCCCCGCCTCTCTAAAATTCTTTATAAGTTTAAAAAAGCTGTGTCTACCCCCGAAAATAATGTTTTTGTCTCTGTTTCCCAAAACCCTTTACTAGATCCCTTTTTTTAAAACAGCAGACAAAGGCTCATAAAAAATTTTGTAGGCTCCAATAATTGGCGCCTTTGGCGGCCCTTTTTCAACCTCATCACATATTTTTTAACTGCTATTATATTGGAAGCTAAAAAAATAGCACAGTTTGAAAATAGAAAATTAAAAGAAAAAAAACATGGAAATAAATAATTTCCAGTTTCGAAATTTTATAACTTCAAAATGTTTATAGATGATTTTTTTCATAAAATTTAAGTAAGTAGAGTTTTTTTCAAACTTAAGAGCTTGACAGACAATAATTCTATAGAGATAAGTTACAGGAAGCCCCTTAATAAATCAAAAATTTTTTTCTCAAAAAAACGAGTTTTTTTATACACAATGAGGCATAAATTGTGCCTTCAAAGCTCTGTTTATCAATTTAATAATGAAATTTCCTGCTTTGCTTATGAAGGCTTCACCTTGTGTGTACTTTTCCCAAAAGAATACAATCGACAGCGAAAACAAAAGGCAAGCAGCAAAAACAATAATATCAGATATTTAGGCTGCCGGCAACGTTTTTCTTCTTTTGGTATGCTTTTTTGATTTTTTTTTTCCGGTTTCAGAAAAGAGAAACATTAGGCGCCGAAATTCAAAGGCAACAAGGCGCGTCATAAATATTGATTGAATCATTTTTCTCCGTCTCAAAAGGGTGCCCAATAAGTTGGTGTGAGATTGGCTTCCCATTGAAATTCTGTTAATTATTGAATAATTCGGATTTCTTTTTTGACTGAAAACCTCTTTGGTAACTTTCCTTCAAATTTTTACTCAACGGAAAAATCACACTAAGCGACCGATTCCAAACAAAAAAGGAGACGGCAAACACCATTTTCCCGTTTCAATCTCCACTACAAAGAAGAACTCAGTGGCTCGCTTATTTTGCCTTCAAAGCCTGTCTCATATTACGTGTGTTGCGAGAGGCAGAAGGAAAAAAGGAAAGAAAAAAATCGAAGAAAATGCGAGCTTGGTTTTGCTATTTCCGGTAACTAATTCCTCTTGCGGGGAGCTTTACGCAACACATTAGTGCTCAATCGAATTTAGAGATATTTGGAATTTCATTCACTTTTTTCTGAAAAAATCCCCATTTCTTTCGAGTTGTTGAATGATATCTGAGATCATCAGGATCACTAATAACGATACATTTTTCACGAATTTAAGATTTGTACCCTTCATTTTCATTCTTTCTTTCTTTCGGTCCCAAAATTTTGTTCCGTGTTGTTTTTTTTTTTCGAGCGCTCCACCTAATGAAATTCAAAGACTGCCGCGAAATGTGCAAATGAAAATTAGGGAGGCAAGCTGGCGTCGCACAAAAGAACAAAAAGCGAGGAAGGGCTCTCGGTGATGAGCCTGATGGATGAACCTTCGGTTGTTAGTAGGAAACAGTCGGCGAGTGATCTCCAAAGTCGTCTCAAGACTCGAAAGCTGCTCGGCGTTGGCGAATTGGCGAGGAATGGCGACGTCTACCGGTCTAAGGTATATTTCTGTTCAAACACTGCTTTCTCACGTTCGAAATAGAAACTCAAAAAAAAAAAATATTTTGACTTTCGTCTTTTTTTTTATTTGTTCCGTATAAAAGCACTTCCTAAACCGGGAATTTCCCCAAACTTATCACATGGAATGAAATTTCGAATTTTTTTCCTGATTCCGTTGAAGTCGATTTCTAAACAAATACTTTCAGGCTCCTTTTTTTGATACAAATTATTTCAAACTAGTTTTTCAATGATTTTTCAATCTAGCCTAAACCATGAAAGCTCAAAAAAATCAAAAAACTAAGATTTTTTTTTGCAATCCTTTTCTTGGACTCTTCTCCTTTTCATCTCCTCTGAGAATTCGAATCTAATTGAAATTCGAACAAACTAGAAAAAAGTCGAAATTTTTCTTCCTGGTGGTCTCGAAACACAAAATTAATTGAATCAGAGAAGACCTGGATGAATAATCAGAAAGTTGCAGATTTCCCAGCTCCTCGGCATCAATGAAAGTTTGTACGTTCGGCTGCCACGAGGGCTCATGTACTGGAACACCGTCAACACCTTGTACTTTTACATGACGGGATTTTTGGTTAGTTTTTCAAAAATGGATACTAAAAAACTCTTTATGAAATGCATAATGTTTTGAAAAAAAGTTTTTTCAATCCAAACTTTTTCAGTGCATTGTGCTTCCTCGAGCTGGAATTCGGATTGACTATGGTGTCAGCGTCACTTCAGACCAATCTTTGGCGCTCATTCGTCTCTATGGAGCCGTTCTCCTTTCCTATGGCCTTCTCTTCAGGTTATCCAAATTGAAAAAGGAGTTTAGGGTTTTTTTTTTCAGAAGTATTCTGTTGCAACGAGAAACTCGAGCCGAAATCGCCACTCTTCTGCTGGTCACTGCAATTCTTCACTCCCTCCAAACTGCGGGTAACTTTTCCAAAACTAAGAAATGTCGAAGCTTTGCGTTCCGTTCTATAGTGTGCCGTAGTGCGCAAGTAGTATCAAGTCGGCTGAAAGTTGAAATTAGCATTCTGAGCTGCTTTTCTGCAATCATCATTTCGAATTTTCAGTATCAATCATCGCCGGAATGGCTAGCCCTCTGAATATTGCGCTTCACCTGGGAATCATCATTGGAAATCTTTGCTACCACACCTTTGTTGATGGTCAAGGTATTTTTTTTTTGCTTTTTTTTTTACTAGCATAGGCTTCTATAAAGTGAGTTCCTTTTCGCTGCAAGAAAAGTTTAGATTTAAAAAAATACAAAAGAAGAGAGATAATTGTCTCGACAGGGCGTAATTTAATTAAACTTCCCGCGTTCGTTTGAATGTTGGTTTTTTTTTTGTAGCAAAAGATTAGAGTTTTCTTGGAATAAATGTACTTTTTCTGTTTTCAATCTGATGAACCGTCTAATTGGGTTTGAATAGGCGATAATTTTACTTTCTTAGAAACTTTGTGAAAAAGTTTCTGATTTCTAAAATTCAATATGTAGATTTTTCGGCTATCCGAATGATTGAAAAATGCTGAATATTTTGTCAGGTTACAATTTGGCCCCGAAAAATAAAAGGAAAACTCAAATTGAGAATAAGGCGCTAAAAGGAGTTTTCAAAGAGTATGTTGCTAAGTATGTTGCTCATGTTACAAAGCTTTTTTTCCACAGAATGATTACGTTAAAATAAAAAAATGAAGGGGGTGAACAGACTATATTTCAGAAATTTATCAAGAGTGTAAATTTTCTGATTGTCGTGAATTTCGATTGTAATTGACCAAAAAAAAAGTTTGGTTCAGCCATTTTGCAATTTTTCGAAACTGCAATTGGTCACTCAAACATCCCATATAACTTACAACTTCTTCCCAAAAAGAACAACAAGAAAAAAAAACATACGAAGCGTTGAAAAATTCATTATCATCTTCAAGCTACTGATAGGAGCGAAAACCATTAAAGGTCGGGTGCAAATATGAAAAGAGTTCCCAGACGCTATTTTTTCGTCGATAGTAAGACTAAAAACATTGCAATTCAATCAAAAAAAAAATTTGAGTCTTCAAATTTTCAGGCGGTCTCCACCGACAAGTCTTCCGTATCATTGAAGACTACTCATTGATTTCGAATTCTCCAATCGTCGAGAAGAAACCCTTGGTCGACTTGATCATCCCAACCGATTCCCATACCAAATGCGAATAATTCAGCAGTTTTTTTTCTATTATTTTTTATTTCGTTGTCTTGATGTTTGAGTAGTTCAAACTTTTTTCATCTTCCGAAACAAAGAAAACTCCTCGCTTTCATTCGTCAAGCAAAATTAAGAGAACTCGATCTCAACTTTTTCCTTTTTCATTCTTAATTATTGATTACTTTGCTTTACGGTTTCTCGTATGCGTCCACCCTCTCATAACTGTATTTTTCACCACAGTTATCGACTTTATATATATTTTTTGTAGCTGAATTCATCCTTCAAAGCTCTGGTACAGCTTTCTTGTCCCTTAATATTTTGATGTTTGTATAAATCATTCATTCTATTTTTAGTGGTTTTTTTTTACAAAACGTCCATTTCAAGTTTATTGCGGAAAATTCAAAAAGGAAACAGACTTTAGTTATAAATACCATCTCTAAGGGAACTTTTTATATTTTGAAAGATGTCATAAATCTTTCTCAAAAAAAACTTGGTCTGAAACGAAAGTAGATTTTTTTCTCCCGACGCTAAAAAAAACGGCAAAAAAGAGAGCCACTGTCACATGAATAATTAAGTTAATGGGTGGAAAAAGGGTTAGGATGTGAAATGGAGGAATTTCGCGCTCATCACCATGGTTTCTTTCTTCAATTTCAGAAATGGCACATGAATTTTCGGTTTCGAGGAGATTTTTCATCTTTTCGCCACGGCTGCGCTTCACTTTTCGTCTGCCTCAGAGGCTGAGTTTGGTCGAAAAGCTTTTTTTTTTCTTTCAAGCCTTTGGCCAGCTTTTCTGTTACATCGGGTCTAAAATGAAGCTGCAGATTGACCAAAAATTCTGGGAGGCTTCTTTTTCTCACAAGTATTTACTGTTTTTGAAAGCGCAGAAATTGAGCGACAATTAAGAAAAACAGTTTTCTAAGATTTCTAAATTATTGTCATAACATTTAAAACATCACCAAAAGCCGCAAAAATCATAAATTTCCCAAAAGAAAACCGATTTCCTTTTCTCAATCTAAAAAAAAAGTATTGAAAATATCTGCTTGCAAAGTGTCTCAACAAAGAGGTAAGTTATTGAATTGCTTATTTTGACCCTGCCCGGCAAATTTTTTTTGTGAATTTGCGCATATCCTAACAAAACTTGTTACATGCCACAGCCAGAACGCTTTCCTATAAGCATTTTTTTTCTCGTTATCCCCATTTTTTTCAATTTTTTCTCAAACTCGGAAAATTCATCTTCCTCTAATTAATTCCTCCTTAATTTTGTTTGCCGACGGGTCAGAGATTTCTCAGAACCTTTGGCAAGTTTTTAGGCAGATTTCCGGCGCTAATGAACTTTATTTCCCCTAGGTTCACGAGACGCTTTTAATTAAATTGATTAGGCTACAGGAAGGAGAAGAGGAAAAAAAATGGGAGAAGAGGCGTTTTAACTCGATTAGAATAATTGATTCGAATAATCGAGGAGAACACCTTCCATCGAATTAATTAGATTTGAACTTTTTTTTCTTCCAGAAGGGATGGGAAGAAAAAGCTTCCTCAGATCAAAGACTGTTTCCAGAGGCTTTTTTCCGCGAGCAATTGAAGGGGAACTGCCTCTAAATGCCAAAGAAAAAACGAACGGAGTTCCTCTGGAGATTAGACTCGTTTTCCCTAATCTCGAGCAACCTACATGTCAGTTTAAGCCTAATGATGAAGAGACAAGATAACAAAAAGGCTTCCTTAGGTTTTTCTGTCGAGAAACATGCAAATTCCTTGTTTCTCCCCTTTTTCAGGCTTGGGTAAACTTATCCGGCGCATTTTGAAAAGCTCAGGTGATCATTAGAGTCTTCTGAAGACTTTATCTGTCCTGGCGACGAAACATTTTGAAATTCAAAAACAACCTATAAGTTAATGTTTCGAATTCCTGGCTGTGGCCTACGTTGCCTTTTTCCTTCTTGATTTTCCTGTTTCAGCGTGGCAGAAAAAATAAAGGTGTCGCTCGTGCTTGTAAAGCGTATATTTCTTTAACGGAAAAATTCTAAACTTCTTATTAGTCATTTTAAGTTGCCATTAGAGAGATCAGGAGTTTATTGAAAAAAGCTTTTTTCAACACGTTGGCTCAAGGCGTCATTATCGAAAAGATCGGAAAATTTTCATGGACCTTAACCTGGTTCATGTGAAACATTTACAAGTCGGTTTTCAATTATTTCAGATATTCCAAAAAAAACTACCTGTCAAATTGATATTTTTTCAACAGAAAAAAAGTTTCCACCACAGTTGAATGGTGAGAAAGCAATAAGGAAATTTGATACAACTTCTTCTCGAAAGCCCACCCAAGAAGTGCATCCTCTGGAAAAGTCTAATGGAACGGCGGGAAGGATGAGTCGGAATGAATGAAGTTTCTCTTCGGCCAATATCACTTGGCCAAACTCTTCGCGCCTTTTTTGCCGCAGCTTCATCGGCTCTTCTCGTTCGCGCCGGCGATTGTCTGTTCCTTCCTTTCTCATCTTGTCTCGATTTACCGCTTGGGTGGTCCATTTACATTTTTTGCGCACCCCGCCTCGTTTTTGTTGTTTCCTGCTTCTGTTCGCTCGCGCAAGCCTTTTGCACTTTCCGCATCTTTTTTCCATTATCTCGAGGTTTTTGCCAGAAAAAATGTCAAAAATACGGCCTTTCCTGCAAAAATGTCTGGTACGTCACGTGTAGTGGATGCAAATCAACACAAAAGGTCAATTCTACTTTGCGGTTGCAAAGTTGTCCTAAATTGGCCGGAGCACTTCCTGATGTACCAATGCAAGATCCTTGAAGCCCGAAGCTGCAGAACTTCATAATTTTTTTTTTACGTGAGCTTAAAAATCAAATAAAAGCATCAAAGACTGAAAAATAGCACATTTCTAACTTTTAGCCTTGATTAAGCTACAGATTCACACCTTCAATTATACTACGAAGTTTACTTCTGGCAGATTTTTTGTTCTAATCTACAATGAAAAAAAGCTCCAAGACCTTTTTAAAGTTTTCTTAAGCCTTACAATGTCAGAAAAAGCCCATTAGTGGCTTATTTTCTTTCAAAGATGAACTGTATAAAAATGAAATTTTTTCTCAACAATTTCCCAAAGGAAACAGTCGCATAAAAGACAAAAATACTGATATTTTGCTGTTTCCAGCAAAAAACGGGGCGGAAACGGTGATTCCTTTGGTCCTCAGCCAACGTCTTAGAGAATAATTTAAAATTATGGCCCTCGGGTCCGAATTAGGTCATAAAGTCAAATCCTTCAAAATCCTATTATCCTTCTTGATGGGAGCTCAATTCATCAAATTCTTCATAAAAGGATGCCCCTTTGGGTCTATTTTTGGTTTTTTGTTTTCATTCTTTCAGAGAGCGACAATCTAAAAGCAGCTCTTCGAAATATTTTCCTTTACGAAAAATTCATAATTTTAATATTAGAATTATCAACTTGAAAACTTTTGTGAGCTGTTAAATTTTCATTTTTTCGATTCTGCACAGAAAAGCACTATCGGAAGATATATCGAGCTATTTTTGAAAAAGCAGACCAGATTCATTTTTTTTGAGCTCTTTGAACTCCGCTTCGTTTTTTCTAGAATTTCGCTTCTGAGAAAGTTGGTAGTTTTTTTTTCAACTTTAAAACTGAACTTAGAGCTCGAAATATTCAGATTGATAATAAAGAAAAATTTACAAATCTTTTCCACGTGCAGTCTATTTTTTTGAAGTTCACAGTTATTTTTCCTCAAAGTGTTTTTTTCCAGTTCATTTTATGAGCTCTTAGGACCTTCTTGAACGTCTCATATTGTATGACTTCAAAATTATGTTCTGAGTACAATTTTGTTGCAAAAGAATTTTCAAGCCATCAAGTTAAAAAAAAATTTACCAATCCTCTTGAGAAAAAAAAAGTTTTCAAAAAAACTTCTAAGGGCTTGCAAAAACCTTTCAAAAACTTTTTATAGAAGCAAATCAAAAATTACAACTTGAACTCAACTAGGCGAGTTCAACCTCAGCTACCTGATAAAATATTCCGGGTACGATTCGCAGACAAAGCCGATTTCTCATTTTTATTTCAAAACCAAAAAAAGGTCGCATGTCCCGTTTTTGTCGACTATATTTTTGCCTTATTAGCGGGAGTACATTTCCAATTTCTTTGTCCTTAAATCTCTCTATTTTTTGCAGAATTTTATCTTCTCTTTTCGATATAGGGCCTAGATCTTCAAATATTTTGACACTCTTTGAGAAGAAGCGCAAAAATTGCAGATGTTTTCGGTTGGATAATTTGTTTGTTATTGCGGTTCAATATTTTTTATGAGTTCTCAGAAAACTTTTAATTTGCCGTAAGGCTTCATTTTCCTGCGAGCCTGTGCGAAAAATGATTGATAGTTTTCCAAAATATATAAAAAGGTTTGACTACGGTTTTAGGCCGATGATAACTGCACAAACTTCTTTTGACAATATTAGGCCGCTATTTTCAAACTTGTTTCTGCGATTTATGGTGGATAAACTTGACTCAGAATCGCCATTTTTTGATGATTTCAATATAGAACTTCTTCTCGGAAGTATTCCACCAGGAAGACACTATTAAAAAAAAGTCCAAGCCACTACAGGACAATTGACGAATACGGTAGCGTAGAAAGGTGTCCTCTCGAAGCAAAAAAAAGCTCGCGTTTTTTCGCCCAACTCACGAAAATCCGCTAAGCTCCGCCCATTTCTGTCAGGGGATTTGGCGTCTCATACGCAACAACCGGCAAACCTCGGGGCAACTTCTCCATTTGGGATCCTCTCAAAATCCCTCACCTATTCCGACGTGATCACCTGAGATGCTGTAAGTCTTTTTGAAGTTCCGGAAAAAGACTTTGGATTAATGGGAGATGGATTATGAGCTCATGAGTCGCAAAATCTGAACCTAGTTACTCTTGAAAACATTTTGAAACTGTGTATTATGCACCAGCTCAAGCGCAAACTGAAAAAGACGAAATCTAAGAATAAATTATATCTTTCCAGGTCCAAAAAAAGAATTGGTTCGAAATTTTTCTGTACAAAGATCTTACTCTATTAGTGATCCTTTAAAAGGCGGTAGAAATAAAGTTACAACTCTCATTTTTGAAAAGCTTTTATCAAAACAACTCACCTGTTTTTCAAAAAAAAAAAATCAACATCACGAAACTCTGGATTTCCAGCAATCTGTGAAGGGTTTCAAAAAAGCTCGAACTTTTTTCGGGTCATTTCAAATCTCACAAACAATCCTGGACTCTCATATAACGCAGTTGTTTTCCCATTCCGACTAAGTGGTCATGGGAATCAGCCAAAAAAAGGTTGAATAAAAGGCTTAGGACCTCGCCGATGTTGCGAATTTCCAATAAAAGACTAAACTATACATTAAAAATTCAAACCAACTTCAGAAGTGGTAGATATTAGTTTTTCTTCAATTTGAAGAAATTGTAAATAGCTTAGCTCATGAAAACTTGAAAAAAAGATCACAAAATATTTTTCGCTCAAAACGCGTAAATCGTTTTCAGTCGGATGCAAAAAAAAACGTAGAAACGGCCACAGATCAAATTGCTCTCAATAGAAATAAGTAGGAAACTTTTTTCTAAGCTTAACTTGGTGAATTGAGTTTTTTCTCAAGCTTTTAGGAATAAATAAATATGCAAAAACATTAGTTAAGACATAGTTAGTTTAGATAGAGTGTACAGAAAGGTATCAAAGTTTGGAATCTTATCAAGGATTTAAATACCTACACGTCAATCCTAGAATAACATTTGTCTGGCTACTATGGAACTAACAATTTCACGAAATTTGCAGCTTTTTTTTTGGCGTTCTGAAAAATTTTCAAGCGTTCCAAATTTATAATTTTCGACAGCAAAAGGATTAAAAATAAGTCCGAGAGCGAATAAAATAGAATAAAAAAAACTTTTGAAAAATGTTCCAATCATTCTAAAAATTATACGTATCTCAAGGCTTAATCTGAAAATCGAATTTTGGCTATCATCCTTTAAAATGAATTTAAAGGCAGTGAAAGCGGCAAATGGAGACTTTTGTCAAATTCAAACAGAACTCTTGCAAGCAACTTCCTGGAACAAAAGTTCGAGAAATGCGTGGGACCACCCACGTGCTTTTTTTTTCCAATCCACACGGTATCCTACCAAAAAAACTTTGTCTAAAGTGCCTTCGTCGGAGTGCAAGGAAGAGCAGCGGTTCATTAACAAGCAAAAAAGAAAAAAGAAGAAAAAGCGTTGTCGGTAAATTTTCCAAGGCGTTCGCAACCGCGCAATTAAGCGACAAAAACACCTCTTAAACATCCGGATCCCTTTTTTCTGTCTGGCTCATGTTTCTGCATGTTTCCGAAGATAATTTGGAACCATTCTCTGTTAATTTCTTTGTTTTTGGATAATTTATTGGTCGATTCATCTTTTTAAAATTTACTAGGCTCCCAGAAGTCTCAAGAATGGAGAGTCTTGATATTCAAATATTTTTTATTATGGAAAAAAAAAAGTGAAAGTTAAGATCAGAGCCTTTTTTTCAATCAGCATTTTTTTGAAGTAATGTTGATTGGCTCAAAAAAATAAATTTATAAGTTGACAAAATATCTGTTCATTTGATTTCTTTCTATTCGAGAAATTCTGACGGTCTCTGCTCTCTTTTTTCTTTAAAACTCCATCAAAGAGTTCACGAATATTTTTTTAATTTATCTCTGAAGGAAGAGAGCGCGCAGAGAACCCAGAAAACATCGAATCTGAGCAAAAAAAAGGCCTGGGACACTTTGGAATCGTCAAATCTACTTTAATTGGAAGCAAGACATTTTTTCAAGTTCATGATTCTTTTTAAATATTAAAAAAGAACGGACGAAATATTTTTTAACTTCGAAACTTCTTTTTTCAAACTTCTACACATCCTCTGAGTAAACTGAAGCCTCCAACTTTTGTCGCTGAATTTTTCAATTTTCCTCGAATCGAAAGACTTATTTTCAAGCGAGAACACCACGGAGCTGAACGAAACGACGGCCACCAGGACCCCTTTTACCATGGGTGAAAGCGACTACATCAAGGTTTCCGAACCGAACTACATGGTTATCTGTCTTCTTTTCGGCTGTCTGGCTGTTTCTGGGTACGGCTTCAAAGATAATAAAAAAGGGGATAAAAAAGAGATTCCGTTGTCTGAGAGGACAATGGAAATGAAATTTTATTTCGAAAGGTCTTCGTCATTTGTAGCGTGTCTCATGTCATGGGAAAAAAGTCCGTTTCGATCACGCAATCCTTCCAAAATTATTGAGAAACACTACAATTTTCAATAGCGATTTTGTACAGTAGACCTTATAAAAAAAGTGCTGAAAAATTTTTTTCATTCTGCTCACAAAGGAAGAAAAATTTTTTTATAAGTTTTAAAACAGTTAAAAAGTTTAGACAAAAAAATGAAACCTTCCATCATTATTTTTTTAATCATTTAAGAGGTCACTCGAACGTCTCCTAGGGCTTTTTTGACTTGACATCTATTATAGCACACTATAATTTCACTCATTGTGAAGATACAGGCATTGTGAAAAAAATCCACGGAAAGGCTCGTGACAAAAAACATGGTCGCATTTGGAATGGCTTGAAGCCTGAGAGATGAAAAACGTTTTTTTCAGCTACTCAGATCAAGTATTCTATTCCACATGCGACCGAGCAAGTCGAACGTAGATAATACTAACTTAAATCTTAAGAATTGCGACGAACGCCGTCTACTGTGGAATCGTGCTAATAAAGAAGACCCTGCATGTCTCATGTCACATTCTAATGAGCAACCTGGCCGTTTGCAACATTCTTTACATGATTTTGCACGTTCCTTACTACGTCGACGCCCTCGTTCTCAATAACGAACCTTTCTATGGTATCCAAAAAAATAAGAGCACTATTTAGTTCAAGCTGAAAACTTTCAGGACGCATTCCCTGTAAGATCCTCTTTAGTAGCGGCTATTTTTCAAGCACGGGTGAGTAGATTTTCAAGAAAAATGAAAAAAAATGATTTCTAGGAAGTTTCTACTTCATGACGGCCATTTCTCTGAACCGATGGGCGAAAATATACGGAAATGTGACTTCTCCGAGGCTCCCGCTGAAAATGAACGCGATTGCCGTTTGGATCAGTAATCATGTTAGTGATGTCATTGAAACTTTATTGATCTCGGAGAACTATTATTGAAAAAAATAAACCAAAATTGACTTTATATCATTTTGGGCGCCAAAAAAATCCAAATATGAAAAATGTTTTGATATTATTTTTAGGCGAGTTTCCTTCTTCCAACAAGCTAGATCTTTTTTTTCTTTCTAAACAAAAAAAAATCAAAAAAAGATTCCAGACCCTGGTAATGGTAGCGATTTGTTGGACGATGGCGATCGCGATTTCCACCCCTGCTGTCTTCATTGCTCATGTTAGCCATTATCCAATGAAATTCAAGAATTTGTCAAGATTCAGCTCGATGTGGTCAACATCAAAGGAGCTGGAGGAATCGACATTTTCAACTCCTCCCACTGCCGTGGCATCATTCTCAACATCGTTCAACTGACTGTAAATCTAAAAAAGAATATTTTTTTCAAAAATTGTGACGTCTTAAGGTTCTCATCTTCTTCCAATATTGCATCCCGATACTCGTCCTGGTCCCGGTCAATCTTCACATCTGCTACTTCCTGAGCAACCTAAAAGATGTGACCAACACCACCATGGCGAAGAAAATCAAGGAGAACAACAAAAAACGTGGCAGGATCATCTCGTCTCTTCTGCTTCATATCATTCTCCAAGTCTGAGAATATTTCCAAACTTCAAATCTGGATTGGTTCCGACTTCAGGTCTGCGCTTGGGTTCCTCTGTTCTTCGTGTCGATCCTCCAAGAAATCGCCAAGCAAACTTCGTTCATGGCTCACACCCAGGCCAAAGTCTTCTGTCTCCTTGGGATAATTGTTGGAGGGCAGCTCAAGAAAATCTTGATTTTTTTGGTTCAGCTTACGCCGATCATATTCTCCGCTGGTGAAGGACTGAAAGCTTCGATGCTGAAAGACTTGGCTGTTAAATGCTTCTGCTGGCTTATTGGCCGTCGCGAGGAACCGCCTCAGCCGGAACCTTGTAAAAATCAAGTAAATGGTGAAAGACCAGAATTTTTTAGCGGAAGCCGTCCTTCGTGCTCGCGAGAGCCGTCATCGCCGTGAGGAAGAGCGACGAATCCTTATGGCGGCCCAAAACCAGGCTAACGAAGTCACTCCCTTATTGAGCCATCGTGTCAATCTAAATGATAAACAGCTGTCCCACGTCTCCTACGAAACCAACACGCCTACCGATGCTTCCACTCAATCCCACACCAGCAGCGCTCTCGCCTCGTACCAGGTTTAGAAATTGAAACTGTGTTGATCAAAACTTGAAATGCTTCATAAGGAAGTCCAATTATTTAGAAAATTTCTGGAAACAAGTTTGAAAAAAATTCGGACAGTCTCAAACTGCTCTTGAAGAATAGTCGCTTCAAAAGAAGCCATTTTTGTCATGGAGCAAAGGGCCAGAACTTTAGAACGTCTGCATTAAAGGAAAAAATTTCTGACTGAGAAATATTGCTCCAGTGCCAGGTCGAGTTGATTTCAAAACTTCGATTTTCAACCTTTCTTTTAAACGTGTAATTTTGAAGCTGAGCGACTCTCAGTGAGCTCTTTCCCGAATTTTCTCTCCTGGATTTAAAAAAGCTTCCCACAAAAAAATTAAGGAAGAATCGAAATCTCATAATGAAGCAATTCTTTACCGTGAAAGTTTCAGACCGAAGTCACGGTTGACTTCCACGAATGCCCATTCGACCGGATCGAGTTCATGGACAAGGAGGAGACCATCCCGAGAAAGGCCAAGGATGTCATCGTCACTGCTCAGCCGGACCGTGGCTTCACCTTCGTTCACGTCGAAGAGTGTGGACCTTCCACCAGCGGATCCATGGCTGTCTTCTGCCGACCTAACAGCGATGAAATCAGCATCATTTCGGAGAATGAAGAAGTCAACTTCTAATTAGAGATTTATTTCTACTCACAGTGGGGATTTTGCTGGAAAATAAAAGCCGTTTTTTGAATTTGGAAATTGCCATGAAGGTATTGGAATTGGAGAAAGTTAGGCGCTCTGATTGAATTTCTGTCTAAAAATGTAAAAAAGTAGACCCTAGAAATCAAAAAAAAAATTTTTTTTCGACAATATGATCTTGAGTCAACTTAAAAATTTCTCAAGAGCATTGGATGAAAAAAAGTTAAAATATAAGATGATTTGGCCATCTTTTTGAGCAATTTCCAGAGCTCATGAATTTTTTTCCATTCGTATCTCGTTATAATAGCAAATATTAATTTGAAATAGGAAGAACATTCAAAAGAGATTTTTCAATTGATTTCTCCACTGTAAGATGAGACACGTTCTACTTTGAAAACTTCTAAATATACTAATTAATTCACCTTTTTTTCCAAAATCTACCAAGTTTTTTTATAAAATCCGATGGAATTGACAAAGAACTAGCTTCATAGTTGGAAACTTCTTCAAATTCTTAAAATCAAAAAAATTTTTTTCTAAATTTTATTTCTCACAAAAATTTATTTCTTCAAGTGGTTGTGAATGTCACTTCTGAACCCTTTTTGATAATTCCTATGGATTTCATCAGAACCATGAAACCGTAAAGACACTCAACCCTTTACTTGAACCATTAACTTAATTTGATATAGGTATTCTTCCGAAACTGCGCTGAATTGACGTCTTCTAGCCGCATGTGGAATGGCTGAAAGTTTTTGAACTTGGAGTTCCGCAAGTCTTTTTCGGTCGGTTGCACCTTCCAAGCTATTCTCCACGCGGCCAAAAGATTTCAAGCGATTCGCTATTAATATTTGGTTTCTTTTCCCGAAGATCTCTACCGCAAGTTCATGTAGATCTCATCTGTTTCCTTCTCAAGGATCTAATTAGGTATTCTTCCTCATTTTTATGAAATCATTCGTTCTCCCTTTCAAAGGGTTAGTTCATATTTATCTCCAAACGGTGTTCACCCTGACCATAAATAAACGCCATTCTCGTTATGTTGTTCCATTGAGAATGTACGTTTAGTTCTCCGAATAAGTGTTGTGATTGTGGGGAAATTTCAAATTGATGTCGTGTTGTGTTTTTCTTTTCATTCAAGGTAGACGAATAAAGGTGTTATTGGGAATCGGGAAGCTTTTTATTGACAAATAAAACAGGAAAAATGTTTATGATCGTAGGCGTGAGCAATAATATTGATTTATTTTCAGAATTCTTTGTCTCTTTTCAGAGTGAAAGAAAAAAATGGAGAACTGCGATTATTAATAACCACAGTACATACTTTACCCAGAAATATAGATGATAAATGAGAGAAGTTGAAGAAAACCATGCATGGTGCTGATCTTCTTGGAAATTCTTAATGAATGAAAGAAAACTTGACGAATTCGGATTATATAGAGAACCTGAGGAATTCGAACATGGAAAATCCCGAAAAATGAGACAGATTGCATCAAAATTTATGTACCCTGATAGCATAGCACTAAATTTTAGAATTTAAAAAAGAACGAAACGAAATCCGACAAATTGTGATAATAAAAAAAACACGTAAAGTGTACAAAAAACTGACCTGAGGATTGACGGAAAGAGGTTTAAAAAAATCCTATACCAGATTCTGATTTTTTTCGAAGTGAGTCATGATTAAAAGCTCCAGTGAACGGCCTGTATTGCCTTGTCGTTTTTTCACATTTTTGAGCGTCCATAAATTTTTCACAGGCCTTTTTGAGATATTTCGGGGCATTGGTTTTGAATCGATGTGATGAAATTTTCTAGTAAGGCAGCGTTTGCTCAAAGTATTACGATGAGCAAATTTTGTTCCTTGATCAGAAGAAAAATTCCTTTATTTTTTTTAATACCTCTAGTTTTTTCGACCTCACCCCAGCTGGTTTTGAACACGAACACGCCAAAAACGTCTGCACATCTACCTTTTTTTTTGTGATCATTCTAAGACTCTTCCTTGAGGAATTCATGTAAACTAGGAACTATCCAAAACTTCATAATTCTTATTCTCAAAATATGTGAAGAACATAAGACCACACACGGCGTTAGCCGAAAAAAAGAGGAGATTATTTCGCCGTGGAACAGGCTAAAGGTATTCCAATGGTTATTCTAGAACAGAAATTTTTTGAGAAAGTGTACTGAAATAGGAGAGTTCCGACAGCAAATACGGTTCAATAGTAACTTCCCACTGGGCGGGGTGTAAAATAAACAGGCACACATTAACATAATCCCATGCCAAATGTTTCCTTTTTTCAAACTACCATTTGGAACAGAGATGAAGTGCTGCGGTTTTCTCCTCCTTCTGACCGCCTGTTTCATTTTACAGGTTTGTAAGAATACTCTTGTCCAGTCATTTTTCACAGATAAAATCGGACGATCCGTTCAAAGTGACGGATAGTTTCCCACCAATTCCTTTCGGAGAGAAGGGAGCTGCTTTTATTGATGAAGACGACGATGGGTTGGTTTTAAATGCAAGTTTTTCAAAGGTGGTACTTGGAACCAGATAATAGCAGTTTTTTTTTCTCGAACTTAAATAAATTAAACTGCCAATCCAACCTTAAAACTGAATTTTTTCGCTTCTTGTACGAAATTTTGGTATCCAACTATCGCACTATTCGTAAACTGAAGAAACGTTTATAAATACTAATATTCGAAGAAACCAAGATTTTCATTTTCGGTGGGATTGATTCTAAAATCTTCCCCTTTGACCCTTTTTATTTCGATCAAAATAAGCCTCTCCAGCCGCAATATTCCCCTTATTTCTAGTTTGCTCATTAATTCTAAAAATAACACCAAGTTTGAAGCAAACCCGACGAGATTGATCATCGGCATGCGGTGAACAATGAGATCATCGGCGCTTTCTCCAACAAGCAAACATTCGCCTGTCCCCGAGCAAAACCTCAACTTCATACTGTACGCGAAATACAAATCCAATGACGTGAAATAGGACTTCAGGGGGATAACATGGCGAATATCAGTCCCGAGGACATTTCCATCGTGGCAGCAATGGGAGATTCACTAGCGGTTAGTTTTATTAGAAACAAATAAATTGGCATCGAAGGTACTCAGGTCTTTGGCTTATTTTCCACTCCTCATCCTCATCTTTTCTATCAGGAAAGTATTGCCGGTGGCCGGTTGAGATTTCCGTGAAACTTTGCAGAAACGTAATCTGGGGGCTTCCGAAAAAGTCTATTTCCTTCCAGTTGGAAATCGATAATATTTTTTTGTCGTAGAAACTCTTGTCTGTCGATTCGCATGGAACTGTGGGAAAACACAGTTTTTGTGTTTGTCAAAAAAAAAATCGAGGAATAACAAAAATGATCGAAAAACTGTCGAAAAATAAAAGCAAACGGCTTGAGTTTGATTCTTAAGCTCCCGCCAAAAACCTCAAGATGGAAAGAATTAATTCTAACATATGTGCTTCTGCAGCCTCTAAAATCAGGAAAAATGACTATATAAGATCACAAAAAAGTCTTGGCCAAGTTTTGGAACTAAATCAAAGACGACAAGTTTTGAGGCACCATAACGCGTATAAAAAACTACACAATTCTCCTTTTTTAATTTGAAATAAGAAGACCGAAAAGTACATTTCTGCAAAATTTCATCAAGCATTTCCCTTCAAGAAAGTTGAAAATCGTATTAACACTTCCACTTTTTCAGTCCGGACGAGGTCTTTGGTTTCCAACAAACGTCGAGTTCCGCGGAGCAGCTTTTCCCATTGGAGGCGATGCCACTTTTGATGGTCTCGTGACGATACCAAGTATTTCTCAGTTCCAAAATAAGACAGGCGAAGCTTTTTTTCTAGACATTTTGCGACAATTCAATGACAAAATCGACGGAGTTTCCCATGGAATGGGTACGAGAGATCGGATACCTGACTATCAGTACAATGTTGCCGAGGCAGGAAGCGAAACGGACGATCTTCCAGCCCAGGCAGGAATTTTATTATGCCAGAAAAAGTTTTCTCGCCCCTAGCTTACAAAAGAATAAAGTTGAACATTTTCTCTTAGAGAACAAAGAAATACAAAAAAAAATCATTTCTACATCATTTTACAGTTTCTTATCATTGTTATGTCTTTTTTTCCTGATAAAATATGAAACATTGAAAATCTCACGCAAAGTCATGACTGAACTAATTTTCGCTTGAGAAACACGACATTCCCGTTTCAAATTTTTTGATTGATTTTTCTTCAAATTTTATTACTTTTTCTAGGCCAAAGAACTTGTCCGTCGGATGCGCACTCATGTCCGTCAATTTTATGAACGCTGGACTCTTGTTACGATCGCAGCGGGAACAGAAGAAGTTCGAAAAAAATTACTTATCAACTGATAATATTGTGTTGAGTTTTGCGCTCGCTGTGAGCCGCCGAATCATCCGTCGCTCCGCAGAACGATGGGAACTTTAAGAAAAGGAATACCAAAAGCTCTCGTGATCCTTCTTGGACCTCTTCACGTTTCATGGAGCTACAAGCAGAATATCAACTTATTGAGGTGATATTCAAGAAAAAGAAAAATGTAATGTGATGAAAGGAATTTTTTGAGACGATCGTGCAATTTCGGAATCGAGGTCATAGTTGAAAAATTCGACCATGTTTTAAACTTTGGAAAATTAACTTCTATCACCAACTTCATCCGTTTAAAATATACTTGAACTTGGTATCTTTGTACATAACAAGAAAAATTAGAATAGGAAAACTTCTTTCGAAATTTTTGACTTTGACTGCAATAAACTCTGACGCAATTGAGAAGGTTTTTTCTCATTTGGATTGGCTTAGAAAGTTGCTGTTAAAATTTAATATGCTCTTAAAAAAAAGCCGGCTCAATTTCAGTTAATTTCAATTAATTTCAACGCAACAGTGCGCAAGTCGCTTTGGGTCGGTTGCTTTCTTAGTTAAGTTAAGATTAATAAAAATTAAAAAAAATCTTTCATTACATTCACTCCCAGCTGAGTTTCAGATCCCGATGTCCGTGCTTAGGAAATCTCACAAGAACAGACTACAAAGACCTTGTCTACAGATGGAAAACAACTTTTTTGAAAGTCGAGGTATTTTTTTCTCTCTGAAGTCCGACTTTAATCTTCTTCTCAGCAAGAGTTCAACAGTTTGAACTACACAACTTTTGGTGTTCTGACGATTCCAGCGCTCACTATTCATTCAAGAGAACCTGAGACGCTTTTCATAGAGAATGGCCCCTTGTTGAACAGGTGAAATAATCTTGACCTTACCTGTAATCAAAAGTTTAGAAAAGGTCATACTTATGCGGCCAAATCCTTGTGGAACTTCTTGATGGCCGGACCAAATTATAACTTATCGAGGACTATCATCTCTCAAGACTCTTATTATTGCCCTTCAGTGGTGGATAACATTTCGAGAAAATGGACGAACATAGAGATTCCAGGGCTGTCCTTACTTCCGAACAGTGCAAAACTTCGAGCATTGTCAAGTGATCACGGAGGATTACTGGCAGGCGGTCTATCGTCCAACTTTGCCTCCAAATGGGACAGTTGTGCCCCATAATGAGCAAGTCCGGAGACATCTTCTAGGAGTTATCGGCTTAGTTACGGCTCTTGCTCTGATCTCTGTTCTGTGAGTTTTATGAAAACTTTGTTTTTTTTTATGGATATCAGTGAGCTCTTGATGATCTTAGTGAACCTTAAAAATAGAAAATAGAACTTTTTAAAGCTGATCAAAAAATAAATGAAACTTCACCGGAATGCCTTAGGATCATAATTTCTGGAACACGCGAACATTTCCCAACCTAGAAAACCTTGAAGTTTAGGTAATACTTATACATCATTAAAAAAATGGGTTTTTTTGAAGTCTTTGAAACCTCAGAAGTCTTTGAAGCATGTAAAATCAAAAAAAAAATTTTTCCACCTTCAGGAAAAGTTTCCTGGAAAGACTATTTGATTGAGAAATTGCACATATGTGAAAAAAATTACAGGATCTTTGGAACAGTTTTCTACCGCCATGGAATGAAAGCGACAAAGGGCCGATTCGATTACGTGGATGATGTGCCCGAAGATGAGGATTCGCAAACAATGACAACTCAAATTATTTAAACTTGTTCGAAAAATTGAAGACTGATAAAGTTTAAAATACTGTTGGAAATACTATCAAAGCCAGATTTGACTATAACAAAGAATTTTTTAAAAATAATGTTATACTGTTTGTTCAAAATTACGACTCAAAATCATGCTTTTGGCGGCTTTTTAATTCTTAACAGTAATCCCTAAAATTCAGATAAAACTCTACGTACTTTAAAAAAAAATAGCGGTTATCGAAAGTTTTTGATTTTTAGAAGCATCATAGGAATTTTCGAAACAATCAATAAAAAAGCAGAACATAGGTACAACATTCCTCACTAGCAAGAAAAAAAACAGAAGATCATTTTCTGCTTTTTCTTGGTTGTTTGCGCACGGTTTGTCCTAACACAGGAGAGCTTAAACCTCCCCACCGGCCTGCTGTTTTCTCAATAAAAGCTCCTCCAATCGAACTCCTTGCTGCTGCTCATCCTTTTTGGAACTTTTGGAAAATGCTCAGGTTTGTGCTTTTTTATAACTTTTTTAAAATGTGAGTATCATTTTTGAAGATTTTTTTTTCGAGGCTCTACCTTTTGAATATGGGCAAACGTATTTTCATTTCGACACTTTTTTATGTTTTCAACTCAGACTTGCCGTCTTCTCCGCCTTATTCGGTCTAACTTCAACCTTCAATTTCAATGCAGGCTTGTCAACAGGCCTTGGCTGTCTTGTAACGGTAGAATTTGATCATTAATCCTCTATTTCACCTGATGATTTTCAGAAAAATATGCTCTTCTCTCAAGGTAATTTCATCCGCTTTCTGAAAAAGGAAGAGATGGACCAATATAAAAAATATAAAAAAGAAGCGGCTGCGTTTAAAGCGGTGAGTTATGACTAGTCTATTCAATCGATCTTGATACTAATTAAAAATATGGCTACCTGCTATAAAAATCATTTAAATCTCAGAAAATCGACGATGCGTTCGACAAGGCTGAAGAAAACGAGGCGAAAAACGCGACGGTCCCTCCTATGCCAGTGAAACCAAGTATGCCGGCATTCTGCACCGGACCTGATACTACTTTGTACATTTTCGGCTCCTGTTCTGTTCAGGTATTCTTCCTTCAGTTAAAATAGTTTTCATCGGTTTCTACAGAACAACAAAATCTACATCAATAAGAACTTTGCAAGAGATCTGGATGAAGCTGAAAAGAAGAAAATGAGCGATTTTATTGCTTTGATGGCTTCTCAAATGGTGAGTTAATGAATTTTCTCCACAATTTCAGTATTTTTCAGCCCGGATCAACGCCGCCGAAACCTCAAAAAGGCTTGGAATTCTGTACGGAACTCAACTTCCTTTGAATTTGTTTATTTTTTTGTTATGTTTTATTAAGTTATTTATTCAATAAATTATTGCATTCACAATTAAAAAGACTATTTTCGATGAGTTTGAAAGTTTCAAGGTTCTCGAAAATGCACAAAATATGGAATGTAGATGCAAAATATCTAGGATAAATTCTGGAGGTCGAGTATTCCCAAGAATACATTTAAAAAAATCACTTCACAGTTTCAATGAGATCGATGCAATTCTCACAACTTGATAAGGAATTCTATACCCATGAGTCAAGACCAGAACTCCTTGTAGAAAAATAAAAAATAAACAAAATACAGGAATGAAAGAGCTAATGGGTCGTAAAATTGAAGACTTCGGTTTGAGCGAATGAGTTGGGCGTTTTTCCAGTCGTCCCAAGTGAGCATGTCCAAGTCGGGAGAGTTGGGCTCGAGTCGGTTGCAATCGATGCCACAATGAGCTCTCATTCCCATCCTTTCACAGAGGCAACGAGTTACCAGAGACTGGAAAATATGTTGGTTGAAGAAAAAACCAGTTCAGATGTAGTCGGGTTTAAGTGGATTTTAGGCAAGAAAAAAATTCCGAAATTTTAATCGGGAAATTCTTTTTTTTAATTGAACTTTTCGTGATGTCTGTACACTCTTTCTCTTTCAGTGAACAAAGAAAGAGAAAAAAAATTATTTTTCATGGAAATGAAGGCATAGTAGCCCTAAATGCCAAAAAAACGATGTCTCAGCAATATTCTAGATTTCAGCTTCTTAGTTGATTTATGAAGACTCGAAAAATGGCCCAAAAAACTGACATGATAACAATTTGCATGATGAAGTTGGTAAATTTCAGAGAGTGTAGATCTGACCACCAGACATTCTCGTTCCTTATCGGTCTCTTGATAAATCAGAAGTCGTTTGGATGTATCCATTTTAATTCTGAAAATTTGCTCTTTCTTATTTTTTTTCAGAAAAGTCACCTAAGTAATCGATGACGATCAAATTGAGAATAGCCATTCCGAGGCTTCATTTTGAGCTCGCACTGGTTCATAATGTTGTGAACATGATCGCTAGTACAGTTCTCCGTCCTGCTGAGGTGGCACTGGGTCTGCATATACCCCCAAAGCAGAGATTAGTTGAACTGGAGACGTCAGGGAAATTTCCTTGCGTTGGAGGAGCGACAATGAAGGGAACGGACTGAAAATAATTTTTTTGTAGAAATCACAGGTTTCTTTGTGAAAATTTTTTTAAAAGCAAATGGGCAAGATTTAAGGTGAAATTAGTATATTTTAGAGTTTTTTTACTGCGTATTGAACGGAATGATTGAAAAAAATCACAGATATGAGTACTTTTTGAAGAAAAAAACGAACTATAAAAAAATTTTTGGAGAAAAAGGCTTTTTTTATACATACAGAATCATGGCCGCATTCTTGAGGCCAAAAAAATTTAGTTAGTTTCGTTTTTTTGTCACTAACAACTTTTTACAACCACGGACCCCTTCTTTAGTGTTTCCTTGACAGTTTGCCACGGCTTGACGGTAAGCCTGGGCTCCAACTCGAGCAACCGACGTCGCGTCACATTTTCCAACCCTCGACTCAAAACATTCATCCAGAAACTGAAAAAAATGCATTTTTATTAGATATCATAAATTGATGTACCGTATAATGGACACAACGGAAGTTGATCTCCTTTTGAGCACAAACTTCAGAAATCATGCTGAACAACTCCAAAAAACAGCTGACAGCTATCGTTGAGTTGCACTTGGCGTTTCTGAAATTTTTGAGTTTCTTTGGAAAAGTTCGAAGTGTTGGAGTTCGTAAAAAGCTTTTGCGCAAAAAAGCGCCCGACCTTGAACGGCTTGCGCATCAAATCAAGAAAAAAGTGAAAAAAACTGAGGTACTTTTTCGTGAAGTTCTTGATTTTTTGCAATTAAAATGACATATGACAAACTCACGGTGACACGTAGGATCGTATGAAGAAGGCTGAGGTCTGCTGGAAGAAAAGCAGAAAAAAGGCGGCACGCATAGAGACATCTAGTTACCGTTGTGACGTCATTTATCACTATATTTTCGTCTTTATTAAAGGGTTCTGAAAAAAGGTAATCGTTTCGCTCTTTTCGAATCGAGCAAAAATTTGAGAACTTGGGGTTATTTTCGATCGCAAAAACAAAAGCGAAACAAAAAAGTGCAAGGCTAAGGAAGCAGGTAGGGCTTCCGAGAGGAAATACGACAGAAATTGCTTGGATTTTGCGCTTTCAAGAGGTTCAAAAATAGGAAAGGGGACAAGGGTGAAAATGTTGATAGAAGGATTAGTCATAATTATTCAATTATAAAGCAAGATATAAAACTTTAGTAAGCTTGTGATTGAATTATGAAAGAATATAGCGTGGTTAGAGAAATTTGATTGAATTTTAGTCCTTTTGGGGTGAATTTTTGTTCAATTTGAAGTCGATAAAGTGGTACATTTTCTTTGGAAAAATATCTGAAAACCATAAAAAATGCACTCGTTTGAGATAAAATGAGATTATCCAGAACTTGATCGACAAACTGCAGAACGGAAAAAGGCAGATTTTTTTTGACATTTGGTTCAATTCGATCGACTTCGGCCTGAATTGAGCTCCAGAGAAGTTGCTGCAGCAAATTTTAAGATCTTTTGCAGAAAAAAAAACGTGTAAAACCCCAGGAAATCTTTGAAAAGATGCTCAAATTAAAAAAAAAACTTTGAAGATCTTGGTCCTCCTTAAAAGTACATTCCGTTCATCCCAGCTTCACAAGGACAGAAGCCATAGCAATCGATGTCTCAAAAGTTTGTCCGGCTTTTCCTTTGACGGGAAAGAGGCAAAGCCGACACAAGAAATCCTGCATTGCACTGATTATCTTCCAGATAATCATCCAGGGTTTCCAATCTTTTTTCTTCATTCAAACTTGCAGAAAACGGCTGAATCACCAGGGAAAAGGCTCGAAATGAGTTTTGTGAGATCAAAGTGAACAGAAGAAGCTTTTAGGGAGGAAATGAGACTTTGCAGGATTTTTTTGACTAAGCTTCTTCATATTTCATGTACTTATGAAAATTGGACAAAAGGAAATCATATTTTTGAAGGGAATAACAAGTGAAAGTCATAGGAAGTGAATCATAGTATCTCCGAAATTGGAGTAGCCTCCGTAAATGGAAAAACTCATAGAGATCCGGCGAAAAAAAACGTCGCCAAGGGTGCGAACAAAGGCTTTATCCGCGACGCCGAGAGCCGTGCTGCATGTTAATCGACCAATTGTTCCACTCATCATTTGAAGAAGGAGAAAAAAGTATCACTATGTAGATTGCATATGCATTTCACAATGCATTCCTGAGTGTAGTCCTTTCGATTAGTGTGAAACTTTCTCCAAATGAGATTATTTTTCGATGAGAGGTTGAAAAAAACAGCATTTTCTGAGCATAAATGAAACTTTTACAACAATTAATGAGCCGTAAGTGTCTGGTTTGAAGTTTATTTGAACTTCTGACCTCAACATTCCAGAAAATATATTGCAATAAATCTGATTTTCGTGTCGAGAAACACGCTTTAAAGGCCTCAAAAAGCCCATTTTCGTCTTAATTTGCTTGTTTTGTCAACCTTGACGCTTCATGAAAAGAAAACGAGACATATAGCGAGCAATCTTTCTCTTGTTCAGGAGATAATGAAGAATAATTCAGAGAAGTTTCATCAAAAGTTCGACCGGAGGATAAAAAAAAGTTCACTGGTCAGTCTCAATCTGCGTTTTCCCTTTCCAGTAGAGTTTTAAGGCTTGATAAACGGTAACCACTATTTTTCCCTCCTTCAATTCCAAAAGTTTTATTTCAAAGTCTCAAAACCTTCTTTGACCGACAGAAGAATCAATCATTAACAAAAAAAGAAGCAAGAAAAATTCGAAGCCGTCTACAAAAAACAGGACCGGATCGGAAAACAAAGCAAGCGAGGAAAATAATCGTCCAGGCCCACGCGATTTGCTCATTTCTCTCGAATATTGTATTCAAATGCGTAATTTCATCAACTGCCTGAGAACTAGAGAAAATAAGGGAAAAATTTGTAGTCTTTTTTTTTATTGAGAACACGGATGGTCCAGATTAATAAGAGGCCCATTTGTGGCCAAAACAAAAAACGCCGAACGTGGGAATGAATAAATAAGGATTTTGGTTGTACCAATGAGCTTTTCCGTGTCCATTTGTGTTGTGAATGAAAATTGAAGCTACGATCTCGAAAAAAAGAGAAAATCGATGAAAAAAGATGATTCGTGTTGTTTTTCCTCATCTTCTCATCATTCGCTAATAGGTTCGTTGACTGGTTTGTAGCGCGAAGTATCTGGCGATTTGCGACGTGGGAAAATAGCTGTCGAGGGTTTACGCATTTTTCCAACTTATAAGTGGGTGGAAACCGAAAAAAATTGGTTTCCCCTGGTTAGACAAATCCCAAAGAACGCTGAGATCATCATAAAACACGTCTAGAGAGCTATAAAAAAGCCGACTGAGATTAGAGAAATTTTACCGATTAGGAAGGAAAAATGAAGATTCATTCTTTTCAAGGCCGTAGATCTTAAAATATAGGTTGAGATGATGATTCTCAGATTGAAAAAATCTATACCATGGTGCGTGAAATAGTTAAACCTAAGGTATTTTAAAAAAAGCTTTCAAATGGACCAGGGAATACTTTAAAGTTGCCTTAATAAAATATTTTGTTCAGCCAATTGTTTGAAAAAAACTTCCTCGAAATTTCCGGCGATGAATAACACGAAGAAATTTTTTTGATGACGGTTTTTTTCGATGTCTCATCCGATTTTTCCGAGTAATACTTATAATCTTTCAAAAGAAATTGTCTCTAATGCGACTTTACTATGATTTAATACTGATATGTGTGCAATAAATCATTGCTAAACCAAGTTTTTGCAAAAAAATCTGAAGAAGTCTACAGTTATGATAAAATTATGATAAAAAAAGTAAAAGTGGCTTAAAAAAATTATTGATCAAAAAGGAGAAAAAAAAGAGAATCCACAACTGATTAAAGATCACTAAGAAACTACCATCAAACCAATGGAAAAAGAAAGCAAAATTTTGAACAGTTTTCGAAAAAAAAATAACCTCCATAACTTAAATGCAGGTCAAATTTAATGAAAAAAGCGGAATCTGAAAAACGTCAATGACTTGAACTCAATGGGAATAGATGCTGGGAAAGTGCAGTAGGTGAATAGTATTTGGAGTCCTGAAACAGAAAAGCGATATAACTCTAAAAAAAGTTTGAATGAAGCCTCTTCAAACAGTAAAACGTTGAAAGAAACACTGAACTCTGAAACTTCGGAATGATTTGCACTTGTAGCTGAACCTAATTGAGGATTGACCGCTTGAAAGATACGAACGAAGCCAATTAATCGGGGATGGATTTGCCAAAACGAGAAAGGAAATCGCGCAAACAAAACGGCGAGTGAAGCCAGAGAAAAATATATTAATAAGAAGAGCTCACCTTGATGAATTATGGTACGAATGGCTGTCCTTTCGAGCACGAAATGGGAAAAAATCGTGTTTTGGAAGAAGATTCTGGCGCAAAAAAATTTTCAAGAAAAAAGAATGATTGGAAGAAAAAATTGAGCCATATAAAAAGTGTGACGTCAAGAATAAAAGTCATACGCGAGTACCTATGAAGTTTTGATGATTTTTTTGTCAAGACTAAATTCTTCAACTTTTTAAACTTAATCCAAAAATCAATTTTTCAGAATTAAGAAAAGACTTTAGGCTTTTTAATTGAAAAAAGGTAATTCATTTTGTCAAAATGAGGAAACATGGAGGAAAAATGGCCCAAGCTTTTTTAAGATCCGGAAGAAAGGGTTTTTGGAAGAAAGATTTGATTTTTCTGACTTGGAGGACAGATCAAATCGGGTAGGGATTTCCAGAAATAGAAACTTTGCTTCAAAACACTTTCCAATTAAGAGAAGGATCATTGAAATAAAGCGTGTTTCAAAGAGAGCAAAAATCAAAGAAGAAACTTGATTGAGGCCAACTCTTCTAGCAATATCGAAATTTTTTCGCATGAAGATGATTTTTTTTTACTTAAATTGACGGTTATGAATCTGGAGATATCGCACCTAAAACAAGAAAATAAGAATACGTTAAAATTTTATCAGACTGAAAAGCCGGGACCTGAGAATTTATTCGCACTTTTTTCCCATTTTACCAAGTGCAACCTGCGGAAAACAGCTCTGAATAGCTGCATAATTGCATGAAAATTCAAGATATCTGTGATTAGAGTATCAAAAAAGCGCATCAGACAGAGAAAAAAAACAAAATCAAGAAAGGTAAAGGGCAAAAACATTCGATCTTCGCTTTCTATGGCATCTTAAAACGGCGAAAGAAGCCCTTTTCGCAGGAATATTAATAACAAATAAAGCAACATGCGGCGGCGGAGAGAGAAGAAAAGTGGAGGAAAGATTTCGCAGATTTTTCTGCTTTGCTTTACCTAGCGAAACACGCGGATATGTCAAAAAAGAGTAAAAAGACGCCATGGCCGCACTTGGAATGATTGAAAGCTGGAAAGCCCTGAAGATGATTCTTTTTTTGGTTGCTAGTAGACAATTTGCAGGATCTCAAGGTTCCCTCTCCTAGACTACATTTGAGTGGTTCAGAATTTTGATTTTCAGTCGAGTCATGGGACCAACTTTTTAAATTTCCAATGAAGGATGAAAATGACTTTTGGCAATTTTAAAGCCCAGAACTCGAGGAAAAGATTTTGGTGAACTGAATCGGAAAACTAGAGAGTTTGTTTAATCTACTTTTAACTTCAGATCTTTCAAAAACCCTAAAGAGCCTTTTTTAATCGCGAGGCCGACTTGAAATGACTTTGAGAGTTTTTTTTCTGGGATTTTTTTTTGTCGTAATCATGCCAATGACCCACAAAAATGCAGACAAACTGCTTCAGACTTTTTTCAGCAATTAGTTTCAACTTCTTAAAATCTGTAATAAATGCAAAAGACGAAATATCTTGACAACCACGTCTCAAAAAAAGCAAAAAAAGAATGTTCACCCTAACAAGAAAAACCCTTGATTCATAACTTGAACAGATTTCAAAGAAAATAATCGAAATTTCAAGCGTTTCTTGAAATTTTATTAATTTTACTCCCTGGCTTTAAAAAAACCATCGAAGCTCCAGAAAAAAAAAATTCATTTTTGTCAATTTTCAGTTCAAACTATCGTCTATTCAAAGACGGAATCATCTTAACAAGTTTCAATAATGTTGCGAACAAAGAGAATGTGAGAAAATTCTCTTATATTTCTGCCGGAGACATGATTATTATCGTGTCTTGCAAGCTACAAAACTGGCTCCAAGGCTACGATTCCACAAAATAACGCTACAAACATCAGAATCGGGGTCTAATTTTTTTTTTCCTTGCTGAGAAGTATGGAAAAAAAGAAGAGATGAAGACGGAGGAAGTGTCTGCGATAGCTCCTCGAAAAAGGGGAGGTGGAGGCTATCAATGAGCCAAAGCTACTGGAATAATCCGTAAGGAATCATGGGACATTTCGTATCTTTGTGGGAAACGTAGCTGTAGACACAGCAAATTAGCGTCGACGCTTGAATGAAGCTTAATTCGGAGAGATTTTCCCTGATTTCCCTTATCAATTATAAATCTCTAGCGTTTAAAAAAGTTGATTGTTCGGAGAAAGGACGTTTAAAATTGTTTTCAGTTTTCAATGAACTCCAGGGATGAAAGTTCAAGTCAAGAGGCCAAACATGTCAATAATCAAAAATTCTTTGGGTAAATAGGTTGAATGGCTCCGAAGAATGCGTTATTCAGAATTTCTGAAGGTCAACCGAAGAAGAACCAAGGTTGAAAGCAAAAAAATATTAGGAAAAAAATTTCAAACTTTGAATGCTAATAAACTTTTGACCAATACAGACTTTTAGATGCTGGAAAAAAATCTTGACTTCCTAAAATCTGAAAACTTGGTTTATCCATTTTAGTAGAAGCCAAAAAAGGAGCTCCTTTCCCAAAAAGCCATGTTCAACGTTATTAATCATCAAGATTATCATTTGAATTTCCTGCTTTCGGAAGCCTGAAGATTTTAAATCGATGATTGACGTTAAAAGAAAATGATATTCAAAATCAAAAATCAAAGAAACGCTTCATTTTATAAAGGGAATCTTAGAAATGAATTCGAAAAATTAGCCACAAAAATTAAGCATTTGCCTGACTTTTTTCCCTTTTGAAATTTATTTTTTTGTGTTTTCGATCGAGAATTGCAGTTCTAAGTTTTTTAGATTGTGTGGACAAGAATAAAAATAAAATAAAAAATTTATATCTATTAACGCAAAAACAATAAATTAATAATTAAAAAGAAGTTTCAAGATCATACAGATGAACTGGAAAAGGCTTCGAAGTTGACACAAATACATAGATAAAAAGGAGAAAATAAACCCGGAGAGTAATAACACACTTCCTGGGAAGTTTTGTAGTATATATTGAACATGAAAGAAGTGAACGATGGGACTTGATAGAACTGTATTTATTGGCTCTTCTTCTTGGAGAACTCCTCGAAGCGGGACTTGGACTTGAGGAAGAGAAGGTAAGATCCGAGGGTGGTCGGGGCGACAACGATGGCGAAAACCACGAAGAAGATGTACTTGGGCGAGAATTTTCTGTCGTATTCCTTCTGGCGGTAGATGTATCCTGAAAATTGGACTATAACATTTTTGGCGTTTGGACTTTTAAAAAGATTCCATATTTTTCAATAAGTTATAAATTCTAGCGTAACATTATTTTTACTGTTTCAAAAATATTTTTAATAAGTGAACTTCAATCTTCTGTGTCACGGTCTTTTCCAGACGCTATTCCTATTATTCAGGGCATTGTCAGCTCAAATTTAATCTGAAAAATTCGTTTTCTACAATTTTCTCTCACTGTTTCATACCGCAGTTTCAAGTAAATTTGAAAAAATTCTATTTAGGCCTTGAAAAATGATTGTACTTTATGTCAGGCCTTCCAGATACATTGACACCAGAACCCTTCATTTTTTGAAGATTTACCTTCTCCAGGGGTGTTGGTGTAGGCGACGTGCAAGTCGTTGCTCTCAGTGAAGTAGGAAACCTGGGCGGAAGTGTAGTTGAACATACCGAAGGCACGTGGGCGGACCTATAGAAAAAAAAGATTTTTGAATACTTTTTCTCAAATTTCCAAGTAGCTATGAAAATTTTTATACAGGAGAAAAACTCACGACAACGGAGTGAGTGACGTTGCTGCGGGCTCCGACGCTTTCGAAGTGGACGTGGAGAAGTCCCTTGATGATGTCGAACGATTGGGTTGGGAACGAATGACGATCATCGAGGGTCACCTGGAAAGTTAAAAGTTCTTAAAAAATCTTATTTTCAGTTTGAAAAGGTTCATGTTTTGTACTGAGTGGTCTTTCGATGCGATTTTGTCGTATAGTTAAACCCTCCGATATTCATGACTTTCCTGTTTTAGAGTAATTTCTTAAAATTTCAAATGCTTTAATATTGAAACACAGCAAATCGCATTTATTTTCAATTTCAGCACTTTTAATTATCCAGTGCATTCGACTAAAAGCTACTTGCGCCTTTTTTCATCTCTTAGCCGAGAAAAAAACCATTCAAACTCCTTTTTCCGCCTCAAACGGAATTTTTTCCCAGGATTTTTACGTCTAAAAAAGTTTTCCTTTCAAATACCTACCTTCTTGGCTGGCTTGTCTCCGTTGTTGTAGATTCCGTACTCGATAACGAGGTCCATGTTCTCTACAGCGTAGAGGGACAGAGGGCTCTTGTGGGCCAAGATGAAGGCTTCCTGTAGAAAAAATTATTTTCTGAGAAAAATGAACAAAGAGACTAACCGTGGTCTGGGTTTCGACATCGACGGTGTAAGCAACGGCCGAAAGCAGCGCAACGAGCGCAAGTTTGGCAAACATGATTTTACCTGTAATTCAAGAGTTTATTGGAAATTTAAAAGTGAAGGTATTGAAAACGACGATGTAAGAGAAAAAAATTTAAAGATGTCAATAATTAATGTATCGCTACTCTGAGATAGAATTTAAAAAAGCTTTTGAGACTAAAAACTGTTTAAAAAAAATAAAACGACTTTTCCCGAGTCGATAGAGATTGTTATAAGACGTTGGCTATTAAAATAATCAACTGAAACAGAAAATATATTTTTAAAAAGATAAGCTAATAATAATTATAAAGTATATTTAAATTTGAAGAGGTTCATTTTGCGTTTTCAAGTTAGAAACTTTGGTACAAAAAATTAAAGGTTTTAAAAGCTCCATTATTCTTTACGCCTACACTAAAATCCATTGAAAAATCTCTTATTTCACTAAAAAAGATGAAGTCACCACTAAGGAGAGCACAAAATAAGGAAACTGGATGAAGATAATGACCGAAGAAATTCGATGGACGCCGACCCGACCGACGCTTTGGCAAGAGAATGGCGGCGACACTCTCGAAGCGTGCAGTCTTGTAGTTCGCATACGGTATGCACCTTTAATGTTTGTTCTCCGCGGCGCGCTCTTTCCTCCTCTGCGTCCCGTCCACGTAATCCGTTGCCCTTTTGTTGCGATTCGCATGGCAAACGGATTTGTTTTATTGCGGGAGGGAGGTTTTTGGTTTTTGTCTTTTACAAAATGTACTCGTTTTGTTTTTGTGCTGACGTGGAATTTGAAATTTAGGTCATAGAGTTTGTCATTTTGGTTTAAAACAGGAAAACTGTTAATTTTAAAGTTTATGTTGCTGTTTTTTTATTTAAATGGATTTTTCAGTTTTTTTGTATATATTTCAATAATGAAAAAAATACGCTGCAAACATATCTTTCATCCTTGACTTTTTTTCCTCTTAAAAAAACCATTTTTTTGTTAAAAAAATTTGATTCTTGTTTCTTTCTGTTTCAAATGGAATTCTCATAACTATCACAGGAACAAAAAAATATTTTTTTGCGAGTTACAATCAATTTTTTTGATCTCTAACTGGAATATTCCCAAGTCCTGAATTTTTTTGACGGCTTTGAAAAAAATTTATTTTTTTATCATTATTTTTTTCGTTTTTTTCTTGAAAGTGTGGTATTTATGCGCAGAAACAGGAATCTGAAACTTTTTTGGTCTTCGTCAAACCGATTTTCTCCCTTTCAAACAATAGTATTTTTCCAGAAATGCTCTCTCTTGGCTATCTAGTCCTAGTTATTTTTGCGGTTTCTGTTTCTGCAAATGTCGAGCCACCGGCAGCATCTCCAACGGCCGCGGAGATCCTCGCACAGAACATCGAGGGAACGACTGTTCACGAATTCCGCGGTTATTACAAGAGGGAACATTCTTTGATCCGTCCTTATCAAGGTGAGAATATTCCAAATCATCCAATTTTGAAAATGAATTTCAGGCGCCGGAATGGACATTCCCTACTGGAGCATTCAGGGCAGTACTATGGTTACCAGTCAGCAAGTTAGATTGACGAGCGATGATCAAAGTCGAGCTGGCGCCATTTGGAATACGCAGGTGCATTTTTGAAGTTCTTGTTGGAATTTGAGAGTTCTGAAAAAAATTATAAAAAGATGATAAATGCATTTTTTTCAAGAGAAAAATTTATCGAATTTTTTTCAAAATTTTTGGAAGAAGGTAGTGAAAAGTCGGAATTCGTCAAAAATATCTGAATTTTTTCATAAGCTCGTCTGAAAGTAGGCTAAAAAGTCATTTTGTTAAAAATTCAAAAAATTGGGGTTTCAGCCTTTTTATAAGTTTCTTCAAACGGAGAGAGAGAGCTCACAGATTTTTAAAAAAATTGACAAACTAGCATGTTATTGTCTTAGAGGTTATTTTTAAAATTTTTGCTTTTCACCTGTTTTTTTTTTTAGCTCCTTTGAAAAAACTTGATCTATAGGATTTTTCATCAATCCTGAAAACCTTGCAAAATTTTTAAAAAAACATCAACCATAAAGCATATTTCATTATTTTCAGCCCGTTTGGAGCCGTGACTGGGAAATGCAAGTTTCCTTCAAAGTTTCAGGAACTACAGGTGATTTTATTTATTATTTTTTTCTAAACTTCAAAATGAATTTTTTAGGAGACCTTTTTCGGTGACGGCATGGCCATCTGGTACGTCTCCCAGCCAAATTTAATGGGACCCGTCTTTGGAGGAAAGGATTATTTCCGTGGATTGGCTATCTTTCTCGACACTTACAGCAATCACAACGGTCCTCATTCGGTGAGAATGATTGAAAAAAATATGAAAATAAAGTTTTTTTAAAATCTCCTAAAATCAAAAAAAGCCTTAGGGACTGACAGTTTTTGAGAGGAAAAATAAATTTGCTCTATATACCATTTAACTGTTTCAAACAAAAAAATTTGCTCTATACACCATTTAACTGTTTCAAACAAAAATTTGCTCTATACACCATTTAACTGTTTCAAACAAATAAGGAAATTATTTTTATTTTTTTATACAAAAACATTTTTTTGAGCATGTGGTGAATTGCAAAGTATTTATCAACGGTAAGAATTTTTTTCAAAATTCAAAAAAAGTAGAGGATGATTTTTGAAAGAAAATAATACTTCGATAAATTATTCTCAATTAAGATCATTTAATATTTCAACTTTAGCACGGTCATCCTTTCATCTCCGCCATGGTTTCCGACGGTTCCCTTCACTATGATCACGACAAAGACGGCACGCACACTCAACTCGGCGGCGAAGACACTGGTAAAAATCAATAATATCGATTTTTCCTCATTCCTTCACACAACAGGTTGCAACGCCAAGATCCGCAACAAGGACCATGACACCCAAGTGCTCATCCGCTACGTTGGGGACACTCTTTCGGTTAGTTTCTTTTTTGACTGCAGCTTTTTTAACTTTATCATAAATGCTTCACTTTCAAAAGCAAGAAGAGACTTTTTGACATCCTTCTCTAAAGAGAAAATGCCGAAATTTTTCATATTTCGAAGCAACAATCTACTGGAAAATCTTTCCAAAATCATCAAATTATAAAAAAAGTTTGTGAGCAAAAAAACTAAGAAAATTTTTTTTCAGATCTTCACTGATGTTGAAGGACAAGGCATCTGGAAACAGTGCATGAGTGTGAACAACGTCCAGCTCCCGACCGGTTATTATCTTGGCATGAGTGCGGCTACGGGCGACTTGAGTGGTGAGGCTCATATAAAATATTATGAAAAAAAGGAACAGTAAAAAAATATCTCACCCAAAAGCTAAAAAAATTGTTTTTCAAGGTTCATGAGAAAAAAATTCCCTGAGACATCATCATTTCATATTTTTTTATGCAGAAACATCAAATCACTGTTTCAGACAACCACGACATCATCTCTGTCAAGATGTTCGAACAGGAGTTTGCTCATGTGGAACGCGTCGGAGAGGTGAGAAAGGACCTCTCGATTTTAAATACTAAATGAATTTTTCAAGTTTTGCCGCTCATTCGAGTTATGAGGCCCCTCAATCTGTTCGCTCAAAGTTTAGTGGAAGAAAAAATAATTTTTATAATTTTTGAAATAATACATGGATTAAAAGTTACCTGCGTGATAGCTTTTTTGGGATATCAAAGGTTTTTTTCCAAGATCTAAAAAGTTTTTAGTGGGCAAACGCATAAAGATGGAGAAACTCAATTTTTACATTTTCAGATGAACCGTCGCGACGTTGTGCCCCACGCCGACTTCACCGCTTCTCCAAGAGACCACGTCGTAGATCCCAAGCCGTCGTCTCTCGGATGGTTCAGCACCATCGTTCTCATCATTGTTGGTGTGGTCGTCGTCGTTGGAGGCGTCATTTTTGGCGTCGTCTACATCCAGAAGAAAAACGACCGACAGAAGAAACGATTCTATTAACTTCCCAATTTTTCTGATCAATTTAATAATTAATAGAGATCCCATAGAATTTATTATTTTTTTCGCTATTTTCTTGCTTTCACCTGGTCCCCAGCCTTACCACCAAAACTACCTTCCCTTTTCAGTTCTACTACATATTCCGGGCAAATGTGCTTAACCATCGTTTTCTCTCTAATTTATTGCAAATCAAGCGCCTTTAAACGATTGGACTCTTCCAGATTTACTCGGGTGGTTCTTTTTCTTATTTTTCGAGCAGGTTTTTCATGTGTTTCATTTTCTCTCCATTGGTCAAATTATACAAGTTTTATCGTGATATACTGCGAACGGATTTTTCTTCCCTTGAGACAAAGATAAAGTTTTTTTTCCTCAATTCTTTGTCGATGTAACAAAAAAGAAAAGAGAATGTTTTCTTTTTATTGAAAGGGCGAAGGAACAACATTTTACGGAGGGAAGATCTTTCTGGTATTCTTCGACGATTTCCTTTTAGTTTTACAGTGTGCGCTGAAAACTTTTTGAAGATGGTTCTTTCTGAAATTTTTGCACAACTTTCTTTCCGTTTCACAGTTTCCTTTTGCCTTCATGATTCGAGCCAATTGAAACATTTCAGAATAATGCGGTGTACTATGGTAATTATCCTCTTGGGTCTTATTGGCTTCTGTCTGGCCGAGAAAATTGAGACGAAAAACGTCGTGGATTTGGTGAGCGTTAATTGATATTTCAAACGTCGATTTAAGGATTAAAAAAAATTCTATCTGACCTTGCAACGTCGAAGAACCGGATTGAATTAACCAGAGTGAAAACTGATGAAAAGCAAAATTTAACTTTGATGTAAGCCGAAAAATATCCCAGCACAAGTTTTTATGATTTTCAAAAAGTTGGCTTTATTTGAATGAACCTTTTCAAAAGCTAAAGATTGTCTCAACGAAAATCGTGACAGTTCTACAATATTTTAATACTTTTTCAGGCACAGATCAAACTCCGACTAGAAGCTCTGGAGAAGCAGATTCCAGCCCTCAACGACGCGATTCAAAGCCAGGCAGCCGAGCTCAAAAGGAGAAAGATCGAGTTCAGCGTCTTCAAAAACAACGTCACGAAGTTCATGGAAGTCGTCGCCAATGCCCTCGGCTACCTCAAAAAAGAGGCGTTGAACAGGAAACGTCAGCAGAGTTCTTAAATGTTGCTTCGATTTTGGATAAAGAGTTTTCATGGCTTTTGTTTGTGAATTCGACATCTGAAAGTTGATTCTTTAACGGTTGATTTCATATTCAGCCAAAATGAAATCGAACAAAATTTCCATTTTTTATCAGTTACTTTTTTCACAACGTGTTTCATGAAGTAATTTTCGCGCTTTTGAGATTATAAAAACTTTACGTATTTATTAAAACTAGTAAAAAGAAATGAGCAAAGAACTTGAACAAAAATAAACTATATACTTGCATTTGCATTTTTGTTGAGAATTTTTTCGTTAATTTCTATCGAACTCTTTGAATTTAAAAATGAATTGAAAAATGAATACAAGCATTTTTTCGATTTTCTCCACTTGAAAAAAAAACTTTCTTAGAAACCATCACTGTTTCATGGTCCATCACGAAATAACCCATCATTTCCGTCTCCATTCTGTCTCGTTGCCTCTAACATTCCAACATGTTGGTCAAAAAGCGATCAAAAGATAAGAAATGGAGGTAGATCCTGGAATCGGAGGCGACGATCTGCGCGCGGGGGCGTCTTGGAGGGAAAACGACGGCCGCCGAGAAACAGAGAGCGACGTCCTCTCAACTGGTACAAGGTCGATTGGCATCCATTCCGAACGTTGCGCGTCGTCGTCATGTCTGAGTGAGTTTCTTCTCTTTTCTCGTTTATGAATCAAGTTTTACTCTTGATCCTTGTCAATCAAGTTTTGATCATTGTCAGGGATGTTGCAGAATTGTCTTATGTCTTATTTTAAGGAGCAATCTTCTAAAAAATTACCAAAAAGTGGAAAATTGAGGAAAAGATTTCAAAATTGCTGTGTTTCACTTAAGAGCTTCCTAATCACAATTTTACAAGGAACAACCTTGCGGTTTGGAATTTTCTACAAATTTGCCCAAACACTCTCTGAAGATCTGGATATATATCCCTCATAGTCGCTAACTGCGCGAATCCCTAGTATTCGAGATATCAGTTTTTAAAGTTCGCTCTTAACGCAGAATTAGACCCTACGAGTTAATTTCAATTTTCAACTTGAAATTATTTAAAAATGTGCTCTAATCATTTCTAAATGTTTATATGATGATCCATAAAAAATGCAACCTGCGCCAGCTTCTAGCTTTTGAGATAATTGATTACGAAAAACGAAAAGTAAGGCCGAAAATCCTTTTTTTGCAACTTCGAAAAATCATATCTCAATAACTAGAAGTTTGCGCAGAAAGCGACAATGAAGGATTTCCAACTGGAATTCAGAGAAAGTTTGAGCAAATTCGTTGAAAATTTAAAACCGCAATGTAAAATGACCTCCCTTGTTAGAAAAAGTCCGACGATTTTTATCTTTTTGAGTTATGGCGTCTAATTTTTTTATACAGCAATCCATTGCGATTTTTGGAAACTTCAATATAGCAAACAAAAATAAAATAAAAATCGTGAAAATTGAGCAAAAAATGTCTGTGATCCTTTTTAGAGCACCTCAGTCACGATTTTTTTGAAACGAAGCATCTTTTTTTCACTTTTTCGTGTTACAGCACTTAAATTTTTTTCACAGCTATCCATTGCAGTTTTGAAAACTTCAAAAACCCGGTTATTTAAGAAAAAAATGATTAAAAAAATTACACTGCCAATTGTATATATAGTATACACGCCTGTAAACCACTTTTTCAAATCTACATATTTTTTTCATCTCTTCTCAAATATTGCTCTCGAGGTTAAGTTTACATTCTTCGATTTCAGAAAAAAAGCTGCAAGTGCAATCGTTGGTTGATCAGCCTCTCAGCTGCGTTTGAATCTGATGAGGTATCCAATTTTCTCTCGAAAAAGTCCTAAATGAGTTTATTTTTGATTATTTCAGTTTGAAAAGCTATTCCGCAAGGGAGTCCAATGCATCACTGCTGAAGAGTATAAAAGGATTCCCGAGTTCAGACACAGGTAAAATGGAAAAACTGGATAAGCTAATAAAGTTCAATCATTCCAGAGAAGACGCCCTTTCCTCCTTGTTTGGTCGTCTTCTGTTGCGTTATGCAGCTCAAAAGGTTTCAAATCATAAAAAAATTCTGTACGAAATTCAAATATTCTCAGTTCACCGGCGAGGAATGGAAAAACATCAAGTTTGAGAGAACCGAGCGCGGAAAGCCGTACGTCGCAAGCCCGCCAGATACTAAATTTGGTCTGAATGTCTCTCATCAGGTAACTTTCATTTCAAAAATTGTTCAAAAGGAATTCGCAGTAGTTTCAAGTTTTTTTTAAGCACTGCTTTTGTCCGGAGGGCAAGGAATAGTTTAAAAAGACCCGTTTTAAGCCAAAAAACATGAAATAATAATACAACTCAACGATCTTAGGCTTTACAAAAGTACGAAAAAAATCTTAAATCCTATCCATAACGGCTAAATTTAATTTTTGAGTACTCTGTATTTCAAGAAAAAAATCGTGATTTCAGGGCGATTATGTCGCTTTTGCCAGCAGCTGTACCTCGAAGGTTGGTGTGGACATCATGAGGCTCGACAAAGAAAGTCAGTTTCTCATTTACAATCAAAGAGAAATGTTATTTTTCTCCTTTCAGGAAACAACAAGTCGGCTGACGAGTACATCAACTCAATGGCCAAATCAGCATCACCTCAAGAGCTTCAAACGATGAGGTCTCAACCCACTGAGGCCATGAAAATGACCATTTTCTATCGTTATTGGGTTTGAAACTTGAAAAATATGTCCTAGACAAAAATAAAAAAGTTTAGTGCTTGAAAGAAGCAATCCTGAAAGCAACTGGTCAAGGAATCTTGAAAAATCTGGACTGTCTCGACTTCCGGATTGACAAGTACGATCGCTACAGGCCTGGTAGGGGATTCTGCAATAAGAATGGCTCACTAAGATGTTCAGGATGCTTCGTGACGTCGACCACTGTGCTGGAAGATGGTGTTCTGCAGGACCAATGGATTTTCGAGGAGACTTTTGCTGACACCAATCATTCGGCCGCTGTCTGCAAAGAGGTGAAAAATCTGGTCCTATTTTCAGAAAAATTTGAGAAATTCTGATTCCGTCTTCAAAAACTTTACGACTCGAAAAAATTAGAGAATGACATCATCTTCAATTTTTTTCGAAAGTGACGTCATAGCCTTTTTTGTCGGTGTTTCTTTTTTATTCTGACACTCTGAGAAACCTTCTAACATATTTGGCTCAGTGTTGTAGGATCTGTACTATCTCTGCTTTTGAAGACTGTTCCTAACCCCAATATAAGCCGCCCAAAAAAGTTTATCTCATTATTCTGCTTTTTCAGGAACCATATTTTTCTATATTTTCGAAAAATACCCAGCTATTTAGCCCTGTAAGACTGAAGAAGGATTTCTTGAAAATTGTCAAATATTTCGAAAAGAGTCTAGTTCTTGTCTCTTGTCTTAAAACTCCTACCCAAATTAGCAACAAAGACTCTTTGTCTTATAAAAGCCTTTCTATCCCCAGACAAGTAGTCCAAAAAAAGAGGATGATCCTTCTCGGGCGCCGTGCGGTTTATCAGCGGCTCGCACGGAACGGAGCCGACCGCCTGTCACTGTTCCGTTCCACACGAGCCATTTTTTCGGCGTCCCTGTCGTTCATTCGTTTTTTTTTCCTTCGCGTCGGGGTGAGAGGCTCCACGACGAGCACAAACATTAGCAAGATCATCCCTTAACTTGCACGGCGATGGTTGCTTCAATTCACCCAGTTCAAAGAGTTCGTAACTGAAAAAAAAGAAACAATTTTGCCACACTTGTTTTGATGTCATTTCCGAAAAATAAGAGTACTTCAATAAAATTTCGGAAACAGTGAAGTGAACTAACAAAGACGTCTGAGCTGGTGGTTCGAAGGACAACGAAAGGCTCAAATTCATCGTACACAAAAAGTCCGCAACTAAAAAAAAAAGGGAAAAGACCCTGAGCCACTTTTTTGATGACCTTTGGTAAAAAAAAATCTGTTTCTTTGATCTAACAGTTTCAATTTTGAATTTGTTGAGAAAATTAGTAAAGTGAGCAATGTAGAGGTCTCTCATCAAATTTTTTTCGAAAAAAAGAACAATTCAAATATTTCCACAAGTTTCTGAATCAAGACTTCTGAAAAGTTTTGTGAGATTTTGAAACCATAAACCACTTTTCAAAAGTTATCCTTGTTTTATTAATATCTCAAATTACCCTGTCATCAGAACAGGAAGGTTTTGAAAACTCAAAAAAATCCCATCTTCTTCTCTTGAACCTTTGATTTATTTGAGCACGAACCACAACATCAACAAAAAACGATTGAATGACTTTTTTGATTGTTCCGAGAAAAAAAAAGCAAACTTGATTGAATGGAGAACAAGTGTTGACGCGTTCGGATCCGATGACCTCAAGTATATTTGGTTTAGGTTTTTTTTTGCATAGTAAAAACATTTGAGAACCAGTTTTATACCAATAAAGCGTGTAATTCGATCTCTTAAGTTTTTTTTTTTTGAAAGCTGTTGAAGGAAGAAAACGTGTAATTCAATCAGTAAACTTATTTTTGTAGATTCAATCGAATAGGTGGTTGTCAAGAACTTTTAAATTTGAATTGAATGAGTATTTTTAAGCTTTAAAGCAATTTCTGGATTGCTTGAAAATGTTTTTAATCGGTGATTTTGAGCTATGAAACTTCTAAACTTCTAGGGAAAAAAATCTCAAAAAAACTTTCGAGAATTTCTCAAGCGAATTTTGGGAGTTTCATCTGATCCCGACGCTTCCTCGGTTAGAAACGGGAAAATGCCGTAAATTAAGAACTTCAAAAAGTTCTAATGAATGCCTCAAAAAAAGTCAAGGCTAATTTTTTTGAAAATTATGGCTAATAATGAACTCCTTTGTCGATTCAAATTCTCAATTCGATTTTTTTTTTTCCTGAAATAACTGAAAAGCCGCAATCCATTAGAGAGCTTCTGAGAGCACAGATCAAACCACGAAAAACCTATTGAATGATTTTTTCTGACTGTTCCGAGAATAAAAAAATGATTGAATAGAGAGCAAGTGTTGACGCGTTCAAATCCGGCGTCCTCAAGTGTATTTGTCGTCTCGACAGTCTGTTTCCCGGTTTCGTTGGACATTCAATGAAAATTTGTTGAGTAGCGGCGCCGTGTTTTGATCTTCCAAAGTTGGGAGATATTCCAGAGAAAAAAATTATGACTCGGAATATAAAGTAACGGACAAATTTTTCAGAGAGCAGAAAAAAATTTTCAAAAAAATTTTTCTATCATGAAACCAGGTTTTTCCTGTTTTGAGGCCCTAAACTTGGTGATTGGTTCATAAGGAACTTTTGAGCTTTGAAAAAAACGAAAGTTATGAAAATTGAGAGATTATTGTTTTTTTTTCTGTACCGAAAAGGCATCGCAAGAACAAAATCTCAGAACTTTAAAATATCACATTTTCATTTTCAGAAGGCACTGCCGAGAGAATGCGTCTTCCGAAAAGATCCTGAAGCGAAGATCTTTTTTTCAGTAAGGTAAGCATCCATCAAATAATGCACAGATCCATTTTTTCAAATTATATAATCCCAAAAAAATAGATTCCACGGCAAACCTTTAATAATCCGACCGGTGTTTGACCATTGCCTGTCTGGCGTGAGTCAGACAAAAAATAGGACAAATAGGCTCTTTACAAGTGACTCATGCTCGTTATTTCCAGATCTCCTTTGCCACTCTTCTGGAGAATGCTGAGATCCTGAACCCTCTGCCCAACAACGCCGCCGACGCCTTTGAGGATTTTTCCAAGAAACCGAAGAAAGCTTTTTGAGGAGCGCAATTGAGAAACTTATTATAATATTTTTGGATGTATCTGAATATTTTGTCTTATTTATCTTCTGTTATTATGATTTATAAAAGAGATTAAGTATCGAATTTTATCTGAGAGAAAGTTCAGCGCAAATGCAAGCTCTTTGATGGAACTGTAGTGAAAGTTGGTTTCAATTCATTTTTTTTTTCGGCAAGAAGATGGGTTAAAAAGAAAGCTTGAAAAGTGAATTTTTTTTGTATCTTCATCATCAGAAAGGTTCTAAAATGTGGTTTCCGGAAAATTAATCGATTAAAAGTTGAAAAAATTTTATCCGGATAACCAAGGCTCGGAAGTACTGAATGATTTCTGATTTTTATTTGATGAGCAACGCTTTTTTTTAATCCGTCTTTTCCCATTCAATTGAGAGCTATCTACACCAAGAAGAAGTTGAAGAGGAAGTTGAGTTTATAAATAGTTGAAGTATTATGATTTAACCGATTTTGCCGCTCTACAAATTAAAATTGTTCAGCCAACTTTCCAGGTTTTCCTGTCACTTCTGGTAAACTTTTTTCTCACCGGCGCTTTTCACTCCATCCAAAAAAGGAAAAGCAGACAAAAAAAGAAGCGTTCTCCGTAGTGTGTACTAAATTAAGAGCGCCAGCACGATAATCGGTTAAGTTGAGGTGGAGAAGTCGTGGCGAGAGCTCTCGAACCCCAAAACAGCGGCCGGTTGACCTCGCTGTCTGCTTTCGAACAGTCGAAAAACGAGTCTCCGCCCTCCCCATCGCTCCCAACGGAGGAAAAAACCGCATTCAATGCTCACAATCCGAGCCAGGAGCTCACAGTGTTTTGACCCTTCACGGGACACCACGAGCTTCTCTTCCACTGCTCATTTTCGACCTGAGTTTGAGGCTTGGGTCCTTCTGAATATCTGTTCGGTTCATCTTCTGCTTCAATCCTTTCTTTCGTTCTCCACGGTAGATTCAGTTTTATCTATACAGCATTTTTTGCTTTTCGTACTTAGGTTTTTTGTTGAAGATGTACCTAAAGATGTGTAAGCCCTCTTTAGGTATCTTATTACCTTTGGAAGATTCCCAGTATCTTCACCACTGCTCCTTTTGGCCTTGAACTTGCGGCTAGGGCTCCTTCCGTCTGTTCGGTTCAGCTTTGATCCTTTTTCAGTCTTCCTCAGTACATTTAGTTCTGCTCTAATGAAGAGGAATTGAAAACAAAAGGTTTCATTTAATAACCGAATTTATGAACGGTGTTATTTTGCGCTGGCCCTTCTGAAAATCTGTTCTGTTCAGCTTCTAATTTGAATTATTTTTCAGTCTTCATTGGTAGATTAAGTTCACTAGACCTCTTGGTACAATAATTAGTTATTCAATGACTCGAGCCCTTTCCATTTTGATTTATTTGTTCGAAAATTTGTTCTTCTTCAGAGTTTGCCTTAAATCCACTACTTCTTCGAGCTACAACAAGTCATGAGAAACTCCAGAAGTTGAAGATTTGGGAAAATTTGAACTATAACTGTGTCTAGTTTGAACTTTTCATCGATAAAAACTTGATGGTGTTTCAAAAGGCTCGATCTATCTCAAAAACAATTGTAGGGCTCTTAAATGATTTTTTTTTTGAGAGCAGTAGGAAATCAGATTTCCTGGTTGCCAAGTTGCAAAAAAAAACGTATTCCAAATCACCCAGTTCCATTAAAAAAAACTTTTATGTAGAAATCTTATGAGTTTTTCAACAGAAGCCCGAAAAAGAGATATTTGAACTCTGAAACCATTAAAATCTCTCTTCCCAACTATTGCAACCCATTAGGGTTCTGACTTCAAAACACATTCTCAGGTATCCAAAAAAAATCCCTTCAATCGTTCAAAGAGAATTTTTTTCCTTGTTTTCTGCACGGGTTATGCAAACGGTCAGCTCGGTTTCCGTTATTTGCGGTGGCTGCAAACAGTGGGTCCATTCATATAGGCATAATTCTTCTCTTCCTGTAGAGATGAAATCCGGATCTCAGCTGTTGGTCATCGATTTCTGGAGGATGAAGTCCAAAAGTTTCAGCTTGAAAGTTTCTAATGTCTCTGAAAAATCGTTTTCTTCAAACAGATTTTCAAAATTATTAACTAGACTATAGTCATTTCATGGCTGGCAAATTACAGGCTTTTAAAAAGGTCTGTCAAAAATTTTAGTCTCAAAATGAAGTATTCAGACTTCTAATCAGTTTTTTGATAATTATGACTCTACTCTAGTTATGTGTGACTGATTACTTCGAATTTTGGAAATTTGAACTTAGCGTCGATCAACTGCTTCATTAAAAAAAATTTTTCTAAAATTACGAGAAAAAAATTGGAAGCCACCCTCTCATTAGCGCAGACAAACGTATCAACCTTATTCATACCATTTTTGGCCTTCTTGAGGTAAAACCCAAAAAAACCCAAAAAGACCTTTAAAACCATATTGGTCTCTCGATCTCAAAACAATAGGCCGAGAGAAGTTTGGAGTTTGAACTAACTTTTTTTTCAGACCTGCATGTACCAAAAAAAGTCCGCGGCGAACAGGACCGGTACCTTTCTATTCTGTTTGGTTTTTTGAACTCAAAACAATGAAGCTTTAAAAAAAACGGACAAACGGTTCGGCGACTGAGTCAGACTCTCCGGAAAAGCTCAAACGACAAGAAAGAGGCGGAGTTCTTCCGACTCTGGTCGATTTCGCCTGTTTGCATTAATGATTCAGCTCCGCGGATCGCCGTAGGGCATAAGAGCTTGAATCTTCGGCGTCTGTTTCCCAGCCCTGCCACTCCTTCACTTTACTGTTTTTCTTGATCCGTATAAAAGAAGCATTTTTCTGAAGCCTTTATTGAGGCTTTTGAAAACGCGACCTGATTAATTTTGAGACCTAGGCAAACTTATTTTTCACCTAAAAAAAAGTTTGTTACGGAGTTTTAATGAATACGTCTGTGCCAAAGATCTTTTTTTTTTGATTTTTCAAGAAGCTTTTTTAAAACTTTATTCGAATTAGGTTGCTGACAGACATTTTTCTGTTGTCATTGATAACACCTTCTTCTTCTACTCTTTTGAAAAAATGTAATTTCCCTCCAAGTTTTACAGTTTTTCGTTTTTTCGATTAATCCGTTTCAATAACTTTTTTTTTTTATCCAACTGAAAGATTTACAGAAACATATAATGAGGGAGTGGCTACGGATATGGCTACTTCCGGCGGTCGCACTTGCAATCTTGCCTAATAAATTTCAGCTCAATGATGAAAATTTTGTAAGTTACACGAGTTTTTTAATTATCTTGAATGACTTGAATCAGAGTTACTTAAGCCAGATTTTTGAGCTCTTCTTTAGAGATCTAACGAAAAGCCCTAGTTGTCGCTTAGAAATCGGTTTTGACCATTTCTATAGTGAGCAGCTTTAGAAATCCTAAAAAAACCATTCATCATCAAGAAGACTGATAAAAGTCTAATTTCAGCTATTTGATCGATCAGAACCAGAATATGAAACGGTTCTGACGCCGGCTGATTACGACCTTGGCGCACAAATGACAGCAGCTCTTCAATTCGAGAACGGAGAAATCTGGGACTCCGATGCCATGTACAGCAAAGAACGATTTGAAGGAGACATCGCCAATGAAAAACGTCAGAAAAAAATCAAGAAAAAAATCAAGAAAAAGATTAAATTTTTTTAGTTGAATTCGAGTACGGTTGAAATGTTCTTGAATGGAGGCAATGACGGTTCTGGCGACGGGAAATGGTACAATGCGATCAAAAATCGGCATCAACTTTGGCCAGGAGGCCGGATTCCATACACCATCAGCAGCCAGTACAGCAGTTACAGGTGGGAAAAAAACCTGAAACAGTGAAATGATTTTTCTTGCATTTTTTTTTTTAATTTGCATCACACTGCATCAATCAAAAATGCAACTTTTTAAATACAAGAAGTCATGATTAAAAATATCGAAAGACCTCGGGGATTCTATGAACCTTCAAGAATTTTTTGGGCTCGTTTAAAGCTTTCAATAGATTCAACAGTTGATAAAACTTTCATCATTTTTTCCAAGAAGATCTATCCACTGTACAAAATTTTGAGCTCTTTCAAAAAACTAAGCAAATGACTCAAAAAAATGAAAAGGAAAAAAAGCGGCTTAGACGTCTAACAGAAAAACAAACGAACGGACATTGCACGAGCGGGTCACCGCATTTCCTTTTTTCAGACCGTTGACTTTTCGCGCAAATGATACTCTATCCTTCACTATTTGTAAGCTTTTTTGAAATTGAGTCTGGGATGATTCGCTACAATTAAAAGTGAAAAAGAGTGAAATTTGAGCCGATGAGGGGGAAAATCAAGTCAAAAGATCAATTTTGAGAGAGAAGCTTTGAACTTTTTGGAAGGTCGAAGAAGAAAATGACATGAGCTCAGTCGATTTGGAAAAAAAGCAGCGTGAAAAACCTTTCATAGAACTTCGGGCTTCAAAAAGATTTTGATCCTTTGACCTTAATAAAAAAAATCTCTTTTGTAACACTCTCTTAGAAAAATTATTTTGCAGTCGTTCCTTGATCGCTTCATCGATGGCCGATTACGCCCAACAAACTTGCGTAAAATGGGTTCCAAAAGAAGCGAATGACGTCAACTACGTCTACATCTACCCCGACAGAGGATGCTATTCCATGGTCGGAAAGATGGGTGAGATTTTCAGAGTTTGACAAAATATTTCTAACTTCTGCGTGATAAAAAAACATTGAAAAAAATCGAGAATAAACCTTAAAATTATAAATTATTTTTTTACCTAAGTTGAAAAAAATCGCATCGGATCAAGTTTCCTCTTTGACCCTTAATTCAAATTTTGGACTTGATGAGCTTTTCAGAGCCAAGACTCATGAATTGAAGAATTTTTTTACTCAAGGTTTTTTTCTGCTGAATTGTCGGCTTCTTTTTATTTTGAGAAGAAATTTACTTGATCATTCCAGGCGGCAAGCAATCGCTCTCCCTGGGCTCGGGTTGTATCCAAAAAGGAATTATCATCCACGAACTGATGCACGCCGTCGGATTCTTCCACGAACAAAGCCGAACTGACCGTGACGACTACATTACCATCATGTGGAACAACATCCAGCCTGGAATGCAGGGACAATTCGAAAAATACGGCCAAGGAACCATCCAGTCGCTTGGAACTTCCTACGATTACGGGTCCATCATGCACTACGGCACTAAGGTTCGAGGGATTCGAAAAGCAGTTTTATCAGAAAATTCAGGCGTTCTCACGAAACGGACAGCCAACCATGGTGCCTAAGCAGAAAGGAGCCACAATCGGGCAACGAGGAGGTTTTTCGAAGGTCGATCAGTACAAAATCAACAAGTTGTATGGATGTCCAGTTGGTGAGATTTTTTTTCGATATCAGAATTATAACTAAAAAAGGTTATTTTATCTATTGTAAAGAGTGCAAAAAAAACCTAAGAAGAATTTAGATTAACGTGTTTTCCCATACAGCTTCCAAACTGATAGCAAATGAATCTCTCACGCTCAGAATAAGCACTAACTTCTTTCCCCATTGTTCGAATTTGCTATTTTCAGAAGGAGAAAAGCCATCCACCGCCGCCCCAGTCACCACGACGACGCAGGCTCCAACGACAACGGCTACAATTCGCATCATTTATCCGTCACCGCCTACTCTTCCGCCGGCGCCAGTGCCCGGAGAGTGCAAAAATACTCGTGGAGACTGCGACGACCTTGCTAAACAAGGTTTTGAGAAGATTTGCGCTTAAAAACCAGGAAAAAACTCCTGAAGATTGAAGAAAAATGGAATGAACTAAGATTTAAAAAACCACAAGCTGGTGTGGCGTTGTCTCGAAATCGCTTAGATTGGGAATTCACCTCAAAAAAATCCTGAATTAACAAATATTTTTTTACAGTTGATAAAAAAAAAAAGCCTGGATCCGGTGAATAACCATCAAATAACCGAAATTGCTTTGAATCTTTTTAAGTCTTTAAACAATCGGTTTTCGGTTTTTTTCTTCATAATGGTCACTTAAAACGTGAACTTATACTCCTTTTTTCAAACTTCGAAGACTGGATATCTTGAAAAAGTAATCTAACTATCACTATGCATTTTTCAAATGGAACACTAAAAAAAATTCGAAATTTTGGCAGAAAAAAAGAACAAATTACTTTCAAAAAAATTTTTCTCAAACTTTTCTTTCAAAAAAATACACGATTTTTCTTAAAGGTTGGTGTATCCGGAACCCCGGCTGGATGAAGACCCACTGTCCAGTTTCCTGCGGCATGTGCATCCCAAGCACCACAGCGGCACCTATCACTGTTCCGGTAACTACCACGACTCGTAAGTTTTCCAAATCTCCCTTGATACCTTTTTCAATAGTTTTCAATTCAAACCCTAAGTTTCAGCAGCTCCCACAACCGCACGACCAACGGCGCCTCCGGCTCCAACACTTCCGCCGCCACCTCCATCTCCTGGTCCGACTTCGGATTGCGAAGACCTTCGCGTAGATTGTCTGGTTTTGGTGTCTCAAAGGTCAACTTTTAAAGCAATATTTTTCAAAAATCTTTTTATTTTGTAGAGAAAGACTTGAGTTATAAGCGAAAGATAATTTATTAACTACTCAGAACCTCGAGGCTATCAAAAAAATTTTTTTCTGTAAAAAGATAATCGAAATAAAATGTTGGGATCAGTTGCGCAAAGGATTTTGGAGTTTTTTTCCGCTTCAAAAACTTTCGCATATCAAAAAAAAGTTCATAACATTTTTCATTTTTTTTTTGTTTGGGATTATTTAGAAAACAAGTTGAATTCGTTTGATTAGAGAATTTTAAAAGAGAGGTTGATAACATTGATTCAAAAGGCCTTTATCAGTAAACCGGAAATTTTTCGTTGAAACAGTGAAACCAGTTAAAAAACTTTTTGCGGGCTTCCTATATTTTCATGAAAATGAACCATTTTTCAGATACTGCAAAACTTCACAAAACTTCATGAAATCCTACTGTGCGAAGAGCTGCGGATTTTGCTACAAGCCGCCGCCCACTGAAATTCCCGACACTGGCCGACCTCCGATGCCAACTTTAGTCACACAGCCTCCAATCGTCACCTTTGCTCCACCAGTGTAAGTTCTTGTTTTCTTTGAGGTCTCCTGAAACAGTAAAATTGCAAACTGGTTCGATAGAAATCAGACTTTTTTCCAATTTTAAGGAGAAAATGGAGTTGGAGACCTCCCGTGTCTTGAGATACAAATCTGCCAAAAAAAAGTGTTTTCGGAGGTCTCGTGCAAACATTTTCTTTTTTCTCACCGGGAAAAAAGCAGTTTGCAAATAATGGGAAGGAGTGGCTGACCAGAAAAGAGAAATTTTTCAGGAACCAGAAATCGATTTTCGGTTCAGTAAATTTAGATGGGCGTGGAAATTTTGAGAAAGCAAACTTTTCAGAAGAAGATGATCATTTTCTGTTTTATGTTCATTATTTGAGAAGAAAAACGTCAAGAAAAACCTGAAGTAATGAAATTTGCGTTTTTTTCAAGATTAAGAGAAGTTGAAGATGAAGTCACTTTTTTTTTCTTTGCCGGGGAATTTTCAGAAAGTTCTCATGAGTCAAAAGACCAACAAAAAAAAAGGTTTTTTGCTTTGATGTTTCTCAGAACTTCATTTTAAAAGCTCGAAGAAAATTCGACTAGAACTGAGCAAGTTTTCTCGACAAAAATGAATTAAATTCCAGAACCAGAGGACGACCAGCACCTCCTCCAGTACCGACACTACCTCCAGCTCCGCCGGCGCCGCCAGTTCCAACGCTTCCACCATCAACAGAAGCTCCTGGCTGCACCGACAAGAAACATTTCTGCACGCACTGGAAGAACGCCGGCTTCTGCGAGGGCATCTTCATGAACTACATGAAAAAGAACTGCCCGGCCGCCTGCGGAATGTGCTAGCTTCACTTGAGCCATCTTATTCTCGTTTCTCAACAGCGAGTGACCAAAATGTATTTGTTAATTATTACCTTCCTTGAAATTGAAATTGACATGATCGACCTCATAATCATCACAAAAAATGTCATTATTTCCATCTCATAGCGTGGCTTCTGTATATTTTCTTCGCATTGATTTGAAGGAGTTTTTGGCTTGTCTGCGCTCTCTTTTTCTCTCTTCTTGCTCTATAACTCCTTTTTAAAAAGCTCCCAAAGACGCAGGTATATTTTCAGTCCAGTTACTGCAAAAATTCAAAAAATCCGTGAAAAAAGGGAAGCAGACTCTCTGAATATTCTCTCAAATCGAAGCGAAATGAGTATATTTCCCAAATTCAGTGTTCCAGCCACCCGAGAGTAGCGTCATTTTCGACGGCCTTTTGTAACTCTGTGTCTTTCAACCCAGCAATTGTCATTCATTTCCCTTTTTCTGACCGTATATGTGTATGTCACTTTTCACAGTGATGCCGACAACACCGGTGATGGTATAAATGTTCCGCAAAATACTTATAAAAACGTCACTTTTATTGTTGTTTTTATTATGATTGTGCAATAAAAAAATTCAATCATGACTAGAAAAAATAAAAACAAGTTGAGGAAGAAAAAAATAAACATGACTCATGTTTCGTAATATCTCAGCTTTTTTGCTTTGGATAAAAAGCGTGCTGAAGCTTACAATTTCTTTTTATATTTTCAAGTTGATATAACAAAGAGCTTAATCAAGGTTGGTTCAGGAACAGTGAGCCAAGGAAAATGAGAAATTTGAAAGTCCAGATGTCAGTTGAGAGTTTTTCAGACTTCTCCATGAAAAAAGTCCTTTTCGAGAACGTATACGCTCGCTTACGACCACATCACCTTGAAAACACGCCATTCTGTCCGATCTGGCAAGCTAAGCAATGTTGAGGGCCGGTAGTACTTGGATCGGAAACGGCTTTGGATCTCATCTTGCCGTTTGCATTCAGCACTGCTTTCCCCGTTTTTGTTGACTTTTAGAAACGAAAAAATAGTTTTAAAGTGATAAACTTGATGAAAAAGGAAAAAAATTTCATTTCACCAACGACTATTGATTCTGGCTTTGAGTTTTTAAGCCTTGGTGTGTGGTACTTAATAAGATTTTCTTTCAAAACAAGGTTTTTAAATCTTTACAGAGCTAACAGTGATCTGAATGTAATTGAAATTGCCCTTTTTTTCTTTTAAACCTTCAAGAACTGGTGAAACTGAGTCTAGCGCAATGAAAAAAGAGCAAAAAGCTTACGGCAAGCCGAATTCCCAAGCCGTCTCCGATCCAAGTACTACCGGCTCTCAACGTTGCTTAACTTGCCAGATCGGACGGGATGGCGTGTTTTCAACGTGATGTGGTCGTAAGCGAATGCGTCTCTGCGCAACGGCTATACACCCTTGGGATGGACGGCTGTCAGCGCCGAAAGACTTGAGAAAAATGGGAAAATTCGGTTTTGTTTTTTGCATCAGTTATGCGAAGAAAAAATTATGAAGTTCTATAATCAACAATTTGCATAAAATGATGAATAAAATACTTAAAACTATAATAAAGAAATGACGGTTTTGCCTTTTAGTGCCAAATAAAACGAAAATGTTTTGAACTCATTTTTTTTTTCCTCAAAAATGTAGTCTCGATGAAAAAAATAAAAGAAATGAAAAAAATATTCAAAAAGCAATGATACAGAAAATCGTTCAAAAAAATGTAAAAATTAATTTCGTTTCTCTCTTAACAGAATTAATTTTTGAACTAATAAAAAAACCATCTCTCAGAAAGAGGCACGTTAAATAAAATAGCCAGCTTAAACAAAAGAAAAACAGAAATTTCCGTTCTCTAGCAATTAAAAATAATTTGAAGCCTATTAAAACATGAGAGAAACATAAAATAAACGCTTTTATGGGGCCCACTTTCAGTCACATAGCAAAAATCGATAGAGTTCAGAAAACCATTTTCTCCAAATTTTCTAAATAAATTGAACCTTCCTGAATTCATTGAGAACAAACTCGGACTCACAGAAACGTTATCAACTTTAAAACAATCCGCAATAGATCACTGTCTCTGATAGCCTTGACGGCGGGAAAGTGCGGCGGAGCGCACGTTCCAGTCCGCCGACTTGGCAACTCTCCAATCTCTCCGCCAGTCTCTCATTTCGAAATGTTTGCTTGGGCGGAAGTGGTCGTGTGTATTTCTCGTTACCCGTGTCTTACGATCTCTCTTTTATTTGGCTACTTCTCAACTTTTCACGAGTAATAACATTGGTTTCATTGGCTTTCCTGAAGTGGGCGTGAGTTTTTTGATGTCTTTTTATGTTTTCGGAACGTTTTTTTCCGGAATATTTAAATTGAAAAATTATGTTCAGAAATGGCTGTCTCAACCAATAAGTAGATATTTTTTTCATGCTTATTCAATGCTGGAATTTTTTTAAACCCTTTTTTTGTTTGAAGGCAAAAAAATATATATTGCTTTGGAAATTGATAGGAACTTTGACGTTTAATTTTTTGATGGAGTCAATTAATTTTGCTTATTTTAAAAATGGCTCCCCTGACTCCGGCATAAATTCTTTTAAGAACGCTTCAAAATAAAAAAAAGCGGGAAACTCGTATCGAAAGCCAATAATAACTCTTATCAATGAGGGCCAAAAATTTTTTTTTCCGCTCTGATAAGCCTTCAAGGTGCTTCGATCGCTGTTGTTTTTCATCTTTTTGAAGGCTTCCAAGAAAAAAAGTTTTTTTGTTCAACCTTGAAGGGAAAAATTTTTCCCTTAAACAATATGATTCATTTTCAAATCTTTTAATTGTCTAAAAATGCCTATGAAAATATTTAAATACAGTAGGCATTTGGGGTTTTTAAAAAACTTCGATCAAAAATTTGATTCTTTGGTTTTCTCAGGAGTCGTTCCCATTTTTCAATTTTTCTGGAGAGAAACAACCAATCCAAATAATTACAACGTAGTGTTGCGTGTATACAAATTTTATGGCGTGTCGAGAGAAAAACGATAAAAAAAGAACAACCAGCCATTTTCTGGCTCCGGCAACCGTGATTTATTGACGCCCATTCCTTGCGCCATGGGATTATAGTTGATTGGCCGCTGGTTTGAGCCTTTAATTAAAGGATTAGGGATTATTTATAGAGTTGGTACTGTAGCAGAAAAAAATGGCTTTTCAAGCTTGAAGAGGCGGAAGAATTCGAAATAAATTTTTTAATGTTCAAAATAAAGTTCCTTTTTGGTCAATATTCAATAAGTTCAAGAAGGAAATTTTTTTTTGGCAAACTTGAAATTTCATAGTTCCTGAACCAACGTTTTTTTAAAGCATATAATGAATGCATTCAAAACGGTGGCAGTTAATTTATCAGAAATATGTAAAAACCGTGTCATTCAAAAATTTCCCTCTTATACTATTTAAGATGGGTTAAAACTCTAAAAATCTTTTTTTCAATATTTTCTTCCTTTAAGATCACATATAACGGAAAATAACTTGATACAAAACGTTTTAATGAGCCCTTGGAACCTTAAGTTGTCACTTTTTTACCACACTTCTCGATCAAAATCAACTCCTTCCGTGACATCCATCAACAAATCTTAGTCACCGGACAGACAGCCACCAAAAACGGACTGTGATAAGGCTGGCAAGGCCAGATAACGAGATAACATCCGTTGGCCGATTCAAATGGTCGAGTTTTCGCGGGCGAGTCGAGATGCCGTCGGGGCTGGCCGGGGCAATCTGCGTCTCTCCGCAGCAACAATGTCTCTCGCCTTGTTTGTGTGCACGAGAACCGCGCCGCTCTTCCCGAAGGCGCGACGCGTCTTCTAATAGTGCAGATTGGCGGCTGAGGCCACCTTTTTTTTTTCTTTTTCTCCCACTCTGTTACCATCCTTTCGTTGTTCGGTATTAACTTCTCGACAGCTGATGATTTGAAATTTTTTTTAGTGATTTTAAGCTCGAATATAGATTTTATCAAGCGCCTTTATTATTTTACACTGCAAGTTTGCATTTTCTATTCTTCGAAAAAGCCGCTCAATAAAAATTGACCGCGATTCTTTCTACCGTCTGTGTTTATTGATTGAAACCTAGAATATTAAATCGAGGTACCTGAGCAAGAATAACTCTGAGTCAACATTAAATACTGCCATTTGTTGTGTCACGAAAGTTAACAGAAAACTGTGGTTCTTATTTTTTTTTATACATTTTCAGAAGTGGTTTTGTTATTAGCAAGCTAAATTCAGATTTTTCTTTTATTTAAGAATACATTTTGTCGCCTTTTCTGTTTCGAATTTGAGAAAATGATTAAAATTTTTGAGTAACGAAAGTGACCAGTATAAGGCTTTTTTGATGAATATAACTGGCATCGAAAATTTATAACTTCAGGATTTCAGTTTTGATAAAAAAAAACACAGATATGACTCATATGTTTTCGAACTTTGAATATGCATTCAATTTTCGTTCATGAACAAGGCCTGCCAATTTTTTTCGCAAGCTTTTTTTCGTTTCTTTTTTTTTCAAGAATAATAGTTAAGAACAAATTCATTTTTCAGAATCCCCAGTTTTTTTGCTCAATATTCTTTTTCAAATCAACTTTTACGAGCTTTCAAAACTTTTAGGACTGTTCAAAAAAATTATTTTTTTCGTCGAATTTCCTTCTCGATCAGCAGAACAAATGGTGCGTCATCAGGAAAACCGGTTCATCGTAGAAATTGGCATCATTTTTTTTTTCTTTTGAACTTCAGAAAGATTGGTTTTAGAAAAGTTGGTTTTAGGCTGTCAATCGTTAACCTTTCAGCCCGAAAGATAATTCTGCAGATAATATCCGCACAAACCTTGAAAAAAAAAAAAAACAATTCCTTCAAGTTATTTTTGGCTTTATTATAGTTCCCACCGAGAAAAAGATTGTATCTTCGCCCCATGGCATTTCTGACTCCGCCCCTTTTCAGGAGCCAATAAAAAGGCTGCCGTTCATTCTTCTTTCATTTTTCTTTGTTCGTTCGCGTTTCCCTTCATTTGCATACTATCCTTGTCTAATTTCTTCTTTTTCAGAACGGGTAACAGTTGTAACAATCGATCGTATTGCTTATGACTACTTGTACAAAAAATGTCTAAAGGTGAGCTAAATCTCCAAAATTTGCTTTGATATCAAAGGAGGCATTTTGCAGATTTGACATGTAACGAATCTTTGGAGCAGGCCCTCCAGTCGGTATGTTATGTCACTTCTAATTCTATTTATTTTTTCCCCAGAAGAAAATGTTGCATTCTGCAAGCCAACTTCTACCTTTTCTTTTTGTGCTTCGTTGTTGTGGTTGTCCTCTTTCAGAATTTCAGTTTTGAATGGTTTTCAGAACGAAAAATGTAGAGATTCAGTCAAAGAATGGATTTAGTCCTTTGTGAAGATTCAAGTAGAACCTGGAACCGTAATGACGAATTATTACAAGCAAAAAAAAACTGGAACTAGATATTTCGGAGTTATAAACACTTTATGGCATTTTTTTAAGATTCAAAAATTCTGAAGGTCATCGGGACAGCTAAAAAAATTTCGAAAAAAACTCAAAATCTTTAGTTGATTCATAAGCAAAAAAACCTCCTTATAAAAAAAGGTTTTTTTCCACATTTAAAAAAACCTAAAAGTTGTGTAACGATACTGGAAAGGCTACCATAACATGTCAAAAAAAGACCCTACTTTTCGGTTTCAAAATCTCAACATCGATGAAACTGAACTTTTCAATTTATGCAAGCAAGGTTAACTGTAAAAAAGCCGGATATCCAAAATTTTTGAATGACATCATTTTACGGTTTCTAGTCGCACTACTATAGAAGTTTCAAAAAAGGAGTCTGTGGCTGAATTTCTATTTTTGCTCTTCAAGATTGAATTGAAAAAAAAAATGTAGACGAAGTTCCAACACAGTATCCCATCAATCAAAGATTCCAGAGGCCAAGAGTTGAAATGTCTGTTCATAATAGAAAAAAGTGTTTCCGGTTCCCACGCTTTACACTATCATAAAGTTTCTCAACAATTTTTTTTGTCGAGAAATTTTTCTCAAACGAAAGATCTAAAATAAGACCACCGTACTTCTCGATTTGCGTAGGAAGATATCAGAAAAAGTATGGGAAGAAATCTTTCTTTAAAAAGACTTTTGACAGATTTAACTACGGTAGTTTTCGAATTGCGTAGGCTGAAAACAGCTTTCTGAAAATAATTTTATTAAAAAAAAGTACGTTACCGTACTCCCAGGATAAATTAGAAAATAGTGAGCTCCAAAAAAATTGAATGATAAGTCATGAGACAAGATAATCAGTTGAAACGTTGAACTACCGTATTTCTGAATTACGTAGGCTTTAGTCAGCTTTTCAACGAATAGTCATAAAAAGCAAACTTGATAAGGTTGTCAGAACCACCGTACTTCCCAATTACGTGGCTTTCAGACAGCCTACCAAAAAAAAGATAGTTGATAAGTGGAAACTTTGGACCATCGTACTTGTCGTGCTGCGTAGGCTTTAGTCAGCGTCATAAAAAGGCAAACTTACCGATAACTATGAGCAATACAATTAAAAGCTGACGCGTTTACCTGTCACCAAGGCGATTTACATTTCTCATACCATTAACTCTGAGAATTGGCCAATTACAATGTCTGTTGCCATGGGTACTTTTTTTTAACTAATTGAAAGTCGACACGAACATCCTTTGGTTGGGGAACACTTCATTTCAGTTACTTCTGCCATGTCTATGTCTTTTCTAACTATCTCTTTCCACAGGGGCGGAAAATAACCAAACCATGATTCGATAAATGTGCTTCTGACTTTCTAACAACTTTTCTTTTTTTGTGCTTTTTCCGTTTCCGTTTCATGAAAAAAGACAAAAAAAAATTGGAGCAGTGTCAGATGTTCGGGAATGGGTTTCACTTGGGAGGAATTCCAAACAACCTTGGGGACAACCACCAACAACAAGCACAATCGGCCTTCTCACCATTCATGGTGCCCGAAAATCAGCTAAAAGCTTTTGTGAACTCATAATCGTTGTTCAGCCGGGGCTTGGATCTCAAGATAGAACCTCAACGCAGCCGACTAACACTGGAGGACTTTCGCTGAACTCCCAGCTCACAGTGGACACGGGACAATCCACCGCGCCTGGGACTTCCGCTCAGCCTCCGCTAACGGATACAGCTGTTCCTAATGTTTATTTTGCTTTTTTTTTTACGTTTTTCAGTGGAGAAGGAGTCTTAGAAGGTTTTGGCTAACAAATATTTACAGGTCCGCTGAAAATTTTCCAATCATGTCAAATCATATTTAAAGGAAATGTTTTTCAGTGAACTAAAAGTTTTAGAAGCTTTACCTAACAAAAACGGTCAAAATGCTTTTTAATATGATTGGTTTTTTTTGGTTGGAATATAAGCGCTCTTAAGTAACAAAAAAACATTTTCTCTGAAATTAAAAAGTACTTCTGGTTTTGCTATAGAAAAATCCTGAAGCTTTTTTGACTTTTTTGGCTACAGCTTGAAGTGAAAAATGACTGATAAAACGCTGAAAAAAATTGAATCAAAGTCACTGATAAGGCTGAAATGTCTACGTTCCTTTGAGCGAGCAGTTCCAATTTTTGTCGTTTGATCTTTCATTTTTGTTTTGGAATGTTTAAATTCATTCCCTAGTACCTCAAACTTCTAGTTTGACGTTAAGAAAGAGTAAAGCAAAAACGAAAAAATCATAAAAAAAACTTTGAAAAAATGAAAGGTTACAGTTCCAACGCATGGGCTTCAATGCACCGGCTCCACAGCACAGCAACATGTACTCAGTCTTCAAAAATTTCAACGGTAATTATTTGAAACCAAGTTCTTTTGAAAATGATGATCATTTAGTTCCTGAAGGGAACGCGCACGGCTCAGGCCAACTTTTGCCACCCAACGTCGCAGCTGGAACTGTCTTGGGATCTGGCACTGTTTTGACCAATCCTGTCTTGTGAGTTTTTTTCTGAACTGGGCAAAAAATCCTATTTCTGAATGTTTTTTTTTTCTTAATGTCATTGTTAGAAAAGCTGATAGCTTGAACTGATGAATGCAAAAGATTCAGATTCTCTGGTAATTCAAATTAGAAATTGTAGAGCACATGTATCATAAATCAATCATCAAACTGAAACAGGAAAGCAAGATAAAATAATATTTTTTTCAGAGAAATGCCTCGCAGAGCGGCGATGAACTTCGACGTTCAAAGCATCGTCCAGACACCGCAACCAATCCGTCAACATCCGCTTCACCTTCAAAACGCTCATCTACCTCATCCACCACCGTCTCAGTCCGTTCAGCCACATCACATGCAACGACAAACTGCAACTCCTGCTCCGGCCAATCCCAACCAGAACCAGCTCATGAACCTGTTTGCTCATCTGTCGTCAGTTTTCTCTTTTTATAGCCAAATAATCAATCCGGCACTTATCATCTTCGGTAAACTATAACTCATTTTTTTTCCAGTCGCAACCAACAGCAGCAGATCGGAAACAACGTGGCTCAAATGGCTCTCCTGGAGCAGGCTAAAAAAGCGGAGCAACTGCAAAGAGCCCAGGCGGAAGCAGCTCATGTTCAAGCTCAGGCCCTCAAAGCAGCCCAGGAAAGCGCAGCCTTGTCGAATCAACGCCTGGCAAATGAAGTTCACGCGGCTCGCATGTTTCAAGCCCAGCAGGCCGCACAGAGACAGAACCTCATGGAGCAACAGCAACGGGCCGCCGTCCAGCAGTCACTTCACGCTTCGCATCAAGCTTTCGTGAGTGAAAAAAATTAGAACTACAGAATCATTTCTTATTTCAAAAAAAATATTGTAATATAATTTTCTTTGATGCATTTTGGGTAATAATGATTTTGCAGGAAAACATGTACCTGAACCAAATGCGGCACTTCAACCAGTCAGGAGCCCTTCATTTGGCCCCGACGACTTCTGCTCAGAACACCCAACCGAAGGAGCAGTTCCATCATCCGCAACAGATTCATTATGTATGCATTTTTCGATTTCTTATTATTTTCACAAGCTACACAGTAGAGTATATTTCAAACTCAAACTTTTAAGACCTCTACAAGAGGACGACCTTCAACAAGAGGACGCGGTGGAGCTGGCAGAGCCAACAGTCACGTTCATTCTCATGCCCAGCACTCTCCTCACGTCAGTTTTCACATTTTTTTTTCAAATCATCTGGAAAATGTTGCAGATTGTACATCATCAAAATCGCAGCATAAGTCACATGCCGCCTCGTACTCCTCACCAACACGCACCTGTCATTCGGGTAATCGAACTTCGAAAAAACAAAACTTTCACAAAAACATTTTCAGCCTTCTCCGGTCGTCGGCATCAGCATGCATCATCAAATCGAACAGATGCAGGCACAAGCTCGAGCTCAAGCGCAGGCGCAAGCTCAAGCACAAGCTCAGGCGCAAGCCCAGGCACAAGCTCAGGCACAGGCACAAGCTCAGGCACAGGCTCAAGCCCAGGCTCAAGCTCAAGCCCAAGCTCAAGCCCAGGCCCAAGCTCAGGCGCAAGCTCAAGCCGCTCGTGTCGACAACAACCGGGCACAAGCTCATGCTCATATGCAAGCTCAAATGCAGAACATGCAGAACTTGTCGCCGGTTGAGCAGCAGAACTTTCAAAGAGGTCGGTTTTTTCAGCTTTTTTTTGGAAGAAGTAGTTCAATCTGTCATGGGTTTCAGTTTAAGTTCATCAAATGAAGATCCTTAACGATCATTAAAAAGTTTAGTTTGATCAAACTCCCAAATTTGGCGTCTTGGCCAAAAAAAAAGACTGAAAAGGCGTAAATGCATATGAACGAAAAATATCAATTAAGGGTCAGTAATCGTAGAAAAAGCTGGCTGCGGATCGTCTATAAAGTGTAGAAAAGTGGAGATACTAGACGAAAACCTAATCAACATCACGCGCGGTCGAATGCGAACGCCTTGCTGGTTCTTTAGAGCTTTTTTAGACCGTGAATTTTCAGCTTTGCTGTCGATGATAGCTCAGCAGACGCCGATTCCTGCACATCTACAGCAACAATTGACAACGCCATCACCTCGTCCGAATATTCTCCGACGTAATCGCAGCGACGGGACGCCTTCTACGGCTAAACGGCGTCTCAACATAGACGATCCGCAGCCCGTTCCGCAGCCTCTGCCTCCTCATGAATCGTCTGGAGTCATTACATCAGTTCCGTCGGATTCTCAAGGCACTTCTAAGGTAATTTTTTTGATTTTTTTTGACCCTTACTCTGTAAAACTTCCACTTTTCAGGATGAAACTCCAAGAAAGCGCAATCGCAAGCAGACTTTCGAACATGAAAACTTCCCAGAGCAACTTAAGGTAAATGATCAGAAGTTCCTGATCACATTGATGTGTATTTTTTTAGATGGCCATTAACGTGAATCTGCCAGCTTGGAGACTTTCTGATCACAATATGACGTAAGGAAAACCTCGGAATAATTTTAAAAAGCTACTTTTTTAGTGTGGCTGGTCCACCTGCACCACCGGACAAGAAGAAACGTGGCCGTCCAAGATCCGACGTCGCACAGGCTCATCTTCGCCAAATGATGAACCCTCGTCAGTTTTCTGAATGAAGTCAAACCAAAAACAGGATTTTCAGCTCTTGGCATGCCGCAGAACCGCACTGCAAGCATTTTTGTAAATTTGGACAGCCCCGAAGAAGGATCACTCAAACGTATGGATATCAATACAGCTGAAAAACCCGAAGCGAAAAATTCAGCTTTACGGCCAGAAGACTACTTCTTGCCTTCCCAAAACCAATTGATCAGAAAACTGCCGAAAACGCCCAAGGTTAGAAATCATTTTTCGAGTTTTTATCCATTTTTGACTTTTTCAGACAGCAGCGACAAGAGGCCGTGGAAAGAAGACCCTGAGCATGTTCCGACCTCAACCGTCTTATAACAACATCATCGGAACTTTCATGGGTTCCGCGACACAGTCAGGGCCTCTGATCATTGCTCCGGCTGCCGCGGTTCCAGCAGCAACTTCCTATGAGCCAAGGAAGATTTTCTCACCAGCTGAACCAAAACCAGCTGCGCCAAAGCCAGTCTTATTAAAGCCGGTCGCACCAACTCCTGAAAGAAAGCCTTTGATCACTACGTTGGCGGCAAGAAAGGCACCGGCCACTCCGGTTCCAACGCCGGTTGTCAGAATCGCCACACCAATTGCTCAGCCTGTTGTGAAAATCGAGAGGCCTGATTCGGTCATAATTGAAACTAGTGTCGTTAAAAGCAAAGAGGAAAGAGTTGAGACTCCTACGGTTAAAAGAACTTTGAGTCCACAGAAAAGTGCACAGAAAGGCCGACCTTCGGTTATCGGCATCAAGCTTATTAAACCGGAAACGCCTGATTATGTGATCCGGGACGTCAGCCGTTCGAACACCCCGCGAGGTGGTGTCAAGACGCCAAAGGAATCAGCTCGGAAGAAGTCGCCACTCCCTCATCAGATGACTCTCAAGGAGTACGACGAGCAAGTTCATCGCAGATTCCGTGAAATCTCTGGCACAAGCCCGCCCCCTACCTGTCGACGTGGTCATGGAACTATGCAGTCTGTGGCTAAACTGTTGGGCGACTCGATGGTCTACACGAAGGCCTTCAATAAACGCAAGGCCAAGATAGAGAAAGCTCTCCAGAAAAAAAAGGAACGCGAGGAAAAAGAAAAGAAAGAGGAAGAGAAAAGGAAAGCTCTGGAAGAGAAGGAGAAACAGCGACAGGAACTCTTGCTCAAAAAGAAGAAGGAAAAGGAAGCAAAAGCTGCTGCAGAGAAGGTTTGTTGCGAAAAAAAACTAATACTTGTAAGCGAAAACGAAAATTAGCGGGCTTTTTTTTCAACAGTTTTTTTCTCACTTCATTGAAGTTTCGAATAAAACTTCAGGAGTTTTTTTGACTTTTAGGAACGAATGGAAAGAGACCACCTGACCCCGAGAGAAAAGTTGGCTGTCGACGCTTTGACTGGCATCGTTCAAGAATCTCACAACTTCATCAAACTGAGAATCAGTCTGCTCTCAACCCGCAAGAAGATTCGATATTTGGTAATTTTTCTTCTTTGTCAGACTTATCGAAGTTTTTTTTTTAGTTGAAGCGTAATCAAATCATGATGGCTCACAAAAATACGCCCTATGCTCCAGTGAGGAACGTTCGAGCTGTTGATAACAACGTCTTCAGCACGCCGAAATTGGTCAGGAATAATTCAAATGCAGAAGTTAATGATATTTTTTTCAGTTTGTTTTGGTTACTCGCAACCAGAAGCGCTATCAGAAGCTCAAAAAGAAATACATCACAAAAATGAGATTCGTCGAGAGAGCGAAGGTAATATTTGAAAGTTTAATATTCATAAAAGTACGTTCAATTTCCAGGAAGCCATCGAGAAAAACGAGAGAATCTTCCGGAAGAAGTACCAGAACGATTCTGCAGTTAAAGACTCGAGATTTTCCACCAAAGACAAGATGAAATTCATCAAAATGTTGGCGCACCTTTTGATGGAGCGTGATCTCAAAAGGCATCAATATATGGTAAGATTTAGAAATTGGAAAGCTATTATAAAATTCATTTTTCACAGGCCAAAAAAGAAAAACGCGCATTGAAGAGGATCTCGCAGACACGTAGATTTCCAGAGAAACCTCTAACAGCGGAAGAGATTCGGAAACGTGAGGCTCGCTTGGAAAAGAACAATGCCTTGAGAGTCAAAAAACCTCTGGTTAGTTTGTAATGCTTATTTTTTCTATTTGAAAATTTCCAGGCCACAACGTGCGACGTCAAAGATTCATTCATCGTTGCATCTCTTCTTGGAGATTTAGTAGGATTCGTTGCTTTGGAGGTCGATGGAGCTGATGCTTTGAATGAAATGGTGAGAAAAAATTTCGAAGCGTTTATTTATTATTGTTTTTTTTTCAGAATTCAAGCGTCGTCGATGGAAAAGACCGTCTTGATGTAGAAGAGCTCGGATTCGAAAAACTCAAGCTCGTCGATGCCGAGTTGCCGGACCTCCTCCCAGAACCCGTTGCGAAGCAGCCGGAAGTTCCAGTTCCAGATAACATCAAAGAGGCGCCAGAAGTTCCTGTCCAGAAGAAGACGAAGAAAAAGTCGAAAAGTGGCCGGAAAATCAACCTGCGTTTATTGCTTAACGCTATGGATCGTGCTTCAAAGGATGAACCTTCGGCGGCCTACATTTCTTACTTTGTCAAAACGGGCAAAGATCCAGCTCGAGTGATGCCGGCGTACTTCCGGAAGCATGGAAAAGAAGCTACTCCTCCGCCAGAAGAAGAAGTGAAAAAGGCAGAGCTCAAGACAAAAACGCCGGTCTTCAAATCGAAGAATTCCGGGCCCAAGAAAGACGCGACGAAGTCAAAGACGAAAGTTTCTCCAAAAGGCGGCTTCAAGGCCAAAGCAAAGAAATCGACGGCAAAGAAGGTCCCGGCTGAGCTTGCTGCTCAAGATCCACAAACGATTGAAGCCGTCAATTTCCTTCTCAGTCTTCGCGACAACAAGCCTCAAGTTTCTCGGAAAGAAATGGTGAAAAAATCGGAAGCTAAGATGTTAGAGAACATGAGAAAAGTGAACGCTGAAATTCGGGAGGCCAAGAAAATCAGAGAGGACATGTGCCGAAAGGAGCAACTGGCTCGTGGTCACATCGACATTGCTCGCAGAATCGACATCCTGAGGGATCCAGAAGTTGCTGGAATACTTGTTAGCAAGTGAGTTCTATCAAACATTTTCCGAAAAACTTTTTTATTTTTTCAGCCCCTTCTGTGCCGACATGGATCTGTACAAACTGATTTTCGGCAAGGAAAAAGCAACAAAGTCGACCGAGCCGGTGTTGAACAAGCCTGAGGTGCCTCCAGTTGAGGAGACTGTGGCTCCGGAACCTGCTCCAGAACAACCTGCAGATGCGACCTTGAAAACGATGAAGAAGGAAGAGGTGGACAAGAAAAAACCGACAAAAGCTAAGCTGAGCAAAGTTAAAAATGGCAAGAAGAAGCAGGTCACTTTGAAACAAGGCAATCCGAAAAAGATGAAAGTGAAGCGAGTTGAGAAGAAGAAGAAGGCGATCGTTCCAAAACGAATCGAAAGGAAGAGAAGGCCGCTCGAACTTGTTCTTGATACTTCAAAGCTGAAATCTGCACTGGAAACTCTCAAAGATGAAACGCAACTCGCCGAAGCTTTGAAGACGAGCAGAATCGGCAGCTTGGTGGACAAATTGATGATTTTGGAACCGAAGATAAAACGTCCCGATAAGTTTCCAAAACGAAGCAGTAGCGTTCCAACCGTGTCTCGGAATGAACAGCCCGGGCCTTCGACATCCTCTCAGAGCGCTCCTGTCTCTCCAAGTGAATCTACCACAAAAATTATCCGAGTGACTTCTGAAGTACATGCGATCCCCAAATCACTCGCGAAGCAGCTGGGAAACTTGACCCGACACGCAAAAGTCGAAAACCTTTCTTTGGTATCGGAGAACGATGAAACAAACCACGCCCTCAAAAAGCTTCTCATGTCCATTAAAAAAGTACCAGAACCAGCCATGATGAAGCCAAAAGACGCGATGGAGTTGGCACAGAGAATTGCTAACGAAGGAGAAGAGGAGAAGGCAGTGATTTCGAAGGTCGTCGAGCAAGTTGAAGGAACCCAAGACTCACCTTCTACGTCGCCTATGTCGATTGTGAAGAAAGCGTTTCCGGAGAAAAACCTGCAGCCCAAAAAGCAAATTACCTTCAAGAAAATGAAGAGGTTGACCAGCAAGATCATCCGCTTCAGAAATGGGAAACTGCGTCGGAATCGTTGCAGAGCTCTTATCAGAGGCCCTCGTCGTGCCTTTATGAGCGCTGCTGCCATGATGAAAAAGCTGAAGCTCGTTCAAAGGCAAACCAAGTTTGCTCTCCGACACGAGCCAAATCCGATTCGAAAGAACGCTATTTTGAAAAAGATGAAGCAGCTCAGAACACAGCGAGATGGACTTCAGAACAAGATCCGTAACCTGAAGAAGCAGCTGCTGAAGCGTCTGAAGCAAATCGAGCGTCACAATCAGAGAAGAACGGCTTTGGTGAAGGGAGTCTGGCCCAGTGGCAAGGAGGTCAACGTCAAGCGGATGAAGCAGTTGGCTGAGAAGAGGGCCAAAAAAAGGGCTTTGCAGCGGAAGCTGAAGCGACTTCGGTCCCTTCGCAAGACCAAAGTCCTTCGTGGACGCCAATGTCGCCATCTCCCGTTAGTTTTCTGTTTGTCTACTAATCTCCTTTTCAAATTTCAGAGAGTTCTGTGCTCAGATCGACAAACTCAACGGCTGGATCAAGAACGCAATGATGACCGAGAAGATCATTCTGACGGCTTATAAGAAGATCCTGGAGATCAGCGACCCGCTTGCAATTCGGGATTTGTGGTTGGACTCTCGCAGAATGCGGGGTGAGTTTCTCCTTCAATTTGAACTCCACAAAGGTCAAAAAATCTCAATTGAGAGCCGATATACGAAACAACTTTTCTTGAAAAGCTTCGTGGAGCAAGGTGATGTTTTTTCAGAAGATGGTATGACGGACAAAGAAGTAGAACTCCTTGAGCAACAACTTCTGAGAAAGAAGATTGCTCAACATACTCCAGTTGTGGACACCCACCGACCCAATTACAACGAAATCGGTGGCGAGTTGGTCAACTGTGACCCAACTCCACAAGACGTCAACAACACTCTCATGGTGACTTTGCCGTTTCAGCTTCAATTTTTCAAACGGAAACATTTTTAGGGACGTTCACCATTTTTTAAAGGACCGCCCGTTTATCACAATCCTTCCGGTTCATTCATAAATCGCTACGGTCGGCTTGTGGAAGCAAGGTGAATTTTGAAAAAAATCGTTTAAATTCTCAAGCTCTGAATTACAGAAAGACAGCCTACAATGCCAAGAACGAAAATACTGCGGAGAGCGTCAACATGTACCTGGACAAACTGTTGGAAAAAGGACAGAGGGTGGATCATTTGGACCAGAAGTTGGTCGAGTACAACAAGCTGAAGCGTTACGACGCTTTCCGAGAGGCATTTGTCATCGCTCGCCAGCATCAGCAAACTGAGGATAGACAGAAGACGAGAGAGGCCAGGAAGAAGGCTCAGAGGTAAGATAATTTCCTGAATTTCTTGTGAAAAAAATCGAATAATGATGATTATGTCTTTCATTTCTTCAACTTAGATTTTCATCTTTAGAAAAAGGACAAATGACGGAAAATCGAGAGAAAAGTATGAAAAAATTTCTAAAGTATCAACTATTGAATGAAATCTCTAATAACTCAAATCACCTATTCCGGAATATTTCTTGAGCCAATGGCTCCAAAAACTTGAATTCATTTTCAGAAAAAAAATCTTTCATTTCTCAAATAAATTCTTACAGAGAGAAGGAGAAGCTGGCCAAAGGAAAGGATCAAGAGGCCAAAAAGTTGCAAAAATTGTGCACTGGTGCTCTTGAAGCTGGTTACTCGAAGGAGGATATCGACTCGTTGTTGGACATGTGCGGCTCATCTTTCAAGTATCCCGGCAAACTGGTACAAAACGACCAAGAAGAGCAGAAATCTCTGAGGTGCAAAACTTGATCGAAAATTTTCTTATTTCAATTTTTTTTAGCGTTGCCTCCGGCTCCAAAACGCCGCTGAAAATCTTGGCTGAAGCTTCTGTCAGCAAATCCGGAAAAAGGTGAACCTAAATTATTTTTTCAAAACCATCAAACTTTGTAGAAAAGCAACGGAAGCTTCTGAAAACGAGCCTCCTGCTAAGAAACCGGCAAAACCAACAAAAACTCTTGTCACTCAATTCCAACAGCTTGAAAGGTAAAACGAGATGTTGAATTTTTTTTATTGAAAGATTTTTAGCAGCAAAGCCTCTTCGAATTCGGTGAATGCAGGTGATCAAGCTCCTGAAGCCAGTATTCTTGTCGACAGTTGCCTTGAATCGTTTGATTGGGGTCTCAAGCCTCAGTATGAGAATGACAGAATGTGGTATGATCCTTTCCGTATTTTCAGATTATCATTTCTCATTTTAGCTTGACCTTGTACGGACCAGAAGCATGTTTTCTGAGTTCTTTGTTGAAACCTTTCAACGGTCCCAGAACCCTCACCGATGAGATTACCGAGATTGGCCATTTCGTGAACTTCGCCAGCTTTTGCAGTAAGACCTCAATAATATTTTTCATTTTGAAATGATAATAATTTTTAGACGAAGACAAGCCTTGGTCCAAGATGTTCCTAGACCAATTGAGAGAGTGCGGCCGTTTCGTTCGGGAGCAGATGGCTCGAATTTTCTGCAACACGTACAAATCCCTGTTCTACTTTGTTCGTGTCAGGTAATATCTTGCTGAAGTTGAAATTTTTAATTTTTTTTTTCTTTCTTAGGAGGGTAATATTGAAACATCTCCGTCGGCGGAAGAAAAATCCAAAGTTGGTCAGAAAGCTGAGAAGACCAGCCAAGGCGAAAATCGTCAATGAACCGCCCGTTATCACTATTCCCGATGAGCCAATGGAGGATGAAGTGATCACTATCGATCCTTCGCCAGAAGTTATTGTCATTGACGATTCTGATGCTCCGGTTGTCATCGACCCCGAAGAGAAGCTTGCCGTTCAACCTGATGAAGAAGACGCAGTTCAGCTCACGGAAAAAGTCCCATTCCAAACTGTGGAAGACGTCGCCATCCAGTCGGAAGAAAAAGAATCCGCTCAACCGAGAGAGAATGATTCCGTTCAACCCGAAAACAAGGTCTCCGTCCAAGTCGAAGGCAAAGTCTCTGATCAACCTGAACAAGAAGTCTCCGTACAATCTGAAGAGCAGGTAGCCGTTCAATCTGAGAAAGAGCGTGCCGTTCTCCTTGAGGAGCAGGCAGCCGTGCAACTTGAAAAAGTGGTCGCTGTAGTTGAGAAGCCGGTAGAAGAACAAAAAGTTGAAGAAGAACTCAAAGAAGAAAAAGAACCGGAGGTGCAACACGTGCAGAAGCCGCTGATGGAAGCGGAGTCTGAGCCTGAGCCACCTCTCGAGCCAGTCACCAAAACAGTGTCTGAGGCAGTGCAAAAGCCGGTGCAAGAAGAACAACCAGCTCCAATTTCTCAACCCGAGCCAGTGCATGAGCCTGAAGTTGAAGTCAAACCGGAACCTACCTCAGTTCTTTTGGGATCTTCTGAGCAGCCGATCATCAAAGAGGAGCCACTCGATGAGCCGGAACCAGTTTGCGCTCCACCGCCACCAAAACGTGCTAAGAAGGTCATGCCATTTATCAATCTTGCCGCACTCGCTGCTCCGCCTCCGATTCGTGCTGCTGCGGCTCGTGCTGTCTTGAAGCAAGCGCCGTTGCCTAGAGGTCGTCCTCCAACTAAGAAGACGCCGACGCCGCCCAAGAAATCAAAGGCTAAGACTCCGCCCAAGGCCAAAGCTGCGCCAAAGACAAAAACGACTCCAAAGGCGACGCCAGCGTCTTCAAAAAAGGCTGTTTCTACTCCCAACCCGAAAAAGAAGGATCCGTCACCGAATAATCGATCTTCGGTAAGTCTTAATCAGAACTATTTTCATAACTGAGTTTTTTTCAGCATTCCCGATGAAAGCGACAAGAAGACATCCCGTCATGCCGTCTCATTCAATTCGATGATATTTCATCTGTCTGTATTTTATGGTTTTCCAAGGGACCAACATTCATATAAATGGCCTTATGTCGTTTTTATTTTTGTCCTGAACTGTTTTTAGTTGTACGAAAATGCAATATAACCTGTATTATTGTCTAGAAGCGCTTTCGCCTTGTCTCTTCTACCCAGTTATGGCTTTTTCTCCTCAACTACGGTTCTTAGATTACTTTCTGGTGTATCTCCATAAGCATTTTTTTTTCTTTTTGTGACACTTCTAGCCTTTCTAGTTAGCATCTCGGTGTGATAAAAGGTCTTTATCTGTTTCTTACATTGATATTTTCATGATCTCTTCTCTTTCCTTCAAAATCCGCTAAGTTTAAATCAAAACCATTCGGTTATCTCTCCGGGCCGTAGATATTCAAAATGTTCAGCCAAAGTTGAAGTGACTTTTTATTATCCAGCCAATGATAGTCTCTCACTATATCTTGTTGTGAAGTAAATATTTATATGTGAAACCGACTTCTCATTGAAACCGCAAAGTTTTGAAATGATGGAAAGTAGTATATCAGCGCAGTCACTGATAAAAAGTGTGTTTTGGGATAGCAGTTTTCTGTTTTTTTTTTAATTCGACAACTGAGTGGTAGGTTGAGCCATGAAGATAAGACCTCAAAGCAAAAAAAAAATCGGAAATTATAACAAAACATTTCAAGATTTTTTACCGACTTTTGAACTCAAAGCGAAAAGTTCGTTGACAATCGTATCAGTTCTCAAACCCGAAAACAAGGTTTTTGATGATTTGGAAAGATATACTCGCAGTTTATCTTTATTTTTTGAATTTTGAAAAGTTGACGGCTGTAGTGCGCTTTCTTCATTCATTTCTGAGCAAGAACATCATAATTTTTGGCGAGCCAAAAACGAAAATAAGAAAAAGAAGCTTTTTAAAAAAGAACAGCATCAAATATATGTGACCCGGCACCCACTAGACAAAAAAGCTCCTCAAAGTTCACCGAAATCATTTCATCAGAAAAATCCGGAAAATCTATAAATCGAAAATGACTCGAAGGAAAGATAAGAGCTCTTTGGCGGCCTCTGAACAGTGTCTGTAAAAATACAGGGTGGCCAATAAATATTGAAACCGTTTTTTGTTTGATCGCTGCTTTTTGCACAAAGGACTGGCTTTTGAATTTTTTTTTGTTTATTTCGTTCATTCATGCTCACTAATCATGTGTTTGAAGTTACAGCTCATACTTTTCATTTTTCAGGTAATGGTAGCCCCATCTCCGTACCGTACCGCAATCATTGATTTTGTCAGAAGCGGAATGACAATCTCAGAGATCGTTAAAAAGCTGAAAGTGTCTCGTGTTCTCGTTTTTCGAACTGCACAACGCTATTGGCGTCTCGGTACTTCAGATGACATGCAAAGAAGGGGACGTCTTGTATCAAGTTTGGTTGACTTTTGAGAAAGTTATAACGTTTCAAACGCATTTCAATATTTATTGGCCACCCTGTAGAAAAAAAGGAATTTCTGATCATTTTTTTGTTGAAGAAATGATCCTGATATCCAACATCCTTTTTTTAAAAATTCAAAAAGTGTATAGGGAGAATGCTTTTTAAATTAAACTTAAACGAAACTTGATGAGTTCATGGTTTTTCGAATAATAGGAAAAAAACCGTCTTTAATCTGGATAAATGTATTATTATATGATCAGAGCATTCAAAATATCCATGAAGTTCTAGATAAGTCAAAAAAAAATGCCTTTTGAAATGCGTTATGACTATTTGAAGGTAGTCATTTCAAAAAATGTAGGCTTCACAAGCCATTTCTCGAAAAAAGAAATGCATAGTCGAGTCTAATACCATCTGATAAAGCAGACTGTCCAAAAGTCAAATCAGTTTATTTTTTTTAAATTTCGATTTTGAGCCGAGTTATGAAGCTTTTAGTGACGCACGTGGAAACCGAAAAATCTGGTTTTTTCAAATTTTCGGCTGCACTGCTTTGGCTCGTTTTCCTTTTATATTCAACCGTTTTTTGAATCGGTTTTCTGTTGAAAACTAATGAAAATGTTTCTATGATTATTATTCTTTAATATTAAGGTTAAAACAAATAACTCGTTCGAGTAAAAAAAAAGAGGATCCTCGGCACCAACGGAAAAACTATTACATGACATTTTCTGCTCAAATGATCAAAAGAGTGCAGTCTCTTTAAAGTTTTTTTATTTTCGGAATTCCCATTGTTTGGCGTAAAACACTCGTTTGTCTTCAGAACGACGCAATGTCACACGCACGACACGCTTTGACGCGAAAAAATAAAATTAAAAATTGACCGTTTTTGGTCATTTAAAATGTTCATTCTGTTTCCGGCACCCCCAGATTTTTTTTAAATGTAAATGTAAAAAAGGCAAAAACATATCCAAAAAGAAAACGTGAAACTACATTGCTCTTTGTGGAACGATCCAAAAAAATCTAATTAATTTTTTTGCATGCCTTTTTTTGTGAATGCAAATTTAAACTCATTTTGCTCGTATTTTTTTGATTTTTGTTTTTTTCTGTTTGTACATTATTTAGGCTTTTTTTCAATTTTCGAACAAAAAAAATCACTGAGTTGTCGCTGGAATTTTTTTCGCATTTTTTTGTTTGAAACTTTGGGTTTTTTTGACTGTAACTTTACAAGTTTCGTTTATTTTTTTCGGCCCCGCCAGAAATTTTTTTCTCTTTGATATATATTTTTTTGAAGAATTTTGTGATGAATAACATATCAAAAAAATTCAGAGGTGAAACGCATTTAGTTTTGTGAAACCAATTAGTTTTATGAACTGTATCCACTTTTCTTGCAGTTTTATTAATTTTTGGTTGAAATTTTGAGAAATATTGAGTTTTGAAGCTATCTAGTTTTTGTAGAGCAATGTAGATTACATAGGAAAAATCAGAAATATGAATTTTTTTGATTAGCTCTTTGCTCACTAAAAGATCTTCAAACACGTTTTTTTCGACCGAATAGTGGTCAATTTTGGTACAATGAAGGGGCGAGGCTTTGAGCTCCCTAAAAAAAGTATTTATTTTCTTGATAAACTGATAGCTCGTTAATAATGAACTGTTCTCTCACAAACACCCCCCGGAAAGTGTGTAGTTTGCTCACATCCGCAACATTGGTGTCGACACAAACAACACGACGTCAGAGGTCACTCACACCTCCAAACAACTCGGTTGCCTGCGCGATGGCGGGCGAGAGAGCGAAGAAATCGCGGAGGTCCAGACGACAGAGTCATCGATCCGATTGGCCAACCGAACAGTTTCTCGAGCCCGCGAACCGATACGCGTTGACGGTATATACACGTCGCGGTCAGATACGCGGTCTCTAGCCCTATAAAAGGGACCTTCCTGGCCGTTCATCCTCAGTTCTCGCTCTTCTTTCTTCCTTGTTCAATGGTCCGGTGGTCGTCACTTCTTCACATTTGCTTCCCTAAATCTTCTGATTTGTTTTTCGATTATGCCGTGTTCAAAATAATTTCGCGAAATGCAAAATAGCCGTCAGAGAAAGAAAAATATAACTAGATTTCGGAGAGTCAGAGATCATTTTGCATTTCGCGAAATTACTTTGAACACGGCATTAATACCAAAGCTTTTACATGGTTTCATATTCCAAAAACCTTTGGAACTCTTTCTTCACAATTCAAAAAGAACTCGACTACAATTCTTTGTACGCAACATTTTTTCGTCGTAATCAAAGGCTGTTACTTCTTCATATCTGCTTCCTTCAAAGTTCTGTTGTGTTTTTCGATCAAAACCAAGGCAGCTACATGCTTTCAAAACCGAAACACTTTCAATGGCTTACTTCTTTTCCGAAAAATTCATTTTTCAACCCATCGAAAACTCAAGTAGTGTGCCAGCTTTTCTCCCCAGATTTACAGTTAAAAATAAAAATTAAAACACAAGCCGATTTTACCTCTTTTTACTTTTTCCCTTCTGTTATTTAGACTCTTGATTTGACTCTTCTTCAAATTTTTCCGTTTCATTTCAATTTTTCTTTTGTAATCTTATTTTCCAGGTGTCAAGCAAAATGACAAGTCGACGTTCTATTATGATCGAGGCGATAACGCCTCCGAAGCTCAAGGATATTTGCATACCGAAACGGTTAACTAGGGATCAGATACTGGCAAAGAAACATAGGGTACTTTTTAACTTCATTTAAAGCTAGTTCACAGGGAAAATTGCAATTATGTAAAAAAATTTTACTATCACTTTTTCTATCCTCGTATATTTAAAATGGATGAGAATGCTGATGGAAAAAAAAAGAATACTAAGGAATTACTTCAAAAATTAATAAAAAAAAACTATATATTGAAAAATTGATATATGAGAAAGTTAGATATAAAAAATCCAATTTTATTTCAGATTGGCCCACAATTAATGAAGAAAATTGAACAAGAAGCTGAGTTAAGACGAACCAAAACACTTCGAGCCGCTTTGGAGCAGGAAAAGAGAAAAAAGCTCGAAAGGTTAAAGCGAAGGGAAAAAGAAAAGCGGCTGCGCAAGGCTGCAGAGGCTGCAGAAAAAAAAAACGAGTGAGTTCATCACAACGACTTGAATTGAAACTGCTTCGGACTTTTCATCGATCTGAAATTTGATTTGTTACAGGGGCACTGTCACTATGAGGACAACATCTCACTGCTCGATCGTCCTTCAGCCAGTGGACACCAACGCGGCCATCACGCTCAAGAAGCCTCTTAGCACAGTCGAGATCATGCCGAAGCCAGAAAAACCCAAGAAGCCGGAGGATGGGCCCACCCGCAAACGGCCTCACAGTGCAATGAAGATCCAGGGAGCCCACGCCACCAAACAGCAGTTCTCGAAGAGTTGCGAGCAGTCTTTCGAATCGCGTAACATCCAATCAACCTTCGGAGGCAATCCCAAGCTCACCGAGAATAAGTCGGCGCTTGATCGACCTTGCAAAACGGAAAAGGTCCAGCCGATCAGTGTGAACAAACCGGAGCTCCCAAATAAAAAACCAATGCTCGAGCAACTTCAACCTGCGGTCAAGAACCCTCCGATCACGTACAACAAAGGCAAAGCGCTGGTGAATGAGCATGAGCTCAAGTCTCCCTGCAAAACGAACAAGATCGAATACGAAACCAAGCTGCGAAGGTCGACCACGGTCGTTGAACCGCAGGTGATTTTTTTGTTCTATGATGATCCTATAAGAAGCAGTTTTACTTTCGTGTTAAAAAACTTGCGTTAATTGCGAAGTAGAAATCAAAAACTAAATTGGAAACATTTTCAGGCTTCTGCAGTTGCAGCCATCAAGGCGATCGACCAAGTCCAAGTTCCAGATCTAGTACATGCAGCTCCACCCGCTCCATTTCGAGGTCTCGGTCGGCCTAACATTGGAAACGATCGCAGCTTATACTGTTATGGAGGCACTATGTTACACGAGCCTCGTGAGCTATTTTCTCTATTAATTCCTATAAATTTGAGGAAAAGATCTCCTTTCTTTTTAAATTCTGGCTGAAGTTTTTGTAATTCTAGCTGTTTTAAGGTGTTTTCCGAACGCAAAACGAAGTTTTCTTTCATTTTGAAAACTGAATCTAGAATGAGTATCATTTCCTCAAAATGACATCGAAATGATCAGTACCACGCAACGTTTTTTTCAGTTTCCGAACGTCTGCAGACGATATATGGAGCTTGCATGTTCAATGGAAAAATGGCCACGCAGTGAGTTTCACTCCGTTGTTTTTGAAGGGTCATTTTCGTCGCTTTCAGCTGTCAAAACTGCGCTTACTTCCCTGTACACTTGAACCCCAATCGTGATCAAATCATTGAGAACGAATCCTCGCTCGAGCCGACCACGGTCAATAAACCGCAGGTTATTTTCTCGTTATATGATGATCTAGACCCTATAAGAAGTAGTTTTACTTTTATGTTAAAGAACTTGCATTAATTGCAAGATAGAAATGAAAAAACTAAAATGGAAACATTTTCAGGCTTCTGGAGTTGCAGTCAATCATCAATTGGGCCAAGTTCAAGATCCGAATACAGTAAAAGCAGCTCCATCCGCTCCAGTTCGAGCTCTTGCGCAGGCTGACATTGACAACCGTCGCAGCATATACTGCTATGGAGGCACTATGTCACACGAGCCTCGTGAGCTATTTTCTCTATTAATTCCTATGAATTTGAGAATAGACCTCTTTTTTTTTGTACTTCTAGCTGTTTTAAGGTGTTTTCCGAACGCAAAACGAAGTTTTCTTTCATTTTGTAAATAGAATCTAGAACGAGTATCTTTCCTTCAAAATGACATCAAAATGATCAGTACCACGCAACGTTTTTTCAGTTTCCAAATTGCTGCAGACGAAATATCCGCCTTTCATGTTCAGGGGAAAGATGGCCACTAGGTGAGTTTAACTCCGTTGTTTTTGAAGGGTCATTTTCGTCGCTTTCAGCTGTCAAAAATGCATCTTTTTCCCCCTATACTTGAACCCCGGATGTGATCAAATAGTTGAAAATGAATTCTCGATCGAGCGGCCTTACACAACGGACCCGATCCAGTCGGCCAAAATCGATGAACCGCAGGTAATTTTTTCATTCTTACAAGATCTAGATCATAAAAGCAGTAATTCTTCATTTATGTTGAAGAACTCGCTTTGATTGCAAAATAATGAAATCAAAAATGAATTGGAAACGTTTTCAGGCTTCTACAGTTCCAGCCCTCAATCAAATCGACCAAATCCAAGCTCAGAATCCAGCACAAGCAGCTCCACCCGCTCCAGTTCGAGCCCTTGCGCAGGCTGTCGTTGAACTCGACCACTACGTATCCTGCCCAGGAAAAGCTCATTCCCATAAGCCGAGTGAGATATTCTTTCCATCAATGAACATAGAGTTGTGAAAGAGATCTATACACTATTTTGAGCTCTAGCTAAAGTTTTCCGAATTCTAGGTGTCTTATGGCGACTTCAACACAAAAAGTGAATTTTTTTCCTATCTTAGATAAAATCTCAAACGAGTAGCATCATCTTAAAATTACATCGAAGTGATCAATACCTTACATTTTTTTCCAGTTTACGGGAAATTGGAGAAGAACATCCCCAGAAAGAGGTGGAATGGAAAGCTGGTCACCAAGTGAGTTCTACTCTGTTATTTTCAAATGATCAAGTCCGACTTTTTCAGCTGTCGAAAATGTGGATTTTTCCCTGTATACTTACTCCCATATTGTGAAGCAAGCGGGCCGCTCGTCAAGGTTCCTGGAGCTGTATCTGTTCTTGAACCGAATAAGGACAGTTCCACTTCTCGTCATCACTTTGGTCAAGTTAAAAGGGCCCTGAAACGTGCAAGAAGCCCTTCCTTCGATGAAGAGTAATGTATTGATTCTTGCTGTGCTTCCCACCATCTTCGAAAATTCTCAGATCGTTTTAAGAAAGATTAATTTTTATGACCTGTTTGTTTTGTGCGACAATACTTTTACTCACCCTATAACACTGATTTTTGTACAGACCCCAGTAATAATATATTTTATCGAATTTTTGTTCGAGTGATTGCCATTGTCTCTTACCGACCTTACTGATTTTTGCGGGTTCCGCTTATACCAATACGTGTCTCAGTCTTAGAAAGTTTTATCCGATGCTTCGTTTTATATTTCTGGTTTTAAATACATGTTCTTACGTATATCTATTTCGGGTTTTTATGAGAATGGGAAAGCTATAAATTGTTGAAACGTCGTTTTCTCTGTTTTCTCTGAAAAAGAATCGAAGAGATTTCATTAAGTTCGTTTGTTTCTGAGGCGATATTCTAAACTACAGGGTGACAAGGTTTTTTATCAGTAATTTCCGTAAAAATCAATTTAGTTTGATCAAGTTTGGCACTCAATTACAGTAGGGCAAATTGAACAACTCGTGAAAATTTTTCTAAATTCGAACAATATATGTAAGAATGGCGACCTTCAGTACCCAGTCGTATGCGCGGTGGTTTGGTATGAAAATCCAGCCGAATCTCTAAGAATAGATAACAATGGGAACTCAAACTTTTTGACAATGTAATAGAGACCATGTTCGTAGAAAGTTGTTGACAGCGATTTGACACAAAGTTAATTTGAATGAAGTCAGCCTAGTCCGCGTCCTCAAAAAATTGACGAATTGAGTTTAAGACCAGGTTTTTCTTATAAACTTTAAATGTTCTTTTTTAGAGTACTGAAAAAAACGGTTTTTTTAATAACCATCAGTATGCATTAGGAAACGGTAAACAAGAATATTACACAAAATTCAATTAATGCATGGTTATTGAAATTCGCAGGAATTGAAGAAGCAACTTTGTGACGACTTCATCATAAAATCGACAAGATTATTGAAGCGAATTCCGCACCAGCAAGAAGGTTTCAAAAAGATTCTTGGTTTTTTGAAAAGCCGGCTTGAGCTGATCTGAATGAGTGAGTGAGACAGGTCAGATTATTAAAGACATTTTGTATGGAAGATTTGAGAAAATTACCTAAAGCCTTTTTCTATCAGTAGAAGTGTCTGAAAGTGTGTAGTTTGCTCACATTCGAAAACTAATTGTCGACACAAACAACACGACGTCAGAGGTCACTCACAGCTCCAAAAAACTCGGTCGCCTGCGCGATGGCGGGCGAGAGAGTGAAGAGGACGAGAAGGTCCGTACGACAGAGTCATCGATTCGATTGGCCAACCGAACTGTTTCTCGAGCCCGCGAACCGATACGCGTGGACGGTGTATACACGGCGCGGTCAGGTGCACGGTCCCCTTCCTCATTTTTGCTCATCTTTTTTCCTTGTTCGATGGTTCAAAGCTGTCCCTTTTCATATCTGCTTCCTTCAAAAGTCTGATTAGTCTTTCGATCACTATCAGAACCATGCCGTGCTACAGCTTTCTACAAACATTTCAGCGGCTTACTTCTTTTTCGAAAATTTCATTTTTCAACCCCTGAAAGGTTCTTCTACGCTTTTCTCCAAAATATCTTGTTTTTTCCAATTTTTCTTTTGTAATCTCTTTTTTTCGAGGTGTCAAGCAACGATGACAAAAACGCGAAGGTCTGCGATCTTGATCCCAGCACTATTACACAAGACTGTCCCAGTGGAGCGGCCACCAAACAGAAAAAGTTTCATGAGGGCCCCTGCAAGACAAAAACTGGTAAATTTTTATGTCGTTGGAAAATAACTCATAGGAAAAGTTACAATGAAGTTTTGATAAATTTAACGTTCACAGAACGTTAAATTTATCAAAACCTCTTTTTGTGAAAATAATACTGCTTGAGAAAAAATAATACTAAGAAAAAGAAAAATTTTAAAAAATTAAGTTTTAGATTAGCTACTACATGAAGCGCAAGTTTGAACGAGAGGCCATCGAAAGACGGACCAAGATAGCTCGAGCCGCTTTGGAGGAGGAGAAGAAAAGAAAGCTCGGACGGTCAAAGCAAAGGGAACAGGACAGGCGGCTGCGCAAGGCTGCAGAGGCTGCAGAAAAGAAAAACGAGTGAGTTCATCACAACGAGTTGAACTAAAACTGCTTCGGACTTTTCATTGATCTGAAATTTGATTTGTTACAGGGGCACTGTCACTATGAGGACAACGTCTCACTGCTCGATCGTCCTTCAGCCAGTGGACACCAACGCGTCCATCACGCTCAAGAAGCCTCTTAGCACAGTCGAGATCATGCCGAAGCCAGAAAAACCCAAGAAGCCGGAGGATGGGCCCACCCGCAAGCTGCCTCATAGCACAATGAATATTCAGAAAGCCCACGTCACCGAACAGAAGTACTCGGACAGTTACGAGCAGTTTTGCAAAATTTGCAACATCCAGCCAATGTTTAAAAATGATTCTACGCTCGAGCAGCCAAGCGATCATGAGCTCAGAATCAAGCTCCCAAAAAATATATCCAGGTACAAGGAACCTCACCCTGCGGTCAAGAACCCTCCGATCACGAAGACCAAAGTCAAGGCGCCGGTGAAGGAGCATGAGCTCAAGTCTCCCTGCAAAACAGACAAGATCCAGTCAAAGTTCGGAGACAAATCCAAGCTCACGGAGAATGAGTCCGTGCTCGAGCGGCCTTTCAAAACGGGCAAAATTCAGTCAAGTCTTGACCCCCTACTGAAGCTCCCAAAGGATAAATTTACGCTAAAAGGACCTCACAAAATCCAAGTTCCTCCAATCACGCTCAAGGTGTCGGATAATGAGCCTACGCTCCAGTTCTCCTGCAAAACGGACAAGATCCAGCCAATCAATAATAACAGACCGCAGCTCTCGAAGAATCCATCCATGTACAAGGGGCCTCACCCCGAGATCCCTCCAACCACAGAGGACCTGGAGGATGAGCCTACGTACAAACCGCCTCAAAACACAGTGACGGACTGGGAAGCCGATTTCGCATGCTTTTACCACTGTTTGAAGACGAAGTTCATGGCTGCAAACATACAGAATATGCCGCAAAAGTCTCAGGTCGAGCAGATTTGCTTAAATGGAAGCAAACTAAAAGCTCCAAATGAGTCCGAACTCGAGCAGCTCATCAACAGTGTTAAGATGCTTGAAATACCAGAGAATGAAGACACCGTGCCCAAAAAGGGTTCTAAGGTAATTTTTTCTTCTCATTGATAACTTAATAGGAAGTAACTCTCCTTTGATGTACTATCTTTATACATTACTGAAAAAGTTGAATTGAAAACTAATATGGAAACTTTCAGGCTTCTGCAGTTGCAGCCATCCATCGAATCGACCAAGTCCAAGCTCAGGATCCATTAAAAGCAGCTCCACCCGCTCCAGTTCCAGTTCTTGCCCAGGCCGACATTGGACAAGATCGCAACTTATACTGCCCTGGAGGCACTATGTTACACGAGCCCAGTGAGCTATTTTTACCAATCAATAGTTATAAATATGTGAAAATACCAATGAATTTTTTTGAGTTCTAGTCGGAGTGTCTGAATGCTTCAACCTGTCGAAATTTTTAAAAAAATTCAAAGTGCCGATTAAAACCATGAACTTTTTTGTTATGCTACTTGTACGTTTTGTTTCTTTCGAAAACCGTGTGCATGTCGAACCTTTCAGAAAGTTTTGAGAAAACTATAAGAGCTGTCGAACCAACTTCAATGTAATTTCAGAAATTTTTTGCTTCTTTATATACAATCTAGAATGAGAAACTTTACCTAAAAATGACATCAAAGTTATCAATACCATACGAGGTTTTTTTTTCAGTTTCCAATAAGCTGCAGAAGGGCATGCACATCATGAAGTGCAATGGGAAGATGGCCACGTAGTGAGTTCACCTCTGTTATTTTCAAAGAACTATTTTTGTCTTTTCCAGTTGTCGGAACTGTGGATACTTTCCTCTTTACACGCATGCTGTTCGTGAAACAAGTAAGCCACTTGTGAAGTTGCCGGCGGCCAAACAAGACGATTCCGCTTCTTGTCAGAAAACTACAAGCGGCCCGAAACGTACGAAGGACACTTCCTCAGATGAAGAATGATTTAGTTATATTTTTGTGCTTACCCCTTTCTCCAATACTTTTCAAATTGATTAAAGACATATCGAATAGATTTAGTCTCACAACGACAGTAATAAGATTTTTTTTTCTTCTGATTCACGTTCAATTGATTTTTATCGTTTCTTGTCTGCCTTCCCGTTTTTTGCAAATACCGCGTATACCACTACTTGTCTTAGTCATATGAATGTTTTATCCGATGATCCGTTTTATAACTCTATTAAATAAATGTCTCGTATACATTTCAGGTTTGATGAGAATTGGAAAGTTAAACACAACATTCTCCGACAGTAACACAAGATGGCATGTACTGAAAAAGTTTTTAAAAATTTAATACACATCGATTTATATATCACTTGCCTAATAAAAACTCTTCATTACTTAGATACGCAGGTGCTCACATGCCTACCGTATCCCAGCTAGAGTAAAAGAAAACAACTCAAAAAGTTGCGACCGAATTTCTGATAATAGACTATCACCGTGGGTGTAGTTTCATCTAAATCAAAAAAAAAATTTTTTTTTTGATTGCTTTTGAAAAATTTTGAATATTACAGCTTCGCGCCAGCAACTTAGCAAGGTTTCAAAAAGATGTGTTTTGAAAAGCCGCATCAAGCTGATCTGAATCAATAGTCACCTTATTTATAGACATCTTTTTATAGAAGATTTGATAAATTTTTTTCAAAAGCATTTTTTTAATCAGAAAGTGTCTGAAAGTATGTAGTTTGCTCATATCCGCAATCTCGGTGTCGACACAAACAACACGACGTCAGGTCACCCACACAAAAAAACAACTCGGTTGCCTGCGCGATGGCGGGCGAGAGAGTGAAGAGAGCGCGGAGGTCCAGACGACAGAGTCATCGATTCGATTGGCCAACCGAACTGTTTTTCGAGGGCGCGAACCGAGTACGCGTTGACGGTGTATACACGGCGCGGTCAGATGCGCGGTCCCTAGCCCTATAAAAGGACCTTCCTGGCCGTTCATCCTCAGTTCTCGCTCTTCTCTCTTCCTTGTTCAATGGTCCGATGGCCGTCAATTCTTCCCATTCGCTTCCCTCAACCTTCTGATTTGTTTTACGATTAATGCCAAAGCCTTACATGGTTTCATATTCCAAAAACCTTTGCAACTTTTTTTCACAATTCAGAAAGAACTCGATTACAATTCTTTGTTCGCAACATTTTTTCGTCGTAATCAAAGGCTGTTACTTCTTCATATCTGCTTCCTTCAAAGTTCTGTTGTGTTTTTCGTTCAAAATCAAAGCAGCTACATGCTTTTGACATTGAAACACTTTCAATGGTTTACTTCTTTTCCAAAAAATTCATTTTTCAACCCCTCAAAGGTTCAAGCGTTTTGCCCACTTGCCTTTTCAAATTAAAATAGAAAACTATTTGTTCCTTACTGGGAAACGTTCTTACTTAAACTTTCGATGATACTTCGCTGAAATGTACGTCACGAAAAAAAAAATTACTCGCGATCGGTGTTTTTTTTGATTTAAGACGCTACAAAAGCTTGAATTAGCGCTTTTTGATATATTTTGTGCGTGTTGCAAAAAAAAAGGGTAAAAACGGTTCCTAGTTAACTTCAATCAGATTCTAGAGTTGACTTTTTTTAATGTCTCGTTTTCCTCAGTTTTTCTCTTTTAATTTCTTTTAATTTCTTTTATTTTCCAGGTGTCAAGCAACGATGACGAAAACGCAAAAATCTGCGATCTTGATCCCAGCATTACCACACAGGACTGTCGCAGTGGAGCGGCCACCAAGCAAAAAAAGTTTCATGAGGGCCCCTGCAAGACAAAAAAAGGTACTTTTTGATGTCATTGGAAGTTAATTCACACAAAAATTTACAATGAAGCTTTGTGAAATCTACCAAAAACATGTTTTTCGTGAAAATAATACTGTTTGAGAAAAAATAAAACCAAGAAATAAATCATATGACTGGAAAAAATAATTGTATATTGAGAACTTGATACTTTGTAAGAAAAAAAATATTAAAAAAATTATTTTTAGATTAGTGCACACCTGATGCGGAAATTTGAACGAGAAGCTGACGAAAGACGTATCAAAGCACTTCGAGCCGCTTTGGAGCAGGAGAAAAAGACGAGAAGAATCGAAGTATCGAGGAAAATGGAAAAGGAGAAGCTGCTCAAGGCTGCAGAAGTTGCAGAAAAGAAACACGAGTGAGTTTATCTCAATTACTTGAACAGACACTGCTTTGAATTTTTCCTCGATTCGAATTTTGATCTTTTACAGGCCCATTTTCAAGAAAAGACCAACTTCTCACTGCTCCATCGTCCTCCAACAAACGGACACAAACGCGGTCATCACGCTCAAAAAGCCTCTTAGCAACGTCAACGTGCAGCCGATCACTACGAATGAACGTAAGGACGTGGAGGATGGGCCTACGCGCAAGCTGCCTCACAGTGCGGAGAAGACCCAAGGAACTTTCGTCACCAAACAGAAGTTCTCGGACAGTAACGAGCAGTCATGCAAATCGCGCAACATCCAACCAATCTTCGGAGACAAATCCAAACACACGGAGAAGAAGTCGGCGCTTGATCGGCCTTGCAAAGCGGACAAGGTCCAGCCGATCAGTGACAACAAACCGAAGCTCCCGAATGATATTACCAAGGACAAGCGGCCTCTCCCTGCGGGCAAGGATCTTCCAACCACGGAGAAAAAAATCAAAATGCCCGAGAATAGACCTGAGCTCAAGTTTCTCTACAAAACGGAGAAAAAGCAGTCAACCGTTACAGACGAATCCAAGCTCCGGGAGAATGAATCCACTCTCGATCGGCCTTACAAGACGAACCAAGTCCAGTCGACCACAATCGATAAACCGCAGGTAATTTTTTCATTCTAATAAAATCTGGATCATAAAAGCAGTAATTCTTCATTTATGTTGAAGAACTCGCTTTGATTGCAAAATAATGGAATCAAAAAATAAATTGGAAACATTTTCAGGCTTCTACAATTCCAGCCATCAATCAAATCGACCAAGTCCAAGCTCAGAATCCAGCACAAGCAGCTCCACCCGCTCCAGTTCGAGCTCTTGCGCAGGCTGAAGTTGTACTCGATCGCTACGTATACTGCCCAGGAAAAGCTCATTCCCACAAGCCGAGTAAGATATTCTTTCCATCAATGAACATAGATTTGTGAAAAAGATTTATACACAATTTTTGGAGTTTCTGAAAGTCTAGGTGTTTTGAGGCGTTTTTCGAACGCGAAGGGAACTTTTTTTCCTATCTTAGATAAAATCTGAAATGAGTAGTATGGCCTTAAAATTACATCAAAGTGTTCAATACCATAGTAGTTTTTTCAGTTTACGGAAAGCTGAAGAAAAGCATCCCCCGAAAGAGGTGGAATGGAAAGCTGGTCACCAAGTGAGTTCTACTCCGTTATTTTCAAAGGATCAAGCGACTTTTTTCAGTTGTCGAAGTTGTGGTTTCTTTCCTGTGTACTTGCTTCCCTATTGTGAAGCAAGCGGGCCGCTTATCAAGGGTCCTGGAGAAGTACCGTCTGTAGCAAAGCAGGAAAAGATCCCACCTTTCATCATCAACATCGGCGAACTCAGAAAGGCTCAAAAGCTTCGAAAAAAGATTCCTTTGGTTAAAATTGATCTCATGGCTCTTTCTAAACTTCCGACCTCTCCAAACGCTGCTCGGAGCGTTTTGAGAAAGATTGGAAAACACTAATTTCTCGTATAGTTTTTAGATTAGATTAATAATAATAGAAGTTAATTGCATGTTTTAACTATTTTTTTGAGTGCCTAATATCTCTACTTGGACCCTACTAAATTTTTGTAAATTTTGCCTATATCCATACGTGTTCCAATTATATGATCGTTTTATCAGACTCGTTTTATAATTCTTTTTGTAAATAAAAGTTCTAATATTTACTCCGGGTTTTATCAAAACGCAAACGTTATTAATTGGATTGTCCATTGTTCGCTCAAAGACAGAATAATCTGACGTAAAGGTAGACAGCCAGGAAATTTGTACACCACTTTGTCAAACTTCTACTAGAAATTTGAAAATTTTCCATCAACGTCCGAAGCTAGTGCAACATAAGTTCGATACTCACGAGAAGGTCCGTCAAGGGAAACAAAGTTTTGACTCAATGCTGTTTTAAACTAGCTATGTGATCGATTCGTAGTATTTGGAGCATTGTTCTTCTGGACGAGATATTACCACTCAACGGTGAATGAGTCCTCGGTCCGTTCGATTCTCGCGAGCACATCTGTCGAAGGTTCAAGAACCACAACTTCAATGTTGCCAACCAGCCATGCCATGACAGCTGGGAATGAAACTCATGCGATCTGATAGATCCCGTACACACTGATTCAAAGTTTAGACCAGAAGGGTGAGAAGCCATAAGCTATGTGATCGTTGTATTGGAATATTATCATCGCCAAATCGGAAAATGCATTTTTCATTCATAAAAAGCATTCTAAAGTATCTAGTTTGCTCATATAGCTGATTCACGGCCAGCTTGGGACGCTAGGGGCATTTCCTGTCTGCGCTCTTCACGAGCCAGGCGTATTCTCGTGCACTATCGTGTCAGGATCATTTTTTCGATGGCTCAAGCCAGCCGTGAATCTGCTATATCCGCAATATTGATGTCGACACAAACAACACGACGTCAGAGGTCACTCACAGCTCCAAAAAACTCGGTCGCCTGCGCGATGGCGGGCGAGGGAGCAAAGAGAGCGCGGAGGTCCAGACGACAGAGTCATCGATTCGATTGGCCAACCGAACTGTTTCTCGAGCCCGCGAACCGATACGCGTGGACGGTGTATACACGGCGCGGTCAGATGCGCGGTCCCTAGCCCTATAGGACCTTCCTGGTCTAAACTTTTGTGTTGCAGTTAAAGTTTCTAAAAAAATTTCTAGAGCTTCAAAGGACCTCTGAGAATACTGATTAATGGAGCTTCAAACTTTTTTACAATGTAATAGAAGCCATATTCATTAAAAATTGGGGACAGCAAAAATTTACATAAAATTGGATAAAAGTCAGCTTAGTCCACGTCCTTAAAAAGTTGACAAAATGAGTTTATGACCAGATTTTTGTTATAAACTATTTTATCTTTTTTTCAAATAATGAAATACGGTTATTCGAGAAAAATGTAGCTAACACAGCTTCAAAAACCTTTTAAAAAAATTTCAGTTAGAATCCCGTTTTTTATTGGAGATTGGCGAAACAAAAACCTTTATCCACTTGGCCACGGCGCTTTTAGGCTGTTAAATTACGCAGTTTGTTTTTTTCGAAACACTCTTTAATGTTAGACGTTAGAAAACATTGTTAAAAAAAGAAAATTTCCTATTTCAGACAAATCGGTAGGGGAAAACCGGAAAAAAATCCACAGTAGAAGAGAAAATCATTCAACTGCGTACCTCACAGTACGGTTTATTCAGAGAGAGTCTTTTGTCGCCCTGCCAGCTTATTAAATTGATGAGCCAAAACTAGACTTTTTATATATGTTACATAAAAAAGCTTATTTTCTCGATCAACAAAAATTTATCAGATTTGACGCTTATTTTACAAAAAAAAAAAGAACTATTTTTTAGATGACCATCTAAAAATTTGGGCCCATTTTCTTTCAAAGTTCTGTGAGAAACGTTGACTACTAGCAGAGCATGTATGGATATAAAAAGTCAAAATTTTGCACATATATAAATGAAGATGTGTCGGACATCCTGAGAAAATTTCATACTGCAAAACTAATTTACCTCGATACGAGCTTTGTTCAAAGTTTGTCACTCATATTTATTGGTCCCCATGTATAAAAAGCTTCCAAATCAGCTTCAAGGTATTTTCAGAGCGCAAAGTGAACTTTTTTTCTTTTCATAAGTATAATCTGGAATATGTAGCGCAACGCGAAAATGGCATCGAAGGGATCAATACCATACGAGGTTTGGCCGGAAAACTGAAGAAGATCATCTCCAGAATGACAGGGAACAGAAAGCTGGCCACGAAGTGAGTTCAACTCGGTTATTTTCAAATGATCAAGTCCGACTTTTTCAGTTGTCGGGGTTGTGGTTTCTATCCTGTCAACTTGCCCTCCTATTGTGAAGCAAGCGGGCCGCTCATCAAGGGTCCTGGAGCCGTACCGTCTGTAGCAAAGCAGGAAAAGATCCCACCTTTCATCATCAACATCGGCGAACCCAGAAAGGCTCAGAAGCTTCGAAAAAAGATTCCTTCGGTTAAAATTGATCTCATAGCTCTTTCTAAACTTCCGACCTCTCCAAACGCTGCTCGAAGCGTTTTGAAAAAGATTGAAATTCATTTTTCGTATAGTTTTTAGATTAGATTAATAATGATAGATGTTAATTTCATTTTTCAACTATTTTTGAGTGACTAATACCCTCCTTGGAACCTACTAAATTGTTGTAAATTTTGCCTATATCCATACGTGTTCCAATTATATGATCGTTTTATCAGACTCGTTACATAATTCTTGTTGTAAATAAAAGTCCTAATATTTACTCCGGGTTTTTATCAAAGTGAAAAAAATTCATGAGTTGGTGAAACGTCGTGCCTGAGAGAGATGTGTTGGAGCCAGTTTTTTTGTGGGTCTTCATTGCGTTACTGAAAGTTTAAGGGACTTTATATGGTGTAACTTTTATTTTAATTTTATGTAAACATTGAAAAACTTGGGTTCTCCTAACTTCCATTTCGAGTTTTAGCCGCTGACGGTTGAACTTAACTCGTGACAAGTGCCGCAAACGCGCACGCTACGCGTCCTGCGCTTTTTTAGTCAGGAAAAAGTGACTATACGAAACAGTTCTTTAAAGAAATTCTATTCTAATATTTGCCAAGTGCTAATTAAAAACGAGCCACATTCCAGCCGTGTGCCATCGAAAGATCAGCCTTTGATAAAATGATGGTAAATTTTTCCACTATTCAGCGAAGTGCTCAAAAAAGTCACGCTTTCAAAAATTGTATCGAACTGTTTCAAAGAAGAGAATGAGAAATGTAAGCTTTTTTGAGACCAGTTTGTGAAAAAATTGAAATTTTTTCAATTTTTTATTTATCAGAGCGTGTGTAGTTTGCTCATATTCGCAACATTGGTGTCGACACAAACAACACGACGTCAGAGGTCACTCACATCTCCAGAAAACTCGGTCGCCTGCACATCGGTAGGCGAGAGAGTGAAGCGAACGCGGTGGTCCAGACAACAGAGTCATCGATTCGATTGGCCAACCGAACTGTTTCTCGAGCCCGCGAACCGATACGCGTTGACGGTGTATACACGGCGCGGTCAGATGCGCGGTCCCTAGGCCTATAAAAGGACCTTCCTGGCTGTTCTTCCATCATTCTCCTTCGTTTTTCTCCCTTCTTCGATGGTTTAAAGGCTGTTACTTCTTTATAGTCGCTTTCCTCAATATTTTGATTCGTTATTCGGTCCCAATCAGCCTCTACACGATTTGCGGTCAGATGCGCGGTCCCTAGCCCTATAATAGGACCTTCCTGGGCGTTCTTCCTCATTTCTCGCTCTTCTTTCCTCCTTGTTCAATGGTCCGATGGCCGTTACTTTTTCATATTCGCTTCGCTCAAGTCTCTGCTCTGTTTTTCGATCAATACCGAAGCGCTTACATGATTTCGTATTCTAGAAAACCTTTGTTTCCTCTTGCAAAATTCAAAAAGCACTCGATTATTAATTGTTTGCTCGCAACTTTTTTCCTCGTGATAGTTTTCGGCTCCAAACGCGATGTTTTCTTCCTAATGTTCGTTTTTGCTGGTTATTTACTTCTAAACGTTCAATATTTCAGATTTTCTCGTCCTGATGTCTAATCCCATTCTGTCCAGTGTACCGAGACCCAGGCCAACCAATTTGATAGACGATGTGCCCGTGCCGTTTTTCTTACGAAAGCGAGCCGCTAAAGCTGCGTTATTAAAATCCACAAGCGAGCCGAGTTTGAAGGTATTTTTTGATTCCAATTGAAGAAAATCATTGCTCGTTTTCTAATCCCTACTTTTATGGTTTTAAAAGCGCTTTTTCTCATTATCATCACCTAAACTATTCTTATTCAGCGTCCCCGAGGTACCGCATCCATGAAGCTGACCGAGGCCCCGACATCTAGCCGTGCGAATACGCCTGGAGGCCGCAAACAAGCCGCTGCTCTGAAACCACAATTCAAGGTACTTTTTTTTTAAAAAGATACGAAAATATTATAGAGTATCCGTGAAATCAGTAAAATCCAATTTAAAAGTTTTTTTTCTGGATAACCTGAAATTTTCTTTTTCCAAAGTTTTCAAAGTTGGTCATTGATTTTATCAACAAAACAGTGAAAAAAACCTGCGTTGACAATAACTACTCCGGGAAATGATTTCAGAAAAAAAAGAACTTGAAAGACAGATTAAAGGAGTAAAAAAGAGTCCACCTTTTTGATTATTACAGATCACTCCGGCTATGGATCGAAAACTCGGAATTGAAGCTATCAAAAGGCGAGCTGCGGAAACGCAACGCATCATAGAAGAGAGGAGGGCCCTTCGCGAACTGTCGGAAAGTCGTGCTAAGAAGACGGAAGAGTGAGTAAAACTTGACTCGAAATCAGAAATATTTCTGTTTTTATTCAGGAAAAAAGAGGTCAATGTGCCGCTATCGGAAGTCGAAAACATGGCTAACAGCAACTCTGCTTCTGGCATTGCAGCAAGGACTTCTTTCCGAAAAAAAGATGCCGTTTCTTCGCTGACCCGCGCTCGTGACGTCGAGAAGTCTTCTTCTCAGAGAGGCAAGGACGGTGCTCAGCGACATCGCGAAGGTTCTTCTCGTGACGTCGCCTCCAAGAGGTCTTCCTCTCGTAAAGACGACGACTCTGCTTCGCGACATCGCGCAGGATCTTCCCGTGACTTCAACTCCAAGAAGTCTTTTTCCCGTGAAGACGAGAAAGCTGCTTCGAAAACTCGTGCCGCTTCTTTTAATGAAACCAATTCCAAGAAGACTTCTTCCCGTAGAGACGACGACTCTGCTTCGCGACATCGCGCCGCTTCTGCTCTTGACGTCGTCGCCAAGAAGTCTTCATCTCGGGACGACAAGGCTTCGAAGTCAACGTCTAAGGGAAAGGCATCTGACTCGAAGAACGAAAAAGCACCAAAATCCACGGCAACGTCTTCGAAGAAGTCTTCTCGTTCTGAATAACTTGCCGTCTATCATATACACGGTAAGGTTTTACCCGTACTTGCTCCATAATAAAACTCTTCTTTCCAGAATCTTCGAGGAAGACGTCTTCTCAACCATCCGCCATCCCATCCGACTTCCCTTTCTCATTCAATATATTTCCGATTGCTTGTATCAAATGACTTTCCAAGGACCCATGTTTCCTACATTTTCTTCAATTGCATCCTTATTTTGGTCTCTTCTTCTTTTAATTAGTTTTTTTTAAATTAGATATATTCCGTACCTTTAACCTTGTGCCTTGTTTCTCCTACCCAGTGGCTTATTTTTGTAAGTACGGTTTCCTGTTTCCTTTAACTAAAGTTCTCTTCTTCTTCTAACTCCAATATCTTTTTCATCCCAAATACGGTTTCCCTTCTCTTCTAATTACGGTTACCGTTTACTCCTACTTACGGTTACTCTCGAAATTTCTTTCTTTATCATATTTCTAGTTATTCTCGTTAAAATCTCAGTGTTAAAATATTTTTATTTTCTATTTACTATAGTATTGCCCCATTATATTTTCATCCCCTACTAATTTCTTTATTGCCCGAAACTGTTCTAATCTACCGACCTTATCCGAAATAATTGTAATAATAAAATGTCTCAACTGCATCAATCAATTATCCAATGTTACTTATGCCGCTACTCAGCAGTTTTACCGATTTTTCTTATATTGCATGCATTAACACGATTTTTATCCTGTTCACGTTTTATCCGACCAGTATAATATTCTACTTGTAAATAAATGATCTAGTATCCAATTTCGTTTTCATTCAAACAAGTAAGACAATTGAAAAATCAAAAAGATAAATCAGAATTTGAGAGTGGTTTCTGTCAGATAAGGACGTAATGAAACAGAAGGCTTGAAAGGAATCTGCTTTTCTCAGAAGCGCAATGAGGCGGCAATATGGAACTTTCAGATTGTTATGCTGGAATAAAAAGAATACACTCCGTTCAATAAGGATAAGACCTCCTCGATTGTGAAAGTTCTGGCAAAATACGGAAAGATATCAAAATCTGTAAATGCTATTCGATTCAGAGTACAAAATAACCCACAGAGTCAAAGTTTCATTATCTTAGCCTTTTCCCCCCACAATAATGTCATCGGAAAAATGGTTTTTGGACAGCTCAGTAAGGATAGGACCACCTGGAAATTTTGACTAGTATAATGAAAGTTTGGCTCAGAAGGTTATTTTGTACTCTGAATCGAATAGCATTTACAGACGTTGGATATCTTTCCGTATTTCCGCAAAATTTAAAGTTCTAGGCGACATTCACAGAGACACTCTCAGAACTGATGTCTGCTGTCAACTGATGTCAACTGATTTTCTGATGACCTTTGCCTGTAGAGCCACGTGTAACGTCAACAGCACTCAAACATGGGCGGTCGTTTTAATTACAATACATAGAGAACACGTAGCGCTGCTCGTTTCTAGGTTTCTCCATGATTCCCATGCTCTTTAGTCATTTTTTTTCTTGGACAGCGCGTCCAGACACGCACTCTCCACGTTCTTCATGCTCTTTAACAACGCGCCCGCGCATTTTTGAATATTGTTTACGCTACACGTGGCCCTACAGGCAAAGGTCATCAGAAAAACATCCTGACATCAGTTCTGAGCGTTTCACTCTGGAAGTCGCCTAGATCTTCAGAGCCATCTCATATTCTACTGACTCTGGGAGAGAGATTCGAAAAAACCTAGAACAGCTGCTTTTTTGGCAGACGCCGTCAAAATCTCTTCGTACTGTATTCATGTCTTCAATTCACTTATATTTCCCTCAAGTTTAAAATAAATATTTTTTTCGTAATGGCTGATGGAAAAGGTTGGATCTTTTTTTTTCTTCTCGACTTCAATCTGTTATTCGATACAGGTTTAAATAAACGATGGCTCAGTTGACCGTACTTGGCGCTAAATTGCCGAACCGGAACTTCTTTTCATCGCATACAAAAATGATCTGAGGAGAACTGAAAAGTGGTCGAGGAACATGACGAAACAGTCGATCATCAGCTCGATTGAAGGTATAACGGTTTTTTGTATTAGTTTAATCAAATTCGATGAGAATGTTTTGAACGAAAAGATTTTGGTATAGTTTAGGTAGAAGTTTCTTTCATTTCAACTTTTCAAATTTGGAAATAGTCAGGGTGAAAATTTAAATTTCAAAAAGTGTCGAAGGGAAAGGCTGGAGAATCGTCTCCCTGGCTGCGGTCCGGGAATATTTCGACCTCTAATCTACCAGAAACCACCTCAAATTCGGAATTTTTCCAATAGTTTCCGGTAAACTTTCGTAGTTTCGCTCAAAAAAGTTGCTCCAGACCTCCAGCTGCTTCAGCCAATGGCCTATCTTCCAGTTGGTCAACTTGGAAAAATCACAAATGTCACTCTCATAATAGATTGTTTTCTGGTTCTCTCCAAAAAACAAATGAGAAGGGATAAACTCAGATAGACTGCTTTGGCAGCCTTTAGAGCTCATGACTAGAGATTGATCAGGAACTTCGATCAATTGAGTCGCTGCAGTTTCTCAGTTTGATCAGGTCATTCTCCATATTTTAGCCATTTAGAATCTGATCCAATCTAGGTTTTCAACCTGAAAAGATATTCCATTTGAATCCATATACAGCTAATCTCTCTCCGAATAATTTCTTTCGAGTAGTTTCTCAGATAAAAAAACCAGGACGCACCGTAACAAATGAATAAAAAAACAAATCGCAACGCCGAATTTGCAATCTCCGATCCAGACAGATTGTTTCTACAGATTTTATAAGTTGAAATAACTCAAAAAAAACCTAGGTGCTCGAAAAATATGACAAGAGCAATTTATCTCACTGTCGGAAGAGAGGTTTCGTCTCAAAATGATAAAAATTAAAAAAATTGATTTTCTGTAATGAGATTAGAGCCACGAGTTCTATCAGAAATCATGAACAAAAAGTTTCTGAGAAGCCAGGACTGGCGATCAATCAATAAATGGCATACAGAGGCTAACTTTCTACTCTTTCAATACCATTTGTGTGCACTCTGAAACTATCCCTATGCCCTCTGGATCTGAGGGTACTGACAAACCTTGAGAAACAAGCTGCCGAAGGGCATTCCGATAGCTATCTCACCGCCTATCCTACTTATTGACTGACGAAATACAAAACCCGATTGACCCTTGAGGATTAAAAGCCGAAAAAGTTCATTCAAACCCATTTAGTGCTAGTTTAACCTCAAAGAAAGGAAATTATCACAATTCCAAAACCACTGAGTAGACTAAAATAATTATATTTTTGCAGCCCTAAGGCCGTTCCTAACAAAATTGTGAAAAAAATCCCTCACGTCATTTTCTTGAACATTTTTATATATTTTTTTCACGTTTCCATCAGACTTTCAAAAAAAAAAAAACAACAATTCTATCCCTTCAAAAAGTTACAGTAACTTGGAAATACTGTATTTTGTTTTGAAAATCACTGATCTTTGTTTTGGTGAGTCCGTATCTCCGACTTCATTTTCGCTTTCCTGTTAATTTACAATGGGTTGTAAACTTCTTTTGGGTCTTTGGTGCCATTTTTCCCATAGGCATGGAGGGTGACCCAGCTCATGGCACCACAACCGATTGTAAATTAACCGGAAAGCGAAAAGGTCGGAGATACGGACTCACCAAACAATGAACTATGGACTCACAAAAACGGTCTCAGTTCCTTTCGATTATTTTTCTGTAGAATTTTTTAGAAAGCTTTATCCCAAAAATATGAAATTTAATCAACTTCATTCTTTAAAACTGTTTTTCCTGGTTTCAGAGATACAGTATTAGACAGATCAGACAAATTTGAATCTAAAGAGACTTTTTCCGACTTCTTCGCTCCAATTTTGAAGAAAGGGCATACTATATGCGCCTTTAAATAGTGTTGTTAGTTAAATAGTCCTTATGTCCCTCTTTTTCTTTATATTTTTTTTTTTCGTTGTTTCTTGTAATACTTTTTTCTTTTTTAGATACACCCTGATCACGAATTTTTTTTAATTTTTCACAAGTTTTACGTCAAATTTCTTGAGGGACTGTATACTCAAGCCTCAGAAGTTGTTCATGAGATTCGATGGGATTTTTCTGTTTACAAAGCTCGACTTTTTGTAGCCATTAATCCCACAATTGACTTCAAGTTCGAATTGACTCAATTTAAGACGCAATAGAAATTAAGAAAAGTTGCGAGCATAAAATTTGAAGATCTATTGAAAAGATGTCATTATATATTCCAAACTTTTCTTTGCAATATAATCTGTTCTGTCGAGTCTTCACAAAATTTATGATAGAAAAAAAGGTATCAGCCGTGTAGAGCAATTTTATGTTGGTCAGCTACTGATCTGGTTTTGAATACGTTTTTTTAAAAGTTTAAATAATTTTTTGTTCAAAACTTACAATATTTTGGGTTTTTGCGAGTCCATAGTTCATAGTTCGTTGTTTGGTGAGTCGGTATCACCGACTTCATTTTCGCTTTCCGTTAATTTACAATCGGTTGTAAAGCACTGTGGTGCCATGAGCTGGGTCATTCTGCGTGCCTGTAGGAATAATGACACCAAAGATCCAAAATAAAACCAAAAAAACAAGTCTAAAATATTTAGAATATTAGGTCTGTCTCAGCTCATTTTGGTTAACTTATCTAAAGGTTTTTGCGTTTGGAAAATGTATTTCGCTTTTTTTATTTCAAAAACGAGACATTTTATTTTTTTAATTCCTAAAATACATTCTTAGGATTTTAGAGATGCACTATCCAAAAGATTAGACCAATCTGAATCTAATGAGACTTTTTCGGACCTCCCAGCTTAATTTTTGAGGGCAAGGGCATACTGTATGCGCCTTTAATTGCGTCAAAATTGGTACCCGTAAAAACTCTCGCAGTTTCGCGGGCAACGGTTTTCAAAACTCTTTTTTCGTTTATTTTTCGATATTTTATTTTTTATTTCTGTCGTTGCTTTTTCTATTGATAATATTCCTTTTGTATGCGTCCTACTGTAAGTTTTTTGTGTTTTCCAGTATAATTTATTTTGTATATCATAATTTTTGGGCTCCATTTGAGTGAAAAAAATTATTTTTCCCAAAATTTTTTTGAATTCTTTCTGATCATATTTTTTTCTGAAATTTGGAGTCATTATTAGCAAGATGAAGTTAAAAAAATACCTTTTTTTAGACGAAGAATATCGTAGAAATCCCGAATAGTTTTTTTCGATAGAGACGGAAAAAAATTGAATATAAAATAACCAAAAAGGCCTACATTCCGTGTTTGGCATATATTAAGATTATTTTAAACTTAGTCAATGACATGATATTCGTATATCTATTTAATTTCTAAAACTTTTTCGACTAAGAACATTTTTCCTTCGATTTTTTAATGTCAAATTCCTCTCTACCTATTCAAAAAAACTTCTTTTACAGCTAGTGTTCCAATTCAACAAATCAGAATGTCTTGAATAATTCATCTCAGTCTACAGTCTCTATCTCTGATTTTTTTTTTCTAACGATTTTTTTTTGTTTTTTTGACAATCGGAATTTTTTTCACAAAGAAGGCCTAGAGAAACCCGACCAATTGAGACAACACTAAAATTTCTCTGAAAAGACTAGGATATTTTTTCTAGACTTCCTTTTTGAAACTCCGGTTAACTTTCAAAATTCGAACTCAAATTTTTTTTTCTTGACTTTTTTCGGGGGATTTTCTGTAGAAAAGATTTCTGATCTTGTTCAAAATTTTTCTGCAAATTGCGAAAAACATTTTTTTACATAACTTTTTGGTTCAGTCACCTCATTTTTCCTCCAAAAGGGTCAGTGGGCGTGTCTGACCAGCAAGAACGACTTGAGCCAATAAAGTGGGCGGTTCTCTGGTATCTTCATTTTGGTGTCGTTCTTCTGTCGTGAGCGGTCGGTCGAAGTTGGGCTCTCCAGCCTCTGCTGGGCTGGAAGGCCCGATTTCCGCCACGCTTCATCGTTTTTTGTCATTTTCTGCCACTTGGTCTCTATCTCTTTTATTTTTTGCTCAGTTCCAAAAAAAAATACAAACAAAGCTTCTATTTTTTTCACTTTTCCAAAATTCAGGCCTTTTTTTTTGGTCGGTGTGCTTACCAGTTTTTACTGTTTTCATCGTACTTTTTTGAACATTATTTCAACGGATTTCTGATTAGACTACGAAAATTTATCATAACTTTGAACTCGCTTTTCTTAATTTCTTAGTGTTTGCTGTTTGCTTTATTCTCAAATTTACTTCGCTCAAAAATTTAAATTTTTTCAGCCACTTGGAGCCTTAAAACGAAGGATGAAAAGAAATAGTGAGTTTTTTTTCTTGTTGAGCTAAATTGCTGTCAATAATTTCTTTCTGATTGAATTTTGAACAATTTCAGCCGGAAATGCAGGAGCTGAAGCTACGCGTGGCGGCCGAGCCGGCGACGAGGGACGTGGCGTCGTCCGCCAAAATGTCGCTGACCGAGCTCTATCTCCTTCAGTACTCAGTTTTGGTAATAACTTAAAACAACTTTTTTCAAAAAAGCTTCGAAGTAAATTATTCTAACGAAAATTCTCTGAAAGGCAAAAAAAAATCTGATTAGAATTATAGTTTTTTCCTTGAAAATAGTTCTTTCACGTTCAAGTTCTCAGAATTTAGGGACAGCTCCAAATATTACTGTAACTTTTTTTGCTAACCAACCCAAATGAAATTTTTTTAAATAAATTTTTTGGAATTTACAGCTCGTGCCACTTTTTTTAGAATCCGTAGACTTTTAATGTTTTATCAATATCTGATAAAATTTAGACAGTGATGTCAACAAATCTTTGATCGACAGTCCTGCAGTGTCTCCGGCAACGCTCGCCGACTTGACCGGTGAGTTTCTTCGAAACTTTGACTTTTTTGATAAAAAATGTTTTCAGAGAAGGTTGCTAAAATGAACGCTGACAAATCTCGTGCGGCTTCACCTGCCGTGGCCTCCCAGGACCACGGCAGGCTCGGCCAAGTCACAGCGGACACGTTGTACATGTCAATTCGTGAGTTTTTCTTAATTTTCGTCAATTCTTCAAAAGCACAGTGAAAATGCTAAAATAGCGTTTTCGAACTTTCGGAGCTTCAAAAACTTCTATAAGATTTCTGAGATTTTATTCCAATTCATAAAGGTTTTGGGAGTGACGCGAACTCGGCGGGAATCGAGACGAAGATATTTTGAAATGGAGAAAATGAATGAGATGATTTCCTCAATAATAAGTTATTCCAATTGTTTTATTTTTTCACTCAGTTTGAATTTTCCCAAAAAAAAAATTATTTATTTCCAATCAAAACATGACCTCTTCCAACTTGAATTTTATCGGAACTTTTGAAATTCAGAAGAAAATAATAGCGAATACTACACCGCCGATGGCATGGAACTCGAGAGTGATGGCGGATCACCTGCCGACGCCCCTCAAGGCGCCGGCAGGCGCAGTAATTTCTCTATTCTGGTGGAATCTCTTGCAACCGGTGAGTGGCTTGAATATCTCAACATTCCAAATTGAAAACTCTCAGTATGAAGTAAATTTTCCTGAAAACCTTACCTTAGGTAGAGTTTATGTTTATTCGAAACAAATGCGTTTCTCAGAAACTGGTGTAAGTTCTAAATATCATTCAGAGAAAGCTTTAGCTAATAACTTTTACCGAAAATTTTCTGTTGAAAGTTCGGAGATTTTGAAGGTATTACAAGAACAAAAATTTCAGACTCACTGGGGCCCGGGTCGCCATTGATGGCGTCGACGCCCATCGACCAGTCCGATGTTCCGCCTGTGATTCCATCAGTTATAAATTTTGACATGACATTGGTAAATTAATCAAAATCAGCTTTCGATTTGCACCAAAAATCTGCGAACAACCCTTGGAAAAATCTATTAGCGTCAGTAGGAAAAAAAAATTGAGAGACCTTGAAAGTTTCAATTTGGCAGGTAAAGATCCAAAATTTTGAATATCCTAAATAAGCAAGTGTTTTGGTTTCCAACCCAAAAAGTTTTGTTAAAGTGGTCAATTTCTTCAATCTTTTTTTTTTTTTTGATCCATTTCTTTTCAGCCGGAGACTGAGCATGGAAGCGCCGCCGGAGCTACTGAAAACGATGAATAGGTATAAATCCACGGGTCTATTTTGCATATAACTTGTTAATTTTCAGATAATCAAAATCTGCCGTCGATTCTTTTTTCCATCTTTTCGTCTTTTGCCAACACCAACATAAATTCAATTTTTTTTTGTGTTCTGCGCTTTTTATTGTGTACTCACTTCGAAAATTGTCTCGTCTATGTTGGTCGAAAAATATTCCATAGAATTTTGTGTTGAGTTACTGCAATTGAAAAGAAATCGTTCAACAAACAAAACAGGAAGGAATAACGAAATGTAATCGTTGGAAAAGTTCTCGCTTCTGGTCTTCTGAATTCGCCTTTGAACTTTGCCTGAACTTCCTGAACGCCTTCTAATCCGTCGTTGTCTCCCATCAATCAGGAGATTCTCATCGAGATCGGACAGGAAGCGTGAAAAATTGGAAAAAATGGAAACGAAGAAAAAATGAAAATTTTCTGTGACTTAGAAGGAAGAAGTTTTTCACTTCAGGAAACCGATTGAGGCCATCTGAACAAATAAAAAGAAAAAAAAATTCTTCCGAATTGAGACTAACGGTGGTTTTCAGGCCTAAAACGGTTCGTCGATTTCCGCAACATTCTAGGGACCGCTCAAGTTGCCTAGAGATCGATTTGGCTCTGAGTTTTCCGAAGGATTTCAATTGAATTGGACAATTTCTTTCGCTTGAATCTTTTTCATCATTACAATCGAAGTTCTAATGTCTCAAGCAAATGACCTGAATTTTCACTCTATTAGAAATTGCCGATGGATTGCGAGAATTCCTATTGCGAAACGAGGACCTTCACTAAAATAAATTTTGGAACGTGTTTCTATTGCTGAAGTAACATTTGAAGCGTCAAAGTTTCTATCAAGGCCTAGCAATTGCAATCAAAGGGATTACAGAACTAAAAAAAAACACGATCGATATTTTTATTCTGAAAGCTTGAGAAAAACGATATCCTAAGAATTAGCAGTGTCTCCACAATAATAAAAAATTATAAGCTTTATTTTTTGAGAAAGTTCACACAGATCCAGAAGAACGGGCGTCCTGATTATGATGTTCATCTGAAACTTTTGACAGTGTATTTTGTTTTTTGGAAACAAATTTAACTTTTGCCGCGCTTTGGATTGGCGAGAAAGTTTTCAACTTGCTAGATGAACAGAAAACTTTTTGAGAACATTTCTGATTTTCAAAGAAGATTTGTCTCATGGAGACCGTCGTGAAGCTGACATTTTTCATTTTCAATTTACAACCGAAGTTTTAGAAATATCATAAAACTTTAACTAGAACGTTACTTTTTTTCCGAGTCTATAAGCTTTTTTTCCCAAAACTTGTTAGATGCACACATCATAAAAATAACCCTTTTATCAAAAATCAATTTTGAGTGAAGGAATTTCATGAGAGCACCATAAATAGTTCATTAGAAGTCTCAAGTTATTTTTCCCAAAATTGACAAAAAGGAAGCCTCAAATTAATGCAATAAAATTTTTTCTGAAAAAAATTACTCTTAAAAAAATTCTCATAAAAAAAAAGGTACGAAAATGTGTAGTTTGCTCATATCCGCAAACATTGATGTCGACATAAACAACACGACGTCAGAGGTCACCACAGCTCCAAAAAAACTCGGTCGCCTGCGCGATGGCGGGCGAGAGAGCGAAGAGAACGCGGAGGTCCAGACGACAGAGTCATCGATCCGATTGGCCGACCGAACTGTTTCTCGAGCCCGCGAACCGAGTACGCGTTGACGGTGTATACACGGCGCGGTCAGATGCGCGGTCCCAAGCTCTATAAAAGGACCTTCCTGGTCGTTCATCCTCAGTTCTCGCTCTTCTTTCCTCCTTGTTCAATGGTCCGATGGTCGTCACCTCTTCATATCCGCTCCTTTCAAGTCTCTGCTCGGTTTTTCGATCAGTACCAATGCCCTTACATGATTTTATTATCTAGAAAACCTTTGTTTCCTCTTTCAAAATTCAAAAAGCACTCGATTATTAATTTTTTGCTCGCAACTTTTTTCCTCGTGATAGTTTTCGGCTCCAAACGCGATGTTTTCTTCCTAATGTTCGTTTTTGCTGGTTATTCACTTCTAATAGTTTATTATTTCAGACATTTCGCACCATGTCAAACCGCATCCGGAGACCCGTGTCCAATCCCATTCTTTCCAATATTCCGAGGCCCAGGCCTACAAATTTAATTGATGAAGTGCCCGTGCCGTTTTTTTTACGGAAGCGAGCCGCTAAAGCTGCGTTATTGAAAATCCACAAGCGAGCCGAGTTTGAAGGTATTTTTCTGATTTCAAGTAAAGAAAATCATTGCTCGTTTTCTAATTCCTACTTTTATGGTTTTAAAAGCGCTTTTTCTCATTATCATCACCTAAACTAATTCTTTTTCAGCGTTCCCGAGGTGCCGCATCTGTGAATCTGACCATGGCCCCGACATCTAGCCGTGCGAATACGCCTGGAGGCCACAAACAAGCCGCAGCTCTGAAACCACAATTCAAGGTACTTTTTTTTTGAAGAGATACGAAAATATTATAGAGTATCCGTGAAATCAGTAAAATCCAATTTCAAAGTTTTTTCTGGATAACCTGAAATTTTTTTTTTCCAAAGTTTTCAAAGTTGGTCATTGATTTTAGCAACAAAACAGTGAAAAAAACCTGCGTTGACAATAACTACTCCGGAAAATGACTTTAGAAAAAAAAAGAACTTGAAAGACAGATTGGAGAAGTAAAAAAGAGTTCACCTTTTCAATTATTACAGATCACTCCGGCTATGGATCGAAAACTCGGAATTGAAGCTATCAAAAGGCGAGCTGCGGAAACGCAACGCATCCTAGAAGAGAGGAAGGCAATTCGCAAGTTGTCGGAAAGCCGTACCAAGACGGAAGAACCTCCTTCCAAGTTCCGCGATTTCTCTGAACAAAGTGCGCCTTCGATCCATGGCACACACAAACCTAAGAAGACTCACCGGCAAGAACGAGGTCGTGCAGCCAAGGAAGACATGGAAACAAGAAGGGAAGAGAAGAATTTGAAGATGTGAGTTAAATTTGATAATTCAAACGAAAATATGATTGGCATTTCCAGGCAAAACTCTCCGTCTGATGCTTTGCTCTTCTCCATTCCACCACACAAGAAGTAAGACGAAACGTACCAAACCCCTAAAGATAGGCGCCAAGCACGCCAGAGATCCTTGTTGAAATTTTTGCTTTGGTGAGATTCAAACTACATATGTCATCTTATAACTTTTTTTCAGGGCACACGTGGAAACTCCAAGCAAGCGATGCGACAACCCTGTAATTTTTTTTCTGTAAATTGTTTTTTCTACTGTGTTCAAACTTTTTGTCATCTGTGAAATTTACTTCTGTTATTTCTTGAGAATCCTCACAACCCAAATTTTCTTGTAATTTATTAATACTTATTTTTCCAGCATCTACCATCCTTTTACTCCATTTCTTAGAATTTAATCCATCTCTCAATTTTAAATCCAGTTCTTTTCCCGGATTCCAAATCCCCGTTGTAACCCATTAATAGTTCCATGTATTTTGCTTTACAAGAAATGAATATCGCAAAATTAAATCGCATTTTTTTTTTGTTCAAACAGGAAAGTTGGTGGGAATTAGTGTGCTGGCCAATTTTAAAAGAAATCGTAACCGGAAAGTTGAATAATCTTCCGGGTTAACAGATGATTTTTTTCGTTTTCAAGAACTCACACCTAGGACCGCTAACCACAGAAAGTTGAACCATTACTGTAATGCTCACCTCACAAACTTCCTCGTGAGAATTTCAGTAGCGGTTAACGATTTAGGCCAGTTCCTGACTTTTAACCATAGAAAACCTGAAGTCACAGATCATAAGATTGAACCTTTCCATATAAAGAAACTTCATTTTGAAGTGATAAAATTGATGAAAGTACCATAAATAGTTTACTTGAAGTCTCTAGTTATTTTTGCACAAAACGACGAAACAGGAGCCTTTGATTGATCAATAACAGTTTTTGTCTTAAAATAATGAATTTTTTTTCCATTATTCAAATTCCATCTGAAAATGTGTAGTTTGCTCATATCCGCAACATTGATGTCGACATAAACAACACGACGTCAGAGGTCACTCACAGCTCCAAAAAACTCGGTCGCCTGCGCGATGGCGGGCGAGAGAGCGAAGAGAGCGCGGAGGTCCAGACGACAGAGTCATCGATTCGATTGGCGAACCGAACTGTTTCTCGAGCCCGCGAACCGAGTACGCGTTGACGGTGTATACACGGCGCGGTCAGATGCGCGGTCCCTAGCCCTATAAAAGGACCTTCCTGGTCGTTCATCCTCAGTTCTCGCTCTTCTTTCCTCCTTGTTCAATGGTCCGACGGCCGCTACTTCTTCACATTCGCTTTTCTCAATCTTTTGATTTGTTTTTCGATTAATTCCAAAGCCCTTACATGGTTTTATATTCCCTCGGTAACTTTTTTTCACAATTCAAAAAGTTTTCGGTTAACAGTATTTGTTCGCAACTTTTTTCCTCGTGATATTTTTCGGTTCCAAACGCGTTTGTTTATTCCTAATACTCGTTTTTGCTGGTTATTCACTTCTAAACGTTTATTATTTCAGACATTTCGCACCATGTCCAACCGCATCCTGAGACCCGTGTCCAATCCCATTCTGTCCAATATTCCGAGACCGAGGCCTGCAAATTTATTAGACGAACTGCCCGTGCCTTCTTTTCTTCAGAAGAGAGCTGCAGGAGCCGCGTTTTCTACGTCAACCAGCGAGCCAAGTTCAAAGGTACTCTTTTGATTTCATTGTAAGCTGACTCGAGAAGATCTGTAGTCATTGCTTTTTTTCTATTTCCTACTTTTATGGTTTTAAAAGCCTTTTTTCTCATTGTAACCACTTTAATTTCTTTTTCAGCGTCCCCGAAGTACCGCATCTGAGAAGCTGACCATGGCCCCGACATCTAGCCGTGCAAATAAGTCTGGAGGCCGGAAAAAAACCGCAGCTCTGAAACCACAATTCAAGGTACTGAAGAGATACTAAAAATATTATAGAGTATCCGTGAAATCAGTCAAATCTAATTTCGAAGTTTTTTTCTGGAGAACCTGAAATTTTTCTTTTTTTCCAAAGTTTTTCAAAGTTGGTCATTGATTTTTAGCAACAAAACAGAAAAAAACGAAACCTGCGTTGACAATACTTATTCGAAAAAAATGGTTTAGAAAGAAATAGAAAACGAAAAAAAGATTAATGGATTTAAAAAAAGTTTACTTTTTTTCAAATTGTTTACAGATTACCCCGGCTATGGATCGAAAAACTCGAAATGGAAGCGATCAAGAGACGCGCTGCGGAAACGCGACGCGTTCTTGAAGAGAAAAAGCTCCTTCGCGAAGAGTTGGAAAGCCGCGGCAAAAAGACGGACGAGTGAGTTGAATTTGATTAGAAATCAGAAATACTTCCATTTTTTTTTTAGGAAAGAAGAGGTCGAGCAAAACGACCCCCTGAGAAAGTTGCCGCACGAATCATTGTCTTCCTGGCTTTTGAGATTGCGGTTCAATGTGCCGCTATCGGAAGTCGAAAAAATGGCTAATACCAACTCTGCTTCTGGCATCGCAGCAAGGACTTTTCTCCGCCAACAAGATGCCGTTCCTTCTCTGACACGCGCTCGTGACGTCGAGAAGTCTTCTTCTCGTAAAGCCAACGACGGTGCTCAGCGACATCGCGAAGGTTCTTCTCGTGACGTCGCCTCTAAGAGGTCTTCCTCTCGTAAAGACGACAATTCCGCTTCGCGACATCGCGAAGGCTCTTCTCGTGACGTCAACTCCAAGAAGTCTTCCTCCCGTGAAGGCGACGACTCTGCTTCGCGACATCGCGCCGCTTCTGCTCTTGACGTCGTCGCCAAGAAGTCTTCATCCCGGGACGACAAGGCTTCAAAGTCGAAGTCTAAGGGAAAGGCATCTGACTCGAAGAACGAAAAAGCACCAAAATCCACGGCAAAGTCTTCGAAGAAGTCTTCTCGTTCTGAATAACGCCATCTTTTATTTACACGGTAATGTTTAACCTGTACTTTACCCGTAAAAAAACTCTTTTTTTCAGAATCCTCGAGGAAGACGTCTTCTCAACCATCCGCCATCCCATCCGACTTCCCTTCCTCATTCAATATATTTCCCGATTGCTTGTATCAAATGACTTTCCAAGGACCGATGTTTCCTACATTTTCTTCAATTGCATCCTTATTTTGGTCTCTTCTTCTTTTAATAAGTTTTTTTTAATTAGATATATTCCGTACCTTTAACCTTGTGCCTTGTTTCTCCTACCCAGTGGCTTATTTTTTTGTAAGTACGGTTTCCTTTCTCTTCTAACTACGGTTACCGTATACTCCTACTTACGGTTACTTTCGAAATTTCTTTCTTTATCATATTTCTAGTTTTTTTCTAATTAAAATTCTCGGTGTTAAAAAAATATTTTTTTATTTTTCTATTTACTATAGTATTGCCCCATTATATTTTTCCTCCCCTATTAAATTTTTTTATTGCCCGAAACTGTTCTAATCTACCGACCTCATCCAAAAATAATTGTAATAATATTATGTCTCAACTGCATCAATCAATTATCCAATGTTACTTATGCCGCTACTCAGCAGTTTTACCGATTTTTCTAATATTGCATGCCTTAACGCGATTTTTATCCGATTCACGTTTTACCCGAACAGTATAATAATTCTAGTTGTATATAAATGATCTAGTATCCACTTTTGTGTTTATTCAAACAAGAAAGACAATTACGAATTTGTGGAACTTCGTGTGTTTCTGTATTTGATGGAAGCTGAAAATAAGCTCTGGGTTAGGCTTCAAGAGAGTTTGAAAAAAATTAGGATTTATTATAGACCAAAGTGACTGAAAAAGTTTGGCTTGGCATAAAATTTCGAATTTAAACTTATTTTAGCCGTTCTCAAGATGAGTTTATCGATTTTTTTTCAAGGATGTAGTCATTATTAACTATCCAGATTTTTATTCGTTCCATGAGTGTTTATTAAACCCTTTCAAAAGCTTTTTCCTATCAGAAGAAAATTGTGAAAGTGTGTAGTTTGCTAACATCCGCAATGTTGATGTCGACAAAGTTAACGCGACTCTAACATGGGGCGCATAAAGATTGCAACAACTATTTTTCTAACCTACACTGTTTCGTCGTTTTCTTGCAGTAAGATAACGACGAAAAAGTGTGTTTCAGAGAAAGAAGTTGTGGCAATTTTCATGCTCCTCATGAAAGAGCGACGTCAGGTCATTCGCTTTCGAAAAAGTTGGTTGCCCGCCCAAATGACTCAGATCCAGAAGAACGGGCGTCCTGATTATGATGTTCATGGGAAACTTTTGACAGGGTATTCCGTTTCTTGGAAACGAATGTAACTTTTCCCGGGCTTTGGATTGGCGAAAAAGTTTTCGACTTGCTAGATATACACTTGCTAAACGAATTATTCCGTGTATTTCCTTCACTCGAAGTGGTAGCTTTCTCAATCGGCCGAGGCTGCCCTAGAGTGTACATGGAATCCGTGCCCGAGCCCCACCATCACCGCCGTGCCCGTACCTGCGAAACTAAGGGGTCTACTTGTGCAAGAACGTGGCGAAGGACCGTGAGAACATGCTTTCAATCGACTTCACGTTTTGACTTCGTTATCGCCAAAGGCGGTGTTAGTACCGCTCAAAAGAGCAATTTTTCACCGTCTAGTCGATTCCATCTGACTAAAACAACCAATAAATATTGATTGATGATAATGATTGGATATTGCACAGAAAACTTTTTGAGAACATTTCTGATTTTCTATGAAGATTTGTCTTATGGAGCCCGTCGTGAGGCTGACATTTTCCATTTTCAATCCACCACCGAAGTTTTAGAAATATCATAAAATTTTACCAAGAACGCTACATTTTTCCCAGTCTATAAGCTTTTTCCCAAAACTTATTAAATGCACAGTTCATAAAATACCCCTTTCATTAAAAAAATCAATTTTTGAGTGAAGGAATTTCATGAGAGCACCATAAATAGTTCATTGAAAGTCTCTAGTTATTTCTCCCAAAACTGACAAAAAGTGAGCCTTAAATTAATCCAATAAAATTCTTTCTGAAAAGAATTACCCTTGAAAAAAATTCTCATCAAAAAAAAACGGTACGAAAGTGTGTAGTTTGCTCATATCCGCAAAATTGATGTCATTCACACCTCCAAAAAAGTCGGTCGCCTGCGCAATGGCGGACAAGAGAGCGAAGAGAACGCGGAGGTCCAGACGACAGAGTCATCGATCCGATTGGCCGACCGAACTGTTTCTCGAGCCCGCGAACCGATACGCGTGGACGGTGTATACACGGCGCGGTCAGATGCGCGGTCCCAAGCTCTATAAAAGGACCTTCCTGGTCGTTCTTCTTCATTTCTCGCTATTCTCTCTTCCTTTTTCAATGGTCCGATGGTCGTCACCTCTTCATATTCACTCCCTTCAGAGTTCTGCTTTGTTTCTCGAACGAAACTCAAGCCGCTACAAACTTCCTTTTTGATCAGAGCCGTTCATAGTTTTATATTTAGAAAACCTTTGTGACCACTCTCCCACTTCAAAATGATTTTAGATCCAATATTATTTTTATTGCCTGGGCCCATTGAACTTTTTTTTGTCGAATCTCTTATTTCCTCTTGATATTTTTCGGTTAGGATAACAGTTTTCCTTTGTTTTTCGCTCTCCAATGTTATAAACCACTGTTCTTTCAGATCAGTTGTTCAAATGACCAAATTGCTCCAAAAAAGTCGGCCGTTTCGCTCACAAGGAAATTCGGAATTTCCTTATTGTCTTCGCAACAAGTGTGCGCCGCCATCGTCTAAATCTAACAAACTCACTTCCAAGGTCTTCATACTTTTCATACATTAATTGTTTCCTTTTTTTCTTTCTTCAAAGTTCAACGCTTCCAAAAGCGCCTTTTTCTTCATTTCTCATTTTACCTTTTTTCAGCTTACACGCAAAGCGCCTGTCCGAGGAATGGCTACCAATCATGTGACTAAAACGTCTCGTCGTTCAAAAGGCCGTGCAACCGGGACTACCCGCAGGACAGTTGCGATGACGCGCCAGGCATCGACGATCACCCGCCAACTCCCTCACAAGGTATCTTTTCACTTTAAACAGAGCTGATTCGAAAATAAAACGGTGAAATCAGTAGATTTCCTTTTCGGAACTGGTTTTTTTTTTGGATAAATACAGCCAGAAAAGGAAAAACAACTTGAACGACAAAAACAATAAGCAGAAGCACTGGTTCAACTTCAATTTATTACAGATCACTCCGCGGAAATGCAATCGGGAGGCAAACGAGAACAACTCTTCTCCTACTCGAGACGCCGTTTCCACGAGGTCTTCCTCCCGTACTGCTCCGCCAACTGTCCCAACTTCTGCCCAAAACGCCATCTCCACAAAGACTTTGTCCCGCAGCAAAGATGCCATTGGTCCACTGACTCCCGCTGCTTCTGCGCGGAAAGTTGTTTCCAAGAAGGCTCCGACCCGCAACATGAACACAACTGCTCCTACTGTGGACGTAATCACCAAACGAATTTTGTCCCGTCCAAAAGACGCCGTTGCCTCACGCACTCGCGCCGCTTCTTCCAGGGTCGTCATCTCCACCAGTTCTTCCGCCCGTAGAAAAACCGCCGTTGCTCTGAAGTCTGAGCCGAAAAAGACGACAGTGTCGAAGACGACGGCAGCGTCTTCAAAGAAGCCCTCTCGTTTTTGAAAAATTTTGGATAAACGGTAATTTTCAATCTGTACTAGTCTCATAAAAATTCTTTTTTGCAGACGTTTGATGAGTACGACGTCTCCAACACCATCTGCAGACCGTCACGTCATTTTCATCCAATAGATATCTCATCAGTTCGTTAATAATTAGCGGACTCAAGTTGATATTTTTTGATTTCTTTCCTCTCCCGAATTCTTCAAGCTGGTCTAGATATTGAATATATATTTATCACACAACACCCCATCGCCCCTTGTCTTTCTTACTATACGGATTTTTCGTTGATTCACGGTTTCCAGGTTACTTAGGATAGCATTTTTATTTTTCTCTCCTTTCTTTTTGACATCGATTTGAATAGACATCTTCATTAGTTTTTTATAATAATATTGCCTTCATTTTTTCTCTTTTTTCCATTTTGCTTCAATTTCTAATCATTAATAACTTCGATATAACATATAGTTTTCGTAATAATTATTTGTATTGTCATGTTTAGCAATTTTATGTCTTTCCTGTAGAGTGTCCAGTTTTTGAAAATTACATGAATTGATACGTTTTATCCTATTAGCGGTTTTGACTACAACGGTGTTAATAAATAGTCTCATATCTACTTTGGGCTTTATTAAATCAGGAAAGTTATGAAAGGGTGGAATTTTGTGTTTTTCTCAGTCGTTGTTGAAAGTTGTCGCAGGCGTCTTGATAGTTTGATAGTTAAAAATATTCATTGAAGCAAAGGGATTTTAGAATTTCGTTTTGATTGTTTGAGTTCATTCATTTCATTCTGTCATCGAGATGGTTTCTGAAATTCTCAAGATACAATCAAAAACAAAATTCTGTTTGATTTGTGGTACATCGTCTCAATGAAGGCTTCAATGCTCAGTTGACCAAAAAAATAACTTTTTTCAAGTCCTACTTCATTTTTCCAAAAGAACTCTGAAGTTCTCGTCACTGTGAGTAAAAAAAATGTTTTTTTTTCCAAACCATACCAAAAAGTGTGCCTCTACCTGGCCTCTAAATTAGGACGTCACTCTTTTTTCAGGAAGTTCTCTAGTGATTGAACTGTCTACCAGAACTTCTTTTTTTGAACTTTGGCCTTCGAGAAACGTCGATGACGTCACGGTGACTCCATTTCCGTGCCACGTTTCTCATTTTGCTGCCGCTTATCGGTCGGCCCCTCAACTGTTGCGTTTTGGCCACAAACATTTGATTTGAACACGCCCTGGCCCCGTGTATTATACTGTCGTCATCGTTCGCCGAACATTCCGTGACGTCAATTCAAAGAAAACGACAGAAAAATTCAAAATTTAGAAGAATATTGAATCTCTAATCAGTTCATGGGAAGGAAATAGTTCCCTAAAGATACAAAAATTTACATAAAATCACGTTTTTGTTTGACTTTTTGGATTCATGAGAGTACAAATTCGATCTTTTTTTGTTCGGTAACGAATAAATTGAAACTGCGAAATGATTTAACAATTGAGAACTGATGAAATGAAGCAATGCTTTTCGTATTTACTAAGGTACTTCAAAATTGGCAATTTTTTTTACCCGGAATGAATCATTTTGATTTTTGAAAAGGATCTAATTGAAAAAGATTTCTCTCAATTTCATGCTGGAAGCTGAAAAAAATTAACTAAAATCAGCAAATTTTTTTGACAGAATCTCGAGGAATTTCGAAAAATTTATTTCAAATTTTTTTAACTTAACTTCACACTTTCAAATATACTCTATTTAGAATTCCTAGCCATCACATGTTTCCACCATTACACTAAATCGTAGCTAAAAGCGTTGACATTATTGGCTTTTCTGTGTTTCTCATCTTGGGAAAACCTTTTTTCTGACTTTGAGTGTTACGAAGGTGTAAAATGAAAAGAAAGTAAAGCTGTGAAATTCTGTCGATAGTAGTTTTTTTTTCGCTCTCCTGCAAGAAGGTTATTCGTTTCAGCATTTTGAAGTTTCCTTTGAAATCGAAAAACACACTTTTATATCCATCATTGAAGCGAAATCAAACATCAATTTTATGTCCACAGTTCACGAAAAAAGCCGAAAAACAATGGGATCAGTGCACACAACGACGGGGAAAACTGTTTGAACATTCCTCCGTGATGAAATATCTGGAACACCGCGGAAAGAACTACAACTTTCGAGTGAGTGGGAAAAAAAGAGGGGAAAAAAGTGTGTGGGGATGGAAAACAACTCATGACGCGTGGTTTGCACTAAAAAACGTACTGAGCCTGAAGTTCAGTACCTTTTCTTAGTACAAAGTACGCATACACGAGACATCGGCTGGATGGTCCTTGAGCGGGGGTTTCGGCGGTTGGAAAGTCGAGAAAAACGGCGAGGCCAGCGGATTCAGTGTCGATAAGTGATGACTGAATGGCCGATGGGTGAAAGGGGCAAGGAGGCGGGGCTTAGGACCGCTGGAGGCGTGGCGGCAAATTATGAAATTCAGGCTGGCTGCTGACAAATGTTCCGGAAAAAAAGCGTTCTTCTTTCGAAATTAAGATGAAAAAATGCTTTCAAGTTTTGAAACAGCAAACTCATGTAATAAAGATCAAATTTAAATCTCACTTTTTTTAAGAAACAATGATCTTTTATCAAACTTAAATAACGAAAAAATCGAAGGATCACAGGTTTTGAACAGTTTTTTTTTTGAAAAGATTGAGAAATGGCCGGAAAAAAGGATTTTGGTACTTCGAAGCCTCTTGGAAACTCTTGGGAAAACAGTTCTGGATCTCATTTTTGGCAATAAATCCTACCGATAAACCGAAACTTTTTCTACTATTCAAAAGTTAGGCAAGATTTCATAACCCAGTTGTAGCTAGCTGTGAGCTAAAAATGATTTTGAAGCTTGAAAAAAAAATTAGAAAGGTCCTTTTAGTTCATTTTTTCAATTTTTTCAAGGCATCTCTGATGAAATTTTTTTAAACCGAAGTTTATTGATGAATAGCCGTTTGTTTGATGTTTAAACTTTGGCTAGATGTTGTGGATTCGCAACATTTTTGATTGATAAGCTTCGAGTCGAACTGATTGCCCCTTTTTTGTCATCGAACAGAGTTCAGGCAAAATTATAGCCTTGTAGGTGGAAGATTCCGTAACCAAATTAAAGCTTTTTAAAACTGAGTCAGGTTTTTTCTGTCAAATGTTTTTTGGAACGCACAGGAACGCGTTAGTTTTCAATAGTATTTTTCGAGTTTTCATGTCTCATTCAAATTCCGGATATTTCATAAGGTTCCCGAAAGTTGATTTGATCAAACATGTCGAAAATAATTGTATCTTGCACTTTGATTTTTGTTTAAAGCCTGAAAACTCTAAAAAAATTCAATTTTTTTGAAGCTTTTTAAAAAGCATACAAGTAATCTACCTGAAACAGCAATAATTGGCAGTCTTTTTCTTTTTACACACGTTTTTCTGATTTTCCTAAGATATCCAGAAATTGAAAAAAATTCGTCAATGACACGAAAAGCGTTTTGAAACAGAGAAAAACAAAAAAAAAACTTCAATTTCTTGAAACTGTAAACGCCATCCAATTATTCTCAGCAGCGTCTCGAATCCAATTAGGGAAATGTATGGCAAGTGGTTGGACAAACCTGTTGGACCACACGGAGAAGCAGCGAGAAAAAGGGAAGACGACGATATTTTGATGGGAGAATGAGTAAGGGTTGGGACGCCAGGCGCTCATTTTTATACAAGCGATGACTCAACGTTCGCCCACTGTTGTGTCGCGATTGCGAAAATAGTGGGCCGGCCGTCGAGCACACAGGTTCGGCCGATCACTTTCTTTTTTTTTTGTCGCGAGACCTGGGACGACGCATAAATTTGGAAAGAATGGAATGTCTGTTGGAGAAGGAAATCTTCTTTTTCAGGTTTTTTTTAATATGATTTCTTCATGGTTAGTAACCTCTTGAATAGACAAAAGTCAAATTTTTACTGATGAAATATCCTACCTATGGTACCTTATGTTTATTAAACGTCAGTACTCCCATCGCCGATTGATAAGAACAAAAATGACGTTCCGAATTTCAAAATAAGTTAAAAATAAATAATAAGACGTTTATAAGTCGCGGTTTCGTCGGTTTCAAAGAAAGTATTTTCACAAGTTTTCAGATTTCTGGTGTCTAAAAAAAGGTTTTGGAGAACTATCATTCAAAATCGAATAAAAGTTTCATAAAGTTCAGATACAAAAATTCTCCAAGACGCCGTTCTGGGTGAACATCACCCGTTCGAAAAAACTTTTACGGCTCTCAACTATTTTAGTTTTATGGCTGCCTTAGTTTTATGGTGTCTATCAATGGGCCGTTCTTTGAAGTAACTGTACTTGGTGTGTTCCAAAGTTTATTCTGGGTCGTTTAGATGCGAAGAAGTGTCCAGTGGTCTGAAAGGACATTTTAAAAGCCCGATAGGAGTTTGAAGCAAAACCAGAACTGCATTTTCTGCAATATTTCAGCTCACAATTGCTTGAAAAAAACCATCAAGCCACAAAAAAAGTTTATTTGTTGAAACATCTCAAGCTTCCAATGATGAAGAAGAAATGATGAAAACAGTGACGATTTGATTTTTCTCGGGAAATTCGAGTTTATTTACCACAGGTTCAGTTTATAAAATAGGGGACAGAAACTAAAAGATGACAAGCGCAAAAGTGTCAGAGGAAATTTGAGACCATTATTTTTTTCGTCAGAGTTTGGCGATCAAATTTTTTTTTTTTTTTTGTTTTTGAGTTTAAGAATTCAGATTCTATCTGGGAGCTATCCGGGCAATAAATCCGAAAAGGTGGTTTTTTCATAATTTTTCTAAAATCTATATTGGACAGAAAAATTATTGAAAAACCGCCTCTACTAAAAACTCTTGGTCGTTCTTAGTCATGGATTCCTCATTCGAGGCACAGAAAAACAGCCCCAACTCCACAACACAAGTACCCAGATGTTATGTAAACGCGGGAAAATGCGGTGAACAGTAAGCAAGGAACGCAAAGAACGTTCTCGAGTACGAGAACAGGCGTCGCCGATGACGAATCATGAGCAATGTATCCAATTTCACAACAGCTTTCTGGTCTTGAAACGTAGCGTACACATC